ACAGGTGCAGGCTCCTCAACAGGTGCAGGCTCCTCAACAGGTGCAGGCTCCTCAACAGGCACAGGCTCGTCCGCTGGCTGCGTCTTGCTCTGTTCGGCAGTCTCGGGGTTAGCATCGGCGACAGGCACCTCAGCAGAATTAGACACTTCGACTGGCTCAGCTGCAGCCTCCGCGATGGGCGCAGGCTCTTCCACTTGTTGAGCTTCGGGCTGCTCGGCAGGCTCAGTGGTAGCTTCGGTAGCAGGCTCTTCAGCAAGTGCTGCCTTGCCCTCTTCGGCTGGTTCAGGCTTGTCTTCCTCAGCAGGCCGGGGATCTTCCGATGATGTTGCTTCGGACTGTTCGGCAGGCTCGACAGCCACCTCAGCAGGAGCTTCGACAGCAGTCTCTTCAGCAGGTTCGGCTTTGGCCTCTTCGACCGGCTCAGGCTCGGCTTCCTCAACAGGAGCGGGCTCTTCCGCCGGTGCTGTCTCGGACTGTTCAGCTGACTGGGCAGCGGCCTCAACAGGAGCCTCCGCCGCTGGAACTTCAGGGGCAGGAGCGTCGGCAGCAGGTGCCGCAATAGCTTCTGCTGGCTCGACCTTAGCCTCAACAGCTTCAGCCGGAGGTTCATGGGCCGGTCCGGACTCCGCAGCCTGGGCAGGTTCAGCCTTTGCCTCCTCGGTGACTTCAACCGTGGCCTGCTCTGCGCCGACCTTGGTCTCCTCAGGCTCAGCCTTGGCCTCCTCCATAGGCTCAGCATTGACCTCCTCAGAAGGCTCAACCTTGACCTCCTCAACAGGTTCAGCCTTGACTTCCTCAGTAGCCTCCAGAGCCGGCTCCTGAATAGACTCGGTCTTGGCCTCCTCTGTCGCCGTAGCCTTAACCTCGATGGGCTCAGCCTTGGAGTCTCCCGCAAGCTCAGACTCAGAAGCCTCAACTTCAGCTTGATTCGCAGGTTCAGGCTGAGCTTCAACTGCCTCGGCTTCAGTCTCCGCCGCAATCTCGACCTTGGTCTCGTCTTCCACGGGCTTTTCCTTCACTTCTACCTCGGCCTCCTCGACAGGCGGCTCAGCCTTGACTTCACGGCTGACTTCTGCCGTGAGCGCAGCCTTAACCTCCTCGAGAATCTCGGCTTGCAGTTCCTCAGCGGGCTCGGCCTGGGGTTCATCTAAGGGCTCGGCCGCGGCTGCCTCGGGTTCAGGCTTGCTCACTTCGGTGGCCTCCGCCTTGACCGCGGGAATCTCGGGCTCGGCCTGCCGAGTTGGCTCAGTCTCGGGTTCGTTGGCACGCTCGGCCTTGATTTCCTCCTCGATTGCGTCAACCTTGGTCTCAGCAGCGGGGCCGGCGACGGTGTCTTCCGCTGCAGCATCGGTGTTGGTTTCTTCGACAGCAGGTTGGGCCTCCGCGGATTCCTCGACAGGCGCAGGCCCGACATCTTCGGCAGGCTCCGCCTTGGATTCTTCGACGACAGGTTCGGCATTGATCTCCTCGGCTGCCTCAACGATGGGCTCCTCAGCGACTTCAGGAGTAGGTTCTTCAGTTGCTGGCTTGTCCTCTTCTACAGCCGCCGAGGCTTCTTCGACGGCGTCAGTCTTTTCGACAGAGGCCGGGGCAGATTCTTCCTCCGACACAGCGGCAAGCGCAGGGGCTTCAGTCGGTTCCTCTGCCTCTGCCTCTGGGGCCTCCAGAGGCTTCTTCTCAGCCTCGGGAGCCTCCTCGGCATTAGCGACGGCGGCATCATCTATCTGATCCTCGTCGACCGCAGGGCCTTTTTCAGGCTTCTCCCCAACCTCAGGAGCTTCCTGAGCAGTGGGTGCAGTCGCGGCAGTCTCGGCCTCAGTCTCAGGCTTAGGAGGTTTTTGTTCATCGTGTCCAGTGGAAATGACTTCAGCCGTCTCCTCGGCCACGTCGCCCTCCGGCTTGGACTCCGTAGCAGCCTGGAATAGCATTAGCAAGGGATGTAGTACGTGTTGGAAGCAAGGAAATGGGATCTCACCTCTACAGCAGCGGCAGGCGTCTCTTCATCAGCCTTGCCATTCACTTTCTCTTCGACCGTTTCAGCAGGCGTGTCATCCACATCGGCCTTCTCAGGCTCCACGGTCTCTGCCGGCTTGGCCTCGAACGCCTCGGCAGCAGGGGCTTCGAGTCCGCTCTCGACGTTCTCGGCAGCGGCGGGTTCGGCCGGAGCATCAGTATCAGCAGCAGCGGTAGGTTCCAGAGCAGACGCGTCGGTCTTGTTGTCGGCCTCCTTTGGCTCTTCAGTTTTCTCGGCCGGCAGGTCCTCAGCGGCCGTTTCTTCAGCCGCGGGCTCCGGGGCAACTTCAGGCTTGGCCTCCGGAGCGGGTTCGGCAGCCTCCTCTTCGGTCACTGCCTCTTGAGCATTGTCCGGCTTCGGGGTCTCTTCAGCTGGAGCCTCTGTCTCGGCAGATGGCGCCTCTTCCGGCGTGGGCTCGAGCTCAGTTGCCTGTTCGGCCGGCGCAGGAGCCGCGGTTTCGGGCTTGGGAGTATCGTCGGTCTCCGCGGCTTCCTCGGTCGGTGCATCCTTTCCAAGCTCACTGTGAACAATCAGTATCGCGTAATGAGGTAGATAGAGTCAAGATGCCGTGTGCGTCCACTAACATAGCTGCTGGCGGCTCCTCGGCCTTGGGTTCCTCTACCGGGATAGCTGCATCCTCAGCGGCACCATTTTCTTTGACGGTGGCAGCGGGCTCTTCCTTTGGAGCCTCTGCGGACTCACGTTCAGGCGCCGGCTCTTCCTTGACCTCCGTAACCGGCTCGGGCTCATCCTTTGAGTCGCTGTTGATTGGTTCCCCAACGGGTGCCGACTCGGGTTCAGCCTTGAGCGCAGCAGCAGGCGGCTCTTGTGTCCCGGGAGCAGAATCCTCCTTGGACTCGGCCGCAGGCTCATGGGTAGATTCATCCTTTGTTTTAGTGGCTGGTTCTTCCTGGGCTTCAGGAGCAGACTCCTCCGTGGCTTGAAGGGCCGGCCTCCCCTTAACCTCGGCGGTGGCTTCTTCCTTAGCTTCGGCGACTGCTTCTGCCACGGCTTCAAGAGTAGGCTTAGACGCAGCCTCCTCCTCAGCCTGAGGGGCAGCCTCTTCCTGAGGCTCAGCGGCTGGTTCCTCCTTGACCTGGACAACGGGCTCGGGAGCAGGCGGCTCCGCAGGTTCTGAAGCAGGTTCCTCAGCTTTGGGGTCTGCTTCTTCCTTGGGCTCAGCAACAGCCTCTTTTTTAGCTTCGACCACAGGTACCGCCGCAGCCTCAGCAGCCTTGTCGCCCTCTTCGGCCTGTTCGTCAACGGCTTCCGGCACCGGCGCAGTCTCCTGCTCCGCGGCTGCCGGCTTCTCTCCGTCAGCCGGCTCGGAAGCAAGGGCAGGTTGCTCCGGCGCCGTCACCTCGTCGGTGGTGGTCTCTTCGGCTCTGGCCTCGTCTGACTCAGCAGCCGGAGCCTCCTGAATTTTCTCGGCTTCGGCCTCGGGCTCAGCGTTGGCTTCCGCAGCAGTTTCCACAGCCTCTAGGGTTTTCTGGGCTTCCTCCTCTTTAATGACAGGGGCTGACGCATCTTCGGAAGGCTTTTCGGGCTCGGCGGGAGCTTCGGGAGTCTCAGCAGCTGACTCCTCAGTGGGAGCCTCCACTTTCGCCTCGGAAGCTGGCTCCTCTGGAGATGCCGGAGCTGCATGGGAAGTGTCAGTCTCTGGTGCCGGCTCCTCTTGCTTCTCCGCCGCGAGGACTTCTTCGGTAGGTGCCGGCGCGGTCTCCTCCGGCGCCTTGGCCTCCTCCGCCTCTTGAGCGGCAGGTGTCTCTGAAACCTCAACCAAGACGGCCTCGGGCGGCGCGGCGGCTTCTGAGGTCCCTTCCGTTTTCTTCTGCTCAGACGGCGCAGCCTCAACGGCCGCGAGCTCCTCGCCCTTAGAGTTAGTTACTTGTGGCTCAAGCTGGGGTTCTGACGCTGAGGCGGCCCCTTCAACAGCAGGCGCGCTGCTCTCGTCCGATTTGGACTCGGCAGCGGGCGCCTCGGCCGCAGGCTCACTGGCGTCCTCTTTATTGTTGGGCTGCTCCTCTGCGGCCTGGGCGGTAGATTCCGGCTCGCTGGGCTTTTTGTCTTCGGACTTGGACTCCTCGGCCGGAGCAGCTATGGTAGGCGACTTTGGTGTTGCCTTGTTGTCCTTCTTGTCCTTGTTCTTTTTGTTCTTGTTCTTCTTCTTGTTCTTGCCGCTGGGCGACGCCACCTCCTCGGGCTCCTCCTTGGGCTCTGGCTCGGGCGCGGGTGCGGGTGCTGGCTCAGCGGGCTTCTCTGCTGCGGTTTTGCCACCCTTCTTCTTCTTCTTGTTCTTCTTCTTTGCTGCGGCAGTCGTGGCAGGCACCGACTCTACCGGTGTCGCCACATCCTCCGTAAGCGGAGTAGTGCCGCCGTTCTCATCTAAGCCCACCCATCAGCATCTGCCTTTCACACACACTTTTGTTGTATACTTGACAGAAACTTACCCTCAGCGTCTACCTCAGGCGCATTCTCATCCTCCGAGTCGGATGGCTGGAAGAACTTGACCTCCCCATACTGGGCTACCTGCACATTATTAAAATCGGCGAACTCGACGTGGGCATATTGGGCTTGGGACCAATGCAGGTTCGCCCGGGTAGGACAGAACTCGACATTTTCTCCTGGGAGGCTCATACTTGTGGGACGTCAACCTCTGCCTTGTCCGAGGGGAGCTCGACTGTGAGGACCTGAGGGGTATCCTTATTATCCTCCATGCGAAAACAGCAGCAGCAGCAACGCGCGTTAGAACTGTGTAACTACTGGTCGGGAGAAGGGCCGGGAGGGTTCTGGGACGCTGCAGAACGGGCTTCCCGAAAAAACAAGCCTGGTGGGGCGTTGGGTCGCGAGCTGGTACACGGCCAATGTGGTTGGGCTGCGTCGATATGGGAAGGGAGATTGGGGGATTAATGTATGCACAGCTGACGCGTGCAGCTGCGAGATGTTTTTTTGGGGGGATGGTGTCACGGTCTGTGGTTGGCCGTGACGTTTTGGGATTCGTGTAGATGGTCAAAATCAAAGTAAACAAATGGAGTGCTGGAGCTGGGGCTTGGTGTTTCTGAGGTGCAGGATGTCAACACCGCAGGTTTACAGTTCCTGCCGGGCTGAGCTTGTATGTCAAAAGGAAAACCTTGCACTTCCTGGCCTCGGAGATCAAAATGGGGACGAGGAGGAGAGACCTTGAGGACGGGGACCCCGGAGGGGCAGGTGAGCGGGTGTGATCGTGAAGGCCATTGAGCCTTGGCAAGAACCACATTGGCTATCATGATCCCTCAACGGCAATCAACCCCCATCGACGTGGACACTACCCCACGCACCGGGAACGACACTCGATGCGGCAATGCGCGGGGTCGTGAAACCACAAGTGACTGGATCATGATCAGAGGCATTGGCCCACCCAGCTGCATTGGCGCCACGTCGCAGTCACTTGAATGCCCGAAAGCTATCACGACGAGAGAGGCGAGGCTACTGCCCAATGGATCAGCTAAGGCAAAGCGAGCACTTCCAGTGGCCCGAAACGGCAGGCTGTCTGTACTCCGTAACCTCTCCATGAGACCAGTCGACAAGGACAGCCCAATTCATCGACGTCAGGCTGCTCTTCTGTTGAAGCGCTGCCTGGTCAGTTGATGAGCGACTATCAAGGGTACTGAGCGAGCCTCATACCCAACCATTGGCCGATGGAACAGAGCCCTGAGAATCGACGCAGCATTGGGCCGCCATTGGGCAAACCTTTAGGCGAGCCGTCAAGGAAGAGTTCCATTTTCGGCCGAGGTGAGTGAGGTTCCTGCTTGAGGTGTCCCATGTTTGGCAAGCCGGGGCGGCCCAATGTGGCATTGCAGAAGAGACACATCAGACGGTGCGAGAAGGGTGATGGTGGCCAGAGAGATACTGCCCCGGTATATACTCCTTGATCTCTATGAGAGTATGTCGAGATGGTTGTGATACATCCCGTCCTGTGCCGACGAAGACAATCTGGTGGTGCAAACGCTGCCGTCTGATGTTGCTGGCGTGCTACGTGGTTGTCTGCTGGCTTGTCGCTTGTGGGGGAAAAGGGGCCAGTCCAACCAGACCACCTACCTGAGCTTTGTGGGGCACGCTAGCGACATCGGGACGGGACGTGGGGCATCCGACAGGGAGGTCAGCCAGCGAAGCAACCCGAAAATTTTCGTGCTGTGGACGAGCTGGTTTGCGTGATATTGCTCAATCTGAAGTGCTCGCTCACTTGGCCGACGAAGTAAGGTCGAAAAAGACAGATTGTCGCCAGTGTTGTGACGCCGGGAAACGAGGAATCTCAGCAATTGATCTGTTAGCGCGATGCCTTTCTCGGGGTCAGCTCACCGCTCAACACCGCGCTAGACAGGGGAATCGTCCGAAGTTCTGCGCTAACAAACGATGGACAAACGTTGAAGACCCAACCCTTGCTGAAGAAATACAACACGAACCCCCTCACAATCACACCTCAGAAGACAAATGAATCATCCATCCGAACAGCGAACAGTGAAGGAGACGTACTGTGGTAAAGCTAGAAGGATGAAAAGGAGATGGGAGCGTTAAACTTTTCTGACCCAGATAACAAAGGAGGCTCTGGTATCAGCCAGAGATGGATGTCATGGGCACCGATTTCGTCTTTGAAGTATCGGTACATGCCAAGTCCGAACTCCGCTCCGCCGAGCCCCGGGGTCCTCGGCCCCGCCCATGTCACCGTACTCCATCCGAAGTTCAAGCTCTGAACGAGAGAGCCCAGTCCTGCATGCAAGACGCGTCTTCCCAGCAACGACAGGCTCTCCAAAGAAAAGAGCATACCAATGTGCCCCCGTTTTGGGCATGTGTTCAGAGCGGAAAGCTCCGTATCAGGGCATTCAATCGCTGGCCCGAGCTGGCTTCTGTGGCGCGCGTATCAGGCACTTGTTATACGAAGTAGGAAATGGACAATGGAACGCGAGGGGATCAGATCTCAACGATAGCAACAAACGAGGCTGGGACCAAACAACGCGTCCCGAGGCTGGACTAGCCACCTCCACACCGAATGGAGCCTTGTTGATCTCGTTCCCCAGGTGACAGGAAAAGATTTGAAGATCCGTTGGGCAAAAAGCGGTGTAAAGGACCCCTCTTTCAGCGATGCTGCCGGAGTAGTCGGCGAGAAAGCCCGGAGTTTCGGCGTCTGTCTGGCCGCTCTGGCGAGGGATCCCCGCAGGGAAGGTGTTGTCATCACTGAGCTCCGTACTGTTTCCTGCGAGGCTGGAGAAGCAGCAAGGCTAAGAGCGACATGGGTTGCGTCTGTTAGCCAAGAGCATCCAGCGACCGGCCGCGCTGGGCTAAGGTAGCCTGTAGGGAGTACCTCTGCGGCGACCTTCCCTTAAATACATCAGAATCCTAACCCTAAACGCCAACCCCGCTTCAAAAGGGTAACCTCCAGATATGTGTCGATACAGATGCGAGAGTCACCACCCGCCACTCATTCCAGTCCTAAACTGCCTCTCCTCTTCTGTTGACCGCAGCTTCGCCAAGACATCTCCGGGTGCATATAATAGCACTGAACCGGAAGCGGCATTGTCTCGCGGCGTGCATGAAGACCGAGAAACCCACCATCCTTCGACGACTCTCCACGCTCACATGGCCATTTCGGCCTGCAACCTCTTGAGCTCGGCTTCCTCGTCATCCTCTGTGACTGCTGTGGGCGTCTTGCCTTTGACTAGAGAGGATTTAGCCCTGCCTGCCTGTGTCAGGTCCAGTGCCCGCATGCACTTACTCTCCCCACTCGCCACCGCCGGCAGACGATCGACAGGGACGGCGCCTGTATTGAGCATTTTGTCCTCGATCTCCTGCTGTTGGAGTTCCTCCAACTCGTCCTCGAGTTCTGTCTCGTCCACTTGCGCGCCGATGCTGACGCTGCCCATGGCCTCGGCGATCTCCTCGTTGAACCGGTTGTACTCGGCAAGGTTTTCCCTGTTCGCGCCGTCAACATCAATCCGAGAGCATACCTCTTGAATTCTGGATGAGATATCACCACATACATAGTCTCGTCGACCTTGGCGGGCGTGAGCTTGCCGTGTATGTGCTTCATGGCTTCACCTGCCCGCTTCATAGCCAAGAAGGTCTCCTGGTTGATATTCGCCGACTCGATGGCATTCACCTGCTGCTCGATGGTCGATATGTGGTTGAGCGTCTGCTCGAGGTTGTGCTCATGGATCTTCTTGCGCCGTAGCGCCGCCTTCGCAGCTGTGGAAGCGTCAGCAAAGGGGTCCCAGACATGTCCATGGGAAACCGCAAGGATAAGCATACCTGTCTTGTTTGTAGAGACGTTCTTCCTCGCAATTTGCTCTTGCTCTTCGATCTGGCGGGTGAGGTGAGCTTCCCGCTTCTGCAGCATCTCCAGCTGCGTCCGCAGGTCAAGGATGACGTTCTTGGGCGTGTCTTTCCGCTTCTGCGCGGCGCCACCGCCGAACCAGCCCCAGATGCCTGACATGACGACTCTGTTGAGATGAAACTGGTGGCAGACGGTGGTATCGGCGAGAGCGTGAACCGAGGTTGTGCTTGGTGGTTGGTGTTGTGGCGCACAGCGGCAGCTTATCGGCTTCGGTGATGACGCTTCACCGGGCTTTGGCGGGGTCGCACCTGACTTTAGGCAATCTCGCTGTCTGCCACTTGAGCGGTCGGGGAAGAAGAACGCGCCAGCGAAAGAGGCTGCCTTAGATCCTGCAGTTGTCGCGAATGAAAGTGGCTAACGAAACCGCTCTGGTTGTGGTCGAGATATTGAGCGGAAAGCTGCCAACCTTATCTGCGGATGATGCAAGTCGTTACCAACAAGGTTGCTTCGATGGGTGACGGCTGATTGTGGCACGCGGACGCAACCAGTCCCGAGGTTTTCCCAGTGAATCATGTGATCGACCTGATCCTCAACTTGATGATTACTAAGCACAGGCAGCTCTCAAGGTCACTTGTTGACTGGCTTGATTTCGCGCACCAAAACCTTCCGGGTCCCATGGCACGCAGCGTTCAAGATCTTGCCTCCGAGACGAGGCCAACACAGAATCTATGCTGCCTGGCTTATAGCCATGTCGTACGGTCCACGGCCGGCACAGCTGTGCCTGCTGTCAAGCTTACCGAAGAAACAGGTGGGGGATAAAGTGAGGTTTTTGGGATGGTAAGTTCTCACTGCTGTTCTCTGTGATGAGTCAAAATGCCGGCATTCTCTCCATCACCGGCACATGGACGGACGCATGTAGCATAAAATTCTAAGAGACTTGAACGACTTCTGTTCCAAACTGACCGAGTCTTCTAGTGTAGTTTCATACTCGCCGGTGTCTGGCGTCTTGACGTTAGAGCATCGTCTCCCGGAGCAGGCTCACTCCACTCGCGCCCTTGTGGATGTGAAGCTCGTGCTAGAAAACTTGGGGGGGGGGCATACCAGTGTGGGAGAGTGGGTGAACGTCATCGGATACATCACTGATATTGCTCCCTTGGCCGATGGCAAAGAGTCGGATCGAGGAAGCCCAACGGTCCACACCCAAGCCGTCCTTGTCTGGTCGACCGGAGCATTCGACATACGACGATACGAGAGGTCACTCAGAGTACTCGGCCAGACTAGCTCTGCCAGCTGCCCCGACGTCTCTTGATCTCTCTCTCGACAAGTTAGACAGCAATTTCCAACATGGCTCCCCCCAAGTGCTGCGGCACTACGAAATCACCATTTGGTTTTGGCCCGAGGAGAAACCGCTTACATAGAGAGGGCGCAACGGCATCCCCTATCACCCCGCCTCGGATCGTTCCCCTCGTTGCACGTTCCGACGGAGGATATATGCTCAGGCCGCGGAGCAGCGCAACCAACACAGCACGATACCTGTGTTGCACGACATATGCTGTAAGACCACCTTAACAGGAACCACAGCTGGGCCCTTGCCACATTTGGCAGCCGATGGCTCACCCATGTTTCCTATCTGCTGAGACTGGGAGCAATGACTGTCAGACCGTATCTCAAAGATGCCTGCGAAATGCAGCGGTTGGCTGTCGATGGGTTCCTTGGATGAAGAGCATCCCAGATGCAAACTCGAAAATCCTCCGATGTGCAGGCTCCCTGACCACTGCAGGCCTGCCACAGATGTTTGATCAATGTCGACTGCCATGGCCCTGATCATTGCGATATCCAGCCTCACCCGTCACTGTGAGTCGCCGCGTCCAAGATGCACGAGAAACAGACTCAACCCAATCGGGGTTCTGGACCGTTCAAAAGCTGACTAGCTCTCGCTTCGGTTGCAGAATGTGACACCCGCATGCAGTGCTCCGCCTAAAACTGGGGGGAAATTTCATGTCCATTAGAGCTGCCGCTTGCCAGATGGCACAACATTGCTGGTCCGAACCCGAAACCCCCTGGCCGCCGTGCCACAGTCTGATCCTACCGCGTGCGTCCTCGTCGGCCAACGTCGAATGCTTCGTCCGCGAATCGTACCTTCATAGTCTCTTTTGCCGACTTCGACATTGGCCGAGTCCGTGGGGTGGCTAAAGCAGCCCGACCTCTCCCTCGCATGACAAAGCTCCTGCAAGCTCCCCGTCCTGGGCCGCGCGTTACCAGCACACCACGAGTCAGGCTGGGCTTCCACCGGGGTATCTCAAATCAGTTTTGCCGTCTCTCGTCACGTCGGCTCCTCGACTCGTTGCGCCTCCGGTTCTCCCGCCTCCGTCTCGCCGAATCACTCCCCCCAGCCTTCGACATGACCACGGGTTGATGGAGTGGCCGCTTGAGGACTTTGGTCGATGCGCCGGATGACCGTGCCGCAGCCTGCTTCTCCCACATCTCTTTGGACTTAACACAAATGTCGTCTATTTGCTCCTGCGAGGTATGGAAGTCAATGCCTCGTCGGGTTGTATCGCGCAATTCGGCGGCTCACATCTGTCAGGCAAGGCCCTGGTGTGGTTATCAAGAAGCCATCTTCTCCCTGTGAACGTCAGCTTCCGTGGATCAGTTGAAAGCAGAGGTGGAGGGAGCGACCAACATCACGAGTAAACGACCTCACGGTCGCCTCGGGACCGAGATAGTACTGAAGCTCCTGGGTGATAACCTTCTTGTGGATGTCCAATTGTGGAATCCAGTATCGGTTCATGGACGAGGACGACATGGTAGACGAATGTTCACGGTGGCAGGGACCGAGATATCAAGTTTGTACGTTCCTAGTTTCCGACTCTCGGATGTCAGAATACGAGGGGGGTTAACCTCTATATATGGTCCACACCGGGCGCTACTTTCCGGCTGAGACCCTGCGTGCTTCGGTTGACGAAGAAGGTCGAAGCAAACCACGCAAAGCACTCCGCACCCGTACCGCTTTCCGTCGATGGCATGGTAGTGGTGTTTAGCCCGGGTAGGAAGCTGGGCTCTTACTGGTTGCTTTCTCCGGAACGCCATTCATGGAGTTCGCCTCACTTTTTGTCCGCTTCGCCTTCCTTCCCTGTTCCGCCCCGCTTTTGACTTAACACTGCTACTCTAAGGTCATTAGTTGGGCCTGATTTCCATTTCCCCAAATCGGATCTCTGTCCTTGCTGGGTTGCTACTCATTGGTTCATCATCTCATCCCCCTTTACTATGTAATCCTCTCTCAACCTTGGCTAACCCCGTAGCGAGCATGGGATCCTATGCAGGCCTATCAGTTTTATTGTCGAACCATACAGCGGGGTTCTGGGGCGTACCTGAGTCGGGTTCTGCTGTCTCCATTTCCAGTTGTCGATCGTGTCGTCGACTTGGCTTGGTTGCGGACATGGTTGCCTTAGTCAGTTGGTTGCCAGTGGTTCATGCATGAAATGCGATCTGCGCCTGTCTCTGTCGCCATGGGGGAACTTTTGCCACTTGCTGTCTTCTGTGAAGACTCTCCTATCAAGTCCAAGTCTCAACTGCGAGAATAGGGAAGCGTGGCACAACATGAGATGGCCCAGTCCCTCTTTTCGAATCTTGCTGCTGCAGTCTGTCATGCCCGGGTCCAGTCGAGGCGGAGCTGTCGATCTCCCATCTCATGGATATGGACGAGCCAATCTTTGTTCAGCCTCATTTGCCATAGGGGTATTATCACAGGCATAGTGCGTGCCTCCGTTCTCGACTCGTATTGTACAGTGAATGGGCCGATTGTGTGTCTCCTCGGCCTTTTTTCCCTTCCTTGCTTGCCCGTCGCGAGTCTCGCTGGCCTGCGTACGAGAATCCTGTGTTGGCCATGTGCAACTGAGCTTCTTGAGCCGGGCATGAGTCAAGAATGGAGCGTTCAGAGATCTATCGAAACGCCACCAACACAGAAATCGAGAAAGAGAAATGTGCTGGCCCTGCAGGCCAGGCACGGGTTGGTAGCTCAGCTGCCGATCCAGTGGGCTCACGGTTCTACCACTCCGCCATAGACAGGGTCTGAGCGACTGGTGGTTGTATTGTAGGCTGCAAAATGGAACTGAGTTCATAAATCCTCCTTGCCCCTCAGTCTGCCTCTTGACACCAACAACCGGTAAAATATCCCACCATAGTGTTAGTCCCATCACTAACCTTCGTTTTGTGGTAGCAGATCTATACGCATCGGGTGTGGTTCGGCTTCCATACAGACTCGGACGCACATAAGCCGGTGATGGCCTGATGTGAGGTCCTGACGGCTTAGCTTGTCTTTCATGTACCGATATCTCGCTGGGGCCTTGCAAGCTTCAGTCTAAAATTCTACAAAGGGTACCGTGACGATCCGTTAACCCAAGCTTATTGCGCAATAGGGCTTCGGCGGGTATTGTCAAAACGCGGTCCTTGTTGAATGAGGCGAAGGGATCGGCATAGCGAAGGCGGACGAGGACCCGAGGCTACCCTCAAGATGGATGCACACAAGGCAGGCAGCGTGAGAGGGCGAGGCAATATTTGAGGCGAGTACTTAGTCAGTGGTCAGAGTACTTGAAAAGATCGACATAGCCATTGATATGGCAATGCTTATGAGACTCGATGGACTGACTGTATTAAATGGATGCCATATTAACAGGCGTAGATGTTTGCTATTAAGGTACTAGTAGAAAGGACAAAACGCTCACCGACCAGCCCTATTCCCGCGCCGGTCAGATAGATGTGGTCGCCTACGAGAACCCCAAAGGGAGTTTTAGTTCTCTAAAGGGGAGTCAAACTCACACCATTTCGGTTGCTGAAGTTCCAACCGAGCTCTTCCGAATACCGCTGAGCTAACTCGGTATCGGCTCATTGGGAGGAGGTGGTGACAGTGCGAATGCCGACACTGGTCTGTGAAGCGCTGGCCAGTGGTGAAAGTGCGGGATGGAAGGATTGGGGTGGTGGATTGTGATGAAGTGTAACCATTTAACGGGCGTTGACACAGAGACACAGACCTCTAGCAAGCGGGAGGAATTCCTCACAGAAAGTGAAGAAGCTTTCAGCGAGGAGTTGTGTGATGCTACCCCGATGTATAGACCATCAGAAACCGAAAAGCAACAAATGGGTAAGATGACGGAGTCCGGTGAGAGAGAGCTTGACTGTCGGCCCGGAAGTGGTCGTCGGTAGTGGATCCATCTCCGGGGCAAAGTCCTCCGATGGGTGGAGACCCCGAGAAAAAGAATATGGGCAAGCTGGCAACTCTGGGCCGTGGAGGTACACTCGAGATTAACAGCAGGCAGGACCAAAGTGTGCTCCAAGAGCAGGCTTTGGACAGTCAGGATGAGGCGAAAGACGTGAGGTTGTCGCCATCAACGCTAGCACTGGGCAGATGGTTGGTTGGCTATCACATGCTATCAATGGACGCCAAGGCGATTGGCGCATGCATTTATCGGAGCACTCAGGGCCAGCTTTTTCTGGGATTTGTGTGCATAATCCGGTGCCCTGCGCCAGACTTTCAAAGTTGGAACCATGCATGACCGGCGCATGCGACACTTGACACCATCGGTGCGACTTGCATACTCCAAAAAAAATAATCCATCGCCAACACCAGAGGCCATGCCAGCAGCTCGCTTGCCGGGAAGGTCTCACCCATTTGATCGGATGACCCAGACAAGGGGGATATCGAGCTAAGCCGCTGCGCGACTGGAGGCACACGTGAAGATAACAGTGGGCACTCGAAATCAATTTTTGGCTGAGGCACGCTTCCTTTTTGGACACGGTGGACAACAAAAAACCGCCGGAGGTTTCACGCAGACAAGGTCTGAATACCACAACAACCCCGGCCATTCCCGATTCGAACTTCGACACCGGGACAACTGGAAATCGCCGAACGCCAGCTCTTCAAAGTCGTGCGAAACATCAGGAAACGAGACAGATGGGCCACGGATCGGTACCTCAGATTATCGACGATACGATCCTCTTGATAACGTTTTGGTCCTTGACCAACCACCCGCATCGCGCCATCGTACCTGTTCACCGCCTCCCACCGACACATTCACCGACGAACGCGGTTGATCCCCCCGACAGCTCTCGCTGGTGTGCCAGAGCTGCGCCTGGTTATTCGACCGGTGTCGCCCTTCTAGCTCTCAACCCCACCCCGTCAAGTCGGTTCACAGGGCCGACTCCCTTGTCGATCGAGCACCCCACGGCGGGCTGCCAGGATTGAGCGTCGTTAGCAACCTATACTCCTTCCGTTGAGCCGGGGCCGTTTTCAACAATGTGGTGGTTTATCAGCGCTTGCTCAAGCGCCATCTTTCTGCTCAGCATCGTCCTCTCAATACCCATCGCCTTCGACGTCGGGGGCCGCGATGCCGGCTTGGCCTACTCGCTTGCCCTTTTCCTCTTTTACTTTTTTTACAGCGTCGCCAAGCTCCTAACACCGGAAAAGTCGCGGATACGATGGTTCTTTACGAATCTGGTGGGCTTGTCGCAGTGGCTCGTCCTACCGGCGCTGCTGATCTGGGCCCTAAACCGCTTCTCGGTCGATGCCGGGAACGCCAGCTGGGTATCGCGCACCTTCTCGCATATCACATCGACACACCACAAGACCTGGAAGGAGTGGTTCTTTGGTCAGGAGGGGTTCGTCGAGACGGTAGCACTGGGCGCATGGGATAGCACGCTGAGCTACTCGAGCCCCGTCTTCCAGATGCTCGAGGGCTTCTGCAGCTTGCTGGTCATCCAGGCCGCCGGCCAGATTACGAGGTGGCTCGTCAACCGCGGGCGAAGTGACACTTGGGTGGTAAGTAACATGCCTCGCAGAGACGAACTTCCAGGGTCTTAACTCGACATTGCAGATCCTGCTCCTCGTGTGCTCGGGCTCCATCATCTCCAGCGCCGTGTACTTTTTGTGGCGTGTGATTTCCTTCCCGCAAGTTAGCAACTTCGATGCCACTCTGATCGGGGTGGCCATGACGTCTGCTGCCTTCCTGTGCGCCTACGGCATTGCCAGCGGACGCGGGAACCCGGTGGAGTCCTCACTCCTGTTTGCGTACGCCGTCCTCTGCGTCTACCAGATCTTCACCGACTATCAGCCCTCGCCCGAGGCCGCCGCGGCGGCCGAGCAAGCAGCCGCAGGGCAGCCCGACTTCCCGCCTCTGCCTCCCATCATCATGGCCTCGTACTCGACCTTGATGCACATGTTGAGCAGTCTCCCGTCGGCCGTCAACTCGTCGTTCCAGTTCCTCTACGCCGCGTTCCAGACCATCACGCCCAGTGTCATCATCTCGCTGACGTACCGCATCATCGTGTTTTATTGCGCCACGAGGATCATTCCAGCCGTCAGGGAGCTGGGAGCGACGGCAATCATGGAGGAGCCCACTCTCGAAGACAGCGACGGGGCGAACCGCTTGATTGGGTTTCTGAGCTGGTTTTCGCCGTCGATGCTCATCGCTGTCTACACCAGCCTGCTACTGCAGCACTTTAGCGTCTCCAGCGGTGACGAGGTGGGGTGGACGTTGCGGGCGGGAGACGCCGGGGGAAGCACATGGCGGTGGGTCAACCTTGCGGCTACCATGGGGCTGTATGCCGTCGAGCTGTACCTCGGCGGCGATGGGGACGGAGGCACTCATTGGAAGACCGACTAGGAGGAGCACGAGTACTGCGAATCGTCGAGCATCATATTGCTACACGGCCACTGTGGCAGGACCCTACGTTTTGCGGTCCACACTGCCCAAAACGGCATCACTTCAGGGCATTGTAGGCGGAAGCGACGGCGCCTACTGATGGATGGAAGGCTTTGAACCTGGAATTGAACTGAACACGCGTGCAGTTGACGTTTGGACGGAATGATACCCCAGAGCTAGGCCCGCAATCAGCGAGGTCAACCACTATTCGGAAGGAAGCATGTGGAAATGAAGGAACGAGAGGAATTCAATGGGGGAAAGATCAGGACGGAAGGCAACAGAACGATTGTCCATGGCCAGGACAACCGACGCCGTATCAGTGAGTCGGCGCAGATCTGTTACGTTTTTACTCAACGAGTTTTCTTTTGTCTTAACAGCATCCGAGATACTACTATCGGATATGGACGGGAGCGAAAATGGGCATTAGGGAGGGCGGCGGGGAAACACCTTAGCGGTAATGGTATATGGCGCCTGGCAATGCACGCAGCGAATGGCGTTATTTGGACAGGGACTCGTGAGAACTTTCTTGGTGTTCTGTGGCGTCGTGGTCTGCTTTGGCTCTCTGCTTTACTCGGCTGCATAGCTCTATTCCTCATTGTTGCGGTCTAGTTCGAGAGGCGTTCATGCGAGAAGGATGTATGCATTATTCGGTAGGCCGTCTCACTGATGGCCGGCTCGTCGAGAAATATCGGAAGGATTGCAGGTCGTTACAGTATCTGCGATTCCCTTTTGTATTGTTGTTTGTAGGATGGATCGGATACAATAACTGCTCAGCTATCCTGTCCTCTTCGGCAACTCTGGTGTCCCTCGAGTCGGGATTCCGAACCAAGGCCGTACCGATAACAGCATGAATGATATACAAATGCGGAGCTCACAGAGGGTTTTCTATCTTACTGACATTTACCTTGCCACCTGATGGCGGGATCAACGTCGATCTTGACACAGCCAATGCACGACAAGTTTAGCCGCAGCCGATCAGGGGGTCATAACGTCACTGCCGTATGCCGTTGGGGCTGCAGCCAACAATCAGAGAAATATGTAAAGAAAGCGAGTGCGGAAAAAAAAATAAACATAGAAATGAGCCGGCATTAAAATTGAGTTAGCCAAAAGAGGCCAGGCTGAGATGATTATGTATTGAATTGGTATTGATGGTGCTTGTCAGGTACCTTAGATCGTGCGATTCCAGAAGCATCAAACCCAGCCTCGCTCACGGTCACTCGCTTCCTGTTCTTTACACTTTTTATTCTACACAAACCGTCATCTGCACAGCGGAGAACCTCGTCGCTCTTCGTCTTAGGCATTGCAATACTATTTTCGAATCTGGGGATAAATACTTCTCGAGGGCTCGCGATTATTTTCCCTCTGAACGTCCTCCCACGGCAACTCTCATCGCTGCTGGCTGAGACGCGTCCGACAACGTGTCCGTGTGACAACCACTCTGGGGTAGCAACCAATACTCAACAAATCAACACCTCAGCACAACACACCAACAACTCAAGTTAAAACAAATCCAGAAAGATTTTCGAACATGGCATCCACTCCACCCCCTCTCTCAGCCGACAAACCCCAGCCCGCCAAGCGTGGCCGGCCCCCTCTCTCCCCATCCCAGCGCAGACCCAAGCCGGTCCCCTCAGGCCGACCCCGCGGTCGTCCCCCCCTGGACCCCTCCCAGCGTAAGCCCAAGCCCGTCCCCTCGGGCCGGCCCCGCGGCCGTCCCAAAGGAAGCGTCAAGTCTACCACCACCACGCCCAAGGCCCCCTCCACCACGACGACGGGCGCGGGCGTTAAGAAGGCCGTCTCGGCCGATCCCACCACCGCGGTTGCTGTTGACACGCCCGTCCGTCGGGGGAGGGGTCGGCCCCGGAAGGATCAGTCTACTACTACTACGACTGCGACTCCTGCTAGTGCGGCTAGGGCTGCCAAGGAGAAAGCGAAGGAGGGCATGGTGCAGGCCGCGGTGGAGGAGGCTGCTGCTGCTGCGAAGACGGCTACGCCGGCGGGGCAGGTTAAGAGGCGGCGGGGCAGGCCCAAGGGGTCTGGTAAGAAGAATATTGTTTCTTCTGCTGAGCCTGGGGCTGCGACGCCGAAGAGGAAGGGGCCTACGACGCCTGCCAGGGGTGGACCGGGACGGGGGAGAAGGTCGGTTGGTGGGTCTGCGTCTGCGTCTGCTACGAAGCAGGTTGTGGAACCTGAAGAAGATGATGACGAGGAGCAGTTTGTGGAGGGTGGTGAGAGGGATGAGGTTATGGAGTATTTGTAAGCTGATTGGGAGCTTGCGGGTGAGAGGGAGGGAGGGCTCTGTATGGTGGTAATAATGGCTGGGGGAAATGGCTTTGTGGCTGTCAGATACTGGGTGGAGGGGGCGGGCGGCGTCTGCTAGGTTAACTACAATGACTAGGCAGGGCGGATATTGCGGCCGTGACTGCTGGTGAAGGGATAACCGGCTTTGGGGTCTGGAGTCGGACAGCCATGCAATCTAATTTCATGCTTTCGCTGGTCAAAGGTCATCGCATTGGCCCATGTCTGCTTTCTGAGTGCTAGGGATGTTGATAGCGTGGAAGACGCCGTGTGGCATTTATCCAGGAAGTCAAATCAACGGCGAGCGAACCTACACGTCTTAGCACCTGTATATCTGTTTGCTGTACATGAGCAGACTTCCTAAGGGATTCATATGATTCCACCCGGTACGAAGCCCACACAACTTTTAGCGCATCCGACCATCAACTCTAAGCCGCTTATAGCAAAGCTCCTCTGTTGTTGCATATCCATTACTTAGCGCCAAGTCTTTTGTACCCGCCTGCAACTCAATGCTCTTTCATCACCGCCAAGAATCTCATAAGGCTTTCTTGCATCTGAACGCGAAAATCGTATCTTACGGCTGCTTGCTTGCTCTTGCTGCTAGCTTCAGCGAGACATCTCCATCTTACTCAGAGAACACTTGATTGCCATGGACTGTTGTGCACGAACGAATTCAGTTCCAGGGGCGCTCGCTGCTGTGTGAACAATTTCCACAGTCGCCACGAAATCAACGTGCTAACGCCAAAATATAATAGAGGGAATAAAGCAGCACAGGGTCATCAGATCGGATATTCAGAAATGGCGAAGAAGGGGAAAAACACCAGCAGCCTGGCCCCGACCTCAGCCCCAACTACAACTCCGGCCGCCGGGAAATCCATTAAGAAGGACGCCAAGTCAAAACCCCCCCCGGAGACCGACTTCATCGTCTTCACCAACTCGGACAAGGACCCCAAGGGACGACGGGGCGGGCCCAGCAGGTCCGGCACCGCGACCCCGAATGGCAACAACAACCCTTCTGACACCCCCGACGGATTACCCCGTCCAACCGCCCGCCAACTCATCGGCGGCGCCTCCTGGACGGGCAAGCTGCCCGTCAACCTCCTCGCCGAGCACTGCCAGAAGCAAAAGTGGGAAAAGCCCGAGTACACGACCGTCAAGACCAAGGAGGGCTTCTCGGTCCTCGTCAGCCTGGCCGCCCGCAACGCAAAGACCAACGAGCTGACCAAGCTGCCGCCCTTCCGCCTGCCGCCCAGCCACGTCCACCTGGCCCACAAGCCGACCGCCCTCGAGGCCAAGCACTTTGCCGCCACCTACGCCCTGTACCGCGTCTGCAGCATGAAGAACCTGCACCTCACCCTGCCGCCAGACTACAAGGCCCTGTGGAAGGACTTTGAGGCGCTCAAGAAGCTGGACGTCAAGGAGGGGAAGGGGTGGATGTACGAGGCCGACCCGTTCCAGGCCGCGAGGGAGCGGGAGGAGGCCAAGGCCGCCGCCGAGAAAAAGAGGGCGGCCGCGCAGGCGCAGAGGGAGAAGGCTGCTGCCGAGGGGCACCAGCCTGGTGGCCCGCTTGGGTTCAGGGGGGCTGGTGGTGGGGGTGGACGCGCAGGAGGCGGCGGCGGCGGCGCGCATGGGCTAATGAGGGGCTGGGCGACGGTACCCAAAATTGAGATGGGGAATAAGACCAGGTCGCAGCTTGAGGGGTTGTTGCGGAGGGAGACGGTGTGGAATCCCCACGGCGTGCTCATGACGCCCGCACAGAAGGCGGCCATTGTGAGGGAGTTCAGGGAGCTGGGGTTCCGGCAGAGCCATGTCGAAGAGGCTGTGGAAGAATGCAAGGACCGCGAGGAGACGCTCGAGTGGCTCCTCGTGCACATCCCCGAGGACGACCTGCCAAGGTGGGCTCTTCCAGAGAGGTATACCGCTGGCGTCACAGTGGCCGCTACGGATTTGCGGAGGGAGGGCGCCATCAAGCGTCTCTCGCAGTCTGGCTACTCGAATGATCTTTGCGCTAGGATGCTCGACGCAAGTGGTGGCGATGAGGGCAAGGCCGCCGAGAGTTTGCAGGAGCTGCTCTTGTCAAGCGGCACGGGTTGTCAAGACACGGCTCAACAAGAGGAGAGTGAATCCTGGAAGAGTCCAGACGAGTGCTGGGGCGAGGAGATGGCGACCATTGAGGCCAGTTTCGGCGACAAGTTCACACGCGTATCCCCCGATGTCTGCCAGATACGGCTCGAATCGGTCATCAACGGGGAAAACAGCGACGTCGAGACATACTTGCAGGTCAGGAAGACGCCGCAGTATCCCGCTCAAGTAGTTTTAGCTGTGCTGGCGCCGCTGCCGGCATACATCAAGCTGAGCATCATCAAGAGAGCGCTTGCATACGCCACCGAATCGCTTCAAGGCGAGGAGATGAAGATCTACTTCCTCATCAGCTGGGTGCAGGAAAGCATCAACGACATCATCGAGCGGCCTGGTGCCCTCAAGGATGTCGCTGCCGTGTCATCGGCAGCCTCAGAAGAGCCGGCGACGGCCGTAAGGCAGTCAAGGAGGCGGCCTCGGTACCCGAAGCCCATCGACTGGACGCCGAACTCCCAAAGCAAACAAGCGTGGACGGCAAGGACAGAGACCCCCGGCTACAAGAAGATGCTCTCCCAGAGGGAGCGTCTACCGGCGTGGCAAGTTAGGGCCGAGGTGGTCCGGACTGTTACCGAGAACCAGGTCACCATCATCTCGGGCGAGACTGGTTCCGGCAAGTCCACGCAGTCTGTCCAGTTCATCCTGGACGACCTGTACAACAGGGGACTCGGGAACGGAGCCAACATTATCGTGACCCAGCCTCGCCGTATTTCGGCGCTTGGTCTTGCCGACCGCGTGGCTGACGAACGGTGCACCTCGGTCGGGCAGGAAGTTGGCTACTCTATCCGCGGCGAGAGTAAGACGAGCCCCAACACCAAGATCACGTTTGTGACGACCGGTGTCCTGCTCAGGCGCCTCCAGACGTCCGGAGGCCGGGTCGAGGACGTAGTAGCCTCGCTAGCCGATGTCAGCCACATCGTGGTTGACGAAGTCCACGAGCGGAGTTTGGACACTGACTTTCTGCTGAGCATCATCCGTGATGTTCTGTACAAGCGCCGGGACCTGAAGCTCATCCTGATGAGTGCCACTCTTGACGCTGCATCGTTCAGAGACTACTTCATGGCAGATAGGCAGGACGTCACGGTTGGCCTGGTTGAGATTTCGGGCCGCACGTACCCAGTCCGAGACTACTACCTCGACGATGTGATCCGCATGACAGGCTTCAGCGTTGGAAATAGGAACGATTATTACGATGACGGTACCAGCACACCGTCAGGAGACCAGACCGATCCTATCAATAAGACCATCCAGAAGCTTGGCACGCGCATCAACTACGACTTACTCATGGAGGCGGTCAGGGCGATCGACGAAGATCTGTCATCGGCACAGAAAGCTGGCGGCATCCTAGTCTTCTTGCCCGGCGTAGCTGAGATCAACCGCGCCTGCAACGCCCTGCGATCAATTCCTTCGCTCCACGTGTTACCCCTCCACGCATCGTTGGAGACGCGGGAGCAGAAGAAGGTCTTTGCCGCTGCCCCTCCAGGCAGGAGGAAGGTGGTTGTCGCCACCAACGTGGCAGAGACGTCCATCACCATCGACGACATTGTCGCTGTCATTGACAGCGGCAGGGTCAAGGAGACGTCGTTCGACCCAGCCAACAACATGCGCAAGCTCGAGGAGACATGGGCATCCCTTGCAGCGTGCAAACAGCGCCGCGGTCGTGCCGGCCGTGTCCAGGCCGGCAAATGCTACAAACTCTACACGCGCAACCTCGAATCCCAGATGGCCGAGCGGCCCGAGCCGGAAATCCGGCGCGTGCCGCTCGAACAGCTCTGCCTCGCCGTCCGGGCCATGGGTATCCGGGACATCAGCCACTTCCTGTCCCGCGCACCCACACCGCCAAAAGCGACAGCCGTCGAAGGCGCCATCACCATGCTTCGGCGAATGGGCGCGCTGGATGGTGACGAACTGACGGCCCTCGGCCAGCAGCTGGCCATGATCCCGGCCGACCTGCGCTGCGGCAAGCTGATGGTCTATGGCGCCATCTTCGGCTGTCTCGACGACTGCGTTACCATCGCCGCCATCCTGAGCACCAGGAGCCCGTTCCTGTCGCCCGCCGAGAAGCGCGACGAGGCAAAGCAGGCCCGGATGCGCTTCGCTCGCGGGGACGGCGACCTGCTCACCGACCTGCGTGCGTACCAGGAATGGGAAGCCATGATGGCCGACCGCGGCACCCCGCACCGCCGGGTTCGGCAGTGGTGCGACGAGAATTTCCTGTCATTCCCCACGCTGTCGGACATCGCGTCGACGCGATCCCAGTACTACACCTCCCTCTCCGAGATGGGCATCTGGCCGGCGTCCCCGTCCTTCTCGACAACAGCGTCGACCCCTCTCCTCCGCGCGCTGACGGCGTCCGCCTTCAGCCCGCAAATCTGCCGCATCCAGTTCCCGGACAAGAAGTTCGCGACGTCTGTCTCGGGCGCCGTCGAGCTCGATCCCGAGGCCAAGACCATCAAGTACTTTGCGCAGGACCACGGCCGCGTCTTCATCCACCCGTCCAGCACCATGTTTGATAGCCAGACCTTCTCGGGCAACGCGGCCTTTTTGTCCTATTTCAACATGATGGCGACGAGCAAGGTTTTTGTGCGGGATCTGACGCGTAGGTTTCTTCTCTTCTCATTCCTTTCCTCACTCTAGCACCCCCGAAATTTTATATTTACAGTCCACCCCTCCCCCTTCCTCCCTCATTTCCATTCTCCCCCGCCGCGCGTTTCTCCACCGACCCTTGGAACCGAACCAACGCACAGGCTAACTAACATGTACTTTTTCAGCATTCAACGCCTATACTCTCCTCCTCTTCTCGGGCGCCATCGAGCTCGACACCCAAGGCCGCGGCCTCGTCGTCGACGGCTGGCTGCGCCTGCGCGGCTGGGCCCGCATCGGCGTGCTCGTCTCGCGCCTCAGGGGCGTCATCGACCGGTTGATTGAGCGGCGCATCGAGAACAGCAGCAACAACCCAAATCCGGGGACAGACAGCGAGATTATTCGCCTTGTAACGCGCTTGGTTGAGTTGGATGGGTTGGATGCTTGAACCTTCTTCGACTTAACCTGGAAGGGCACTGTGTGGTGAACGGAGGGGACAAGGGGTTGGATGGATGTGGGAGGAAGGCTGCACTGTGATTGAGAGAGATGCTGATGTCAACCCTATGATTCCTGGAAATATGTAGTACGCAGCGTACGCCTCTTCACCTTGCTGTCTCCCGAACAGCAGGATAGTTGCGGGATAGTTCTAGCAGAGGGGGACAAGTCGCTGAAAAGTCACTCTGGTTGATTTTTCCACCCAGTCCCATGGCATGGAAACTGTCCCTCCTCTCATTTCCAAGCTACTGGCTTGGATCGCTTCTAACAACGACTTCCCTTTTCCATTTGTCCACACCAAGCCAGAGGAGATCCGGCCGGGTATAGTGACCGATGACGTCCAAGAAACCTCGAGTTGCCATGACCTTGGTCAGGTCCAAATTGGCACATACAATTCCTCGACCGCACCGGCTTCATCACCATCGAGCGGCTCCGTCAAGTGCCGCCCATCCGGGGCAATGACGCAGCTATGCCCGCCGCCCAGTTCCGAGCAAGCCATTCCTTGCTCCATCCGGAGCAGGTCGATGCTCTGCTGGCTGCACACGGCGCTGCTGTGGAGCACGTACGCGACGCTCTCAACGGCATACGTCTGGGACAAGTTCTGGCACCCCTCGGCCGTCATCCTCCAGAGGCCGCCGGGACGATCGGCGGGCACGGACGCAAGGGGCGGCCACATGGCGACGTGGATCGCCTCGCCTTGCGCCATGGTGTGGTACTTGAGCAGCGGGCTGCGTATGCTCCCAGCAGGCGAGGCAGCCGAACCTGACCTGGCCGCCGTGGTCGGGACAACCAAAGTCGATCGAGGCGACGTGGTCGAGGAGGTCGGGCCCGTCGCTGAAGGCGATGCGCCCCATGTGCGTGGGCTTGAGCTTGCGACAATGCGCGCCGCGCTCGCACCGCCGGGGAGATGATGGCCTGGGAGATGCAGAAGCTGTCGGTCGGGCTCCGCTCGGAAAAGCCAAGCATCACGGCCATTGAGTTCTCCCTGGCGGTGGCCTTGACATGGTCCATGGCCTCCGACTCGACTGGCAGCGCGTTGTAGATGTAGCGTGTCTGTAACTCGGTATCGACCGGCCGTGCCCTGGGTATGGTGCAGGCACCAGGACAGATCTACTAGAGGGTTTCGGGCGTCACGCGAGGAAACCTGGAGTGCAAAGGATTCGAGGGAAGAGGGAGTGAATAAAGGCTTTCACATGCCAAATCCAGGCTGGGTAGCCGGGGACCCAGCACTCGGGGAAGGCAACCAGTTTCGCGCCGTTTCCGGCAGCTTCAGCAACAAGACGGCATGCCTTTTTGATGCTGGCTTTGAGGTCCAGGTAGACAAGCTCTGACTGAGTGATAGCAACTCGAAGCCGTGCGGCCATGGCGAGGAATGATGGTCAGATAAAGGTTAACTCTTGACTTTACGATTCTTAAGCGGCAGAAGATCAAGCAGAGGAGGCAGATTGGAGGGGATTCAAATCTGACTGTCAAACGAGTTCAGGAGGTCACTAACCCCATGAACTTAAGTTCTGGTGCGAACTTTATGAGATCACAACCTCGGACTCGGGATGTCTTAGGCTGGTAGGGAACTGTCGATGAGGCTAGCCCGAAGATCCGTTTGGGCAATCATCTACACCTGAGTCCAATCATGATATGTAATAGGTTCTGCCGAGTTGATAGGGGGAACGGCGGGAATCACAGGTGAAACTCAAGATGTTATCTGGGTAGCATGCAGCTGCATGGACTATGTGCCCGCCTCGGCCCAACAACACCCTTTGGCAGGGGCATAAATACTGCTATGTATTATTACTGAGCGCCCGAGTGGCTCAGGAAGGGCTTTTCCTGGGCTGATTCAGTCTCCCAATCATGGATTTGTTTCCCATGACTCATACGTCTACCTCCAATTCGTCATTATCTAAAAGGGTTCGACCTAAATCTCATATCCCGGAACGTGTGGCGATATGGAAAGGAAGTTGGGTCATTACAATGGTAGGAGAAGACTCAGTTACAATCTTTCTTTGCAGTCTACCCAACCCATAGATGCGTTGTGTAATGCCTTGGCAAGTTCAACCTAACTGTTCAGGTGAACCGCCCTCGATGGCTCACGAGATATAATAAAGAGGAACGACGTGTCAGGAATCTTAGTTGGTCCCTTTGAACGGAAGTGTTAGGTCACCTGAGGAAGGGCAAACATAACAAGGGGAACTAAGAAATCACAGCATGCAAAAAACAAATAAGTCTGGATTCCTCAAAATGATCAAAGTTGGTATGTACAGAACCTAAAGAAATCATTACACTGCACATGTATTCCGGGTACATGTCTCGACACAGCCGTGTTCAACTCTGTCGTGGCTTCATTCTTCTGCAGGAAGAGCTAGTCTGTGCGGCAGCCACTTCATGCATCATCGTCTTTTCTCGATGAAAAATCCTGCCTCAGCCTCCCCCTGCCTGCCACACACCACTTGGTGGTGGCCACTAGCCAAAGACCAGTATCCACGGCAACGGCCTCGTCGTTGCGGCCATGCACTAGCATGGCCTGTAGCGAGACAATTTTGCGCTGACGCTGGGCCCTCTCTCCTTGCGGCCCACCATGTCCACCTCCAGCGCGGCGCGGTTCGTGTGCGCCTCCAGTTATCGTCAACGTTCGTAGGGTAGGAGCTATCAAGCTACCATTCAGACCCTTTTTCTCCCCTCGCTGTGCTCATAAAGAGGCATTCATGATTTCATCAGGCTGGAGCTATCAAGCAACCAAAGGACCTGGCCTCTCCTTCTATGCTGCTATTCCGCGGTTTGCCAATAAAACAAGATCAAGGGTGTCGGGTGGTGTTGTGGTGGGATGGATAATGTCGTGGTGGAATGCGTCGGGGGTTGATGATGGGGGGTGTCAGCCAGAAGCATAGATGTGGCGTATCTCGGGGTCCCGATAAAGAACGCTGTGGCGGGGTGCGGAAGGACAGTGCTAGGCGCGTAGGCATGGTGGGCGTCGAAACGGAGGATCGCCGATCCATCCTAGCCTTGCTGGAACCGCATCGCCTTACATGTCCATCGACTCGGCGCCGTTAGCGCCAAAGTTGAACCCGGCCTGTTGAGCCCCGTTCGCGGCGGAGCCGAAGCCAAACTGCTGATTCTGACCCATGGCCTCATCGGCATTCTCCTCCTCGTCCGAGAAGTACTTTTCGATGATGTTGTATGCCTTCATGTAGATCTCCTCGTTGGCATTGGTCTGGCAGTCGTGAATCTTCTCCATGCCACCGCATTCCTCGATGAACAGCGCGTAGCGGTTGATCGCGTCGGAGCCCTCTCCTGCAGCCTGCTTATCCAGGTCTCCCACCTTCAGGATGTTCTCGAGGCCGTCCAGAGCAACCTGAATGATCTTGTTGTCAGGGCAGGCAAGGAGATCGCAAAGCGGCTTGATGCAGCCCTGGTTGACCAGGTAGCGAATCTGGTCGGGCTTCTGCAGACCACCGGACGTGGCGTTGCTGATGGCCCAGCATGCCTCCTTACGAGTCTTCAGGTCGCCGTTAGAGAGCAAATGAATCAGAGGAGGAATGATGTTGGCGTCAATGACGGCCTGGATCTGAGCAGAGTTACCAGCCGTGATGTTGGAAATGGTCCAGCAAGCCTCCTTGCGGATCCCATCCTTGTTGCTGCTAAGCAGGGAGAGCAGGCAAGGCAGGGCCCCGCAATTAATAATGACCTGGGTCTGGATATCGTCGCCCGTGACAATGTTGCCAACTGAGCGGAGGGCGGGCGTCTGGACAGAGGTCGAGGCATGCATCAGTAGCTCGACCAGGCGGCGGGGGATGCCGGCCTCAATCACCGCCTGGATCTTGTCGTTGGAGCCGTCCGACAGGTACGAGATGGCCCAGCACGCGTCGATCAGCACCTCGTCATCCAGCGAATATACGAGCTTAGCGAGGATAGGAAGAGCTGGTTGGATCTGAGGCAGAGCAATTAGCATCATGTGATAGCAAGGTAGAAGGGCAGACGTACCGTGTGCCAATCAGGCTGCGGCGTCTTGCCACGGCAGAAGTTGCTCAGAGTCCACGTAGCATTCCGCAGCATACTTAGCTTGCGGCTGTCGCCAAGGAGGTTGAGCAGGGGGCGGAGAGCACCCTGGCTCAGGACGTAATCTCTGCACTGTGGGCTGTCGCCAGCAATGTTACCGAGAGCCCACACAGCCTGCTCGCGGACATCGGGCTCGGGGCTGTTGAGAAGCTCAACGAAAATGGGCACGGCCCCGGCCTCGATTACGACCTGAGTCTGAGAAGCCGACCCGGAGGCGATGTTGGTGAGAGCCCATGCGGCCTCGAATTGGACAAGGGTATGTGGCGAGCGCAGAAACTCGACGAAGCGGCTCACAACGCCAGTCTTGATGACTTCCTCAATAGGCGGGTTGCGCTCCTTGCTGAGCAGCTTCCGGAACTTTGTAGTGGCCTGGATCTGGAGGTCGATCTGGTCCGAGAAGACGCCAGCGACCATTTGGGGGAGGTCTTCATTGAGCTGCGCATTCTTACATTAGCGTCCAGATAAAGGCAAGCCACGATGTCAAGACATTTTGAATTGCTGCAGCGCAGCTGTGGTGCTGTGGTTTGATTATGCTGGGACCCTTGTGTTTATGCCGGAGCGCGGCCTTCGCCTCACGAGCAATAACCACTGTCCACAACAGACGGCGGGGTACAAAGTGGGGTGGGTGCACCAGAACAGCTGCAGCTCCAAGTTGGGGAGAGGCCAACGGCAGGTGATGACATGTGTGTGTTTGGACTAAAGCGGAGGGACAACATACCTGAGACTCGGTCGGCGGGTTTTCATCATCGCTGTCAGGGGCGGCACCCAATGCGGCGCCCGGCCGGTTCTCGCCAGTGCCGATACCACGGCGCTTGGCCAGGTTCTCCTCGCGCTTCGCCTTGCGAATCTCGACCTGCTGCTCCTCCCGGCGGCGGCGCAATTCCTCGGGCTTGAAGGTGCTCTTCGCCTTAAACTGAGTGCGCCGATGCTCGGGGATGTACCGTTCGGCCATGGCTGCGATGGATCGTCGACGACGAAGGGAATGTTTTAGGTCCGGTGATGCGAGAGGAAAGGAGGTGGGGGAGCGAAGCAGAAACACGGTCTGCCGGGACCCTGATTAGGTGCGAAAATAAGACGAGATGCAACCTGTACGAAGCGTCAGGAGATTGCAGTGTGGATGAAGAAATGCCTGGTGTGGCCCGGCACTCTTGTTCTCTGAAGTATGGATGGGCTTCTTGTTGTTTGGGACAATGAAAGAATTTGGAGACGCAGAAACTGAAAACGAAATGGGCCCGCAGTCCCCTCCTATCCGCAGCAGGATGGCCAGGATCCGAAGCCACTGACAGGTTTGCTCCGCCCCACCATCGAGTCAGGAGCAGCTGATTGTGGCCTGAGGCAACAAGGCAGTCATTGAATGGTCTCAAAGCACGGGCCAGGCAACATCCGTCCGAGGAATAGCAGGGCTTGGCGCATCTTACTCCTAAGCAGAGCGTTAGGACGGGCTGCACATGCACTCGCGAGCAACTGGCGATGCTCCCTCTGATTCACACGCGTCTCAGGACGCGTCGGGCATGTCACTGCACCTGCAACTGGGCACAGACGGTGGCGGGAGACTAGGCAAACGAACAGCACCGCCACGAAAGAGCCAAATTCATTCAACTTAATCGGTCTGTAGAACTTTGCCAATACTTATCGGTTTCTCTCCTTCCAAGTCTAGGCAACAATGCCTGTTGGGGCCTCCCGTGCAACTGCTGCGGGCACTGGCCCCCCCGAGCCGTCTCTGCCACCCAACTACACCGAACTCAGGGTCATCCATGATGAAGAGGTGTCTCCAGGGAGTTTTGTCAATGTTATAGGTGTGGTGCAAGACTGTCGTCTCCCCATCCCCACCAGCGGCAAAGGTGAGTGTCTCCAAGCGTTACACATGGACCAGTGTGTTTTGACAACCTTGGCAGACTACAAATCCACCCTCACGCTGTACGACCTCTCTATTCAAGACGAAGGCTATGGCATTAATCTTGTCATATTTCGTCCAGAGGCCGACATGCGGCAAGTCACAGCCGGTGATGTTGTGGCCATAAACACCGCCAAGGTGCAAAGGTTCCAGGGCACCTTGTCCCTCATCACAAATCACAAAACAGCAATTCGCGTCTACACGGCCTCCAAGATCCCAGAGCCGCCAGAATCAGCAAGGACCGCCCTGGCCCCCGGTCCAAAACGAGACTCCCGTCCGCCCAGCGTTGAAGAGGAGGCGTATGTCTCGCACATCTACCACAAGATTGACAAATACTCCCTCCCGGACGAGCACGAGTTCCAGGCAAAAGCTGTACAGTCCCTGAATCTTAAAAGGAAATTTAGCCTCCTCGAGGACGTGAAAGAAGGCCACTTCTACGACTTGGTTGCCCACGTTGCCAGGGACCCGCACTACGGTGACTACACTCTCGGTTTGGCGACTCTCTACATCTCGGACTACACTGAGAACCCAAACTTTCACCCACAGGTTTGGCAGGACTCGACAGAATTGGCACCAGTGGGCGGAGATCCGTACGGCTACAACTCTGGAAGTGTCGACATGCCCACGAAAGACTGGGTTGGGCCGTACGGGAAAAGGACCATCCAGCTCACCTGTTTCGAGCCACACGCCACCTACGTTCGAGATGAAGTCAGGGCTGGCCAGTGGGTAGCGCTCCGCAATGTCCATATCAAGTACGGCCGCGACGGCCGATTTCTTGAAGGCTTCATGCATGGGGAGCAGAATATCTCTAACTCGAGAATCAACGTGCAGATCCTCGAAAAAGGCGACATTGAGGAAAATCCGAATTTCAAGGAGGCCATTCGTCGATTCCGCGACTACGACAAGAAGAGAAAGAAAGAGATCAAAGAGATTAAAGCTGCCCAGGCTGCAGGCTTGAAGCGCAAGGCCGCCGTCTCCTCCGAGCAAGGGAAAAGTTACCTCAATTCAAAGGAGCGCCGCAAGCGCAAGAGGGAAGAAATTCAGAAGAAGGAGAAGGAGAATCTCGCCAACCAAGAGCTGTGCCTCGGCCTCAGCGACAATATCACCTGCGAAGCCCACAACGCCCCGTATTCTACCATCGCCTCCATGCTCAATCCACTTGTTCACCAGGCAACCATCAACAACCAGACCGCCGCCATCGTCATGCCCTTCACCTGTGCCAAGTACCGAGCCCAGGTCCGCGTCGTCGACTTCTTCCCCCCATCTCTCGAGGACTTCGCCTGTAGCCGAAAATCAACCCTGCTCGACGCGCTCTCGGACAATGAGGACGGCAGCGAGTGTCGCTCATCCTCCGAGGACGAGGACTCCCCCGGCGGGACCGACCGTGTCTGGGAATGGCGCTTCGCCCTCCAACTCGAGGACCCGGCTCCGCCTCCTCCAGCAGACACCGACAGGAACAAGAATAATAACACCACTACCCCACGACCGCGTGTCTGGGTCTTCGTCGACAACGCCGAGGCACAATGCCTGACGAGCCTTGACGCTGCCGACCTCCGGCGTAATCCCGAGCTGCTCGTTCAGCTCCGCGAGCGCATGTTTAAACTGTGGGGGAACCTGGAAGAGCACAAAGCCCGGGCTGCCGGGCAACAACAGAAACAGGCTGCCAAGCAGGGTGGCGCACGGCCAGGAGGCAAGAAACCCAACCCCCTGCTCAATATGCCGCCCCTGAATCAAAGTTCTCCCGCGGAAGCCGAGGGTGGTGGTCGGGATGCTGTGAAAGAGGAGCCCATCTCGAATAAGCCGTTTGCATGCTGTATCAAGCAGTATGGTATATACGAAAAGGAGGAGCCGGGGAAGGCGGGCAGGTGGGTTCGTTGTTTCGGGCTGTTTGGGACAAAGATAAACATTTGACCGCCTATGATCATGAATCACGAGTTATACTAGTGTTCCAGTGGTGTTTATGTGTATGGGGTTTCTGGCACTCCTGGAGTTTTGGGATGAACATAAGACGTGTCTTTTGCATTTGCACGGGCCATCGTCAGGAGTTTTTGAGTTAATTTGATACACAATGCCAGGGAGAATATGCATACATGACAACCCAGCTTTTACGGGTTGTTCAATGATTCAGGGCACTTTCATGGCATGCATATCGCATGATTACAACCATATCAACAAAGCCGGTGTTACTAGCAGCATCATGCCAATCTCCTCTGTAAAAGAATTCAGGATGCAGCATCAATCCCAGAGTGAAGTGTTAAACAGCTGTGAACAAAGCAAACTCAGCCTCATCAGCCAAGACCATTATACAACAGCCACTACGCCAAGGGAGCAAAGGAATGGACAATATGAAAACAGAAACAGATGATTCCTCCTCAGTCGCCTATTACAGACTCATCCTCGTCCATCTTATCCCCACGGCCATCACCACCCTCCTCTTCCTCCTCATCCTCAGCATCCTCAATGGGATCATCCAACAACTCCCTTCTCCTCAAGTCCTCCGCAGACCCCTCCTCCGGCTCGGGCTCCTCAATCTCGGATAACTCGGACTCGTCGTGCTCAGCAACAACAATCTCCTCGTTAAGCGGCGCCTTCTTCCCAGCAGCAGTAGCACCGCCACCACCACCACCACCACCACCAGCCGCTTTCCCCTTACCCTTGGCCTTAGCACCACCAGCCGCACCGCCAGCAACCTTCTTCTTTCTTCCTCCTCCTTCTCCACCCCCAGCCACCGCCGACGCCTGCTGCAGCCGCTCCCTGACTTTCCCTTCATCAAGGTACAAGACCGTCTCCCGATGATTCGGCCCAAGTTTGCCCTGGTTGCGTACCATCCTCCTTCTCAACTTGCCTGCTTGGGGGCCGACATGATCCGCCATCTTGGCCAGGATGGCCAGCACCAGCTTGCCTGCCAGCTCGCACAGGGCGCGCTCAAGCTTGAGCTCCTTACCCTTGCGCTCCGTGGGCGACAGGGCCGCGTCGGCGGCTGCTTCCTCCTCGTCTTCATCATCATCTTCTTCTGCTTCCAAGTCTTCTTCGTCGGCGGCGGGGAGGGCCGCGTCTTGTTGTTCAAGTTGATCGTCCCGGGAGGGCTCCTTGAGCGCGCGCTTAGTGACACGGGCGTAGGCGCGCTCGGCAGCGTTGTAAATCTCAATGAGCTCGTTGGTGAGGCCTGGTTGGATGGGTTCGAAGAGGGGCTCGAGGTGGGCGTAGATCTGCGGTTGCGACGGGGATTGTTTGACTGCTTCGCGGAGGGAGGCGAACAGCACGTGCAGGTCGCAGAGGGCGCCGGTCGCGAAGAGGCGGAGGTCGTCGTTGGTGCCGCGCGAGGAGAGGGTCCAGATCAGGTTGTTGGCGTACGTCTTGCGGAGGCTGGACAGCCGCTGGACGGGTTGGGCGGGGATGGCGGTGGAGGATTGCACTACCGTGAGGAGCGCGCGGACTTTCCACATGAAGTAGAAGTTGGAGGCTTGGATGGCGTACGAGACGGCTTCATCTTCGAGGTCATCGAGCGCTTCGTCAACCTGGTCGAGCTTGCCGCGGTGGACGGTGCGGGTGATGAGTTCGATGACCGGGTTGGACGAGTCTTCAGATTGGCCTTCGGCTTCGAATACTTCCACGCAGTCGGCGATGCTGGCGAGCTTGCTGACCTTGAGAAGGATGCTGCCCAACTGGGTAATGGCAGGAGTTTCCATGTTGCCGCGGTCGCTGAGCTCGTGGGACTTGTCGAAATGCCGGAGGGCGTTAATCACCGTCTCCCACAGCTCTGCAATCTTGGTATATGTTATCTCCTCCAGTTCGTCGTACTTCCGCGCGTGCAACAAAGCTGCTGTTGCTTCTGCCAGGACACCTCTGTCGACATGCCTATCGAACTGGGTGCATATCTCGTCCAACAAGCGGTTGTATGTTGTCGAGTCCTGGCGCAGCTGCTGGAATACGTCGAGGGGCAATGAGTGCTCCAGGCGTAATACCATGACCGCAGTGCTGGCTTCGGCTCCATACTTGTTCAAAAGGCGAGGGATAATGCCAGCAAGGTGTACGGCCGAATCCTCGGCGCTGTCACCGGCATCTGGCCGTTGCTTCCTCTTGCTCCTGTCGGCGTCTGAGGCTGATGCCAGGCTCAGCTTGACAGCAGACGCGAGAACCTCCAGAAGCACAGACTCTTCTTTACCCTCTGGTGCCAGAGCATTCTTAAGCGTCGCCTCGTTTGAGGTGCGCTTGGATGACGATCTCGACTTTGTACTTGTCGTGTGGTCATAGAGAAGATAACCGGACAAGAGCTCCCAATTCTTGACTTGATCGATCTTCTCGTACAAGACCTGCGAGGCCAGCGAGATGCGGGTCTCGGGCGCCACAGCCTGAACCATCTCGACAGCAATATCCAAATAACGGACTGGCTGTGTGTGGTTCTCTTCCTCAAGCTGCGCATCGTACGCAGCCAGGAGCTCGGCAAGGCACTTGATGCTGATCCAATCTCGGCGGGGAGAAAAGTAATCATCCTCCTCGTCGTCACCAAACAGTTCGTCAACAGCATCGACGCCTCCCATGTCCTCGATCTTCGTCTCGATTGAGTCGTTAACACAACCGGCAAAGAAATCAATGACAGCCCTCCGTACGCGTAACTCCGAATCGAAGACCAACCGGCCAATAGAGTCGATCTCGTCGGGCTCGAGCATGCCGGTGTCCTTCAGGATCTGGATGACAGAAATGGCGACGACCCGAACACTGACGTCGGCGTCCTTGGTAGCCATCTCGACCAGGCGCGGCCGGAATCGGTCGATGAAGTGACCAAGCTTCTCAGCATCGCGCTTCAATATCCGGGCGAGCTGCTTGAGCACCTCTTGTCTGGTTTGTGGGGTGGGGTCGGACAACATCCAGCCCAAGTATCGTAGATACTCAGGTTCCATGAAGAAGGTGGGCAGAAGCCAGATCCACGTGCCGAGAGCCTCAACACACTCGGTTCGGATCTTGGCGTCGATATCGCGGTATCGGTGGACGAAGACGGTTTCAAAAAAGTCTGTTATTTGCTCCTGGCAAATCTGTCGGTTACGCTCTGCTTCCTCGAGGTTCTTCTGGATCACGGCCAATCGTTCCTTGTTCTTCCCCTTACGGCTCTTCTCGGCGTCAACCTGCTGGGTCATCTTTGTGATGCGGTCGTCGAGCTTCTTCGCAACTTCGACCAGAGCGGCCTCCATGGCGAGAGCGACGGTGGTTGCTGTATGCCTAAACGGCCGAAGGGTCGACGAAGACATGGACGCCACCCATCGCGCGATATTCTCCATCAATGCGCTGTCCTTGTAGAGGACGTCGGTCTCGTGGAGAACGGTGACCAGAGACCTGAAAAAGCCGACCAGCAGGTCGCGGAACGACTTCGTAGACTTGGCTCTCGAAATGAGGGGATAGTCCGTGATTCCCTCCTATTGCAGTCGAGGTTAGCACGATCGTGCATGTTGGTGGAAAAGCGGCCTGCCTTACTTCAGCGTAGACGTTCTGCAAATCCGCCAGCCTGTTGGAGCAGTTTTCTGGGTCTCGTATATCGTCTTGGGTGACCTGCTGGTCGCAGCCAGCCGACAGGAGGATGCAGTTCACGAGGTCAGTGACGGCAGCAGTGTCGTCCGCCTGGTATTTGTGGTACCATTCCGTCGCAACCTTGTCGGAAGAATCTCCAGAGGCAAAGACGTCGGCTACATCCATAGTCAGTAATGTGCTAGGAACCGGCAACCGCATTTGCGGCGTCAAGAGCACCTACCATACAGCCCATGAGCCTCGCGCTGGGCAACCGCAATTCGGACCGCCTTTTTCGGGCGACTCGGTAGACTGGCAGCATGAACGGGCTCTCGGGGCGGCGCGTCGCCGTTGATTTTTGGCTTTTTTGCGGCCGGTTTCCTCGACTTGGCTGCTTGCGACGATGAGGGCTTCTTCTTCTTTGGAGCGCGCCGGGGTTCCTCGGTGGCCGTGTCGTCTGCATCATCATCATTGGCATCATTAATATCGCCCATCTCATCGGGCGACTCGTTTTCCGCATCCTCGTCGTCGTGATCTGCATTCCGCTTGCGCTTGGTGGCGGGCGCATGGGGAGTAAACTTGGTGGGCGCCTTCGTGACGCGTCCGGAGCGGCGCGCGGTAGAAGTGGGAGCAGGTGAGCTCGTCGCGGTGTTGTCTGAGGTCTCCATGAGTGGCTGTCGTCTCGATAACATTACATTTGTTGTGTGTGAATAGGTAGGCCGTTGTCAAGGGGGCGGCGAATTGGCCGTTGTCGTGTCTAGCAATTGCAATTGACGCGTCCAGAGTGGCCGTCGATCACCAGATTATTTTGGTGGATTGCCCCCACTCTCGACAACCCCTTGCAGGCTGCTGTGAAGTTCCACCAACGGCCAGAAACAGGGCAGTGCTACTGCTGCGTATGGTATGCAGTTACCGAGGTATTGAAACAATCCATGAATTCCACCCAGCATCTGCCAGAACATTTAATGATAATCATGAACGGGTATAGTCTAAATACAGCGTCTAAGTTGTTGAAGGTCCGGCACGCCCTAAGGCACAGCGGTGTAGGAATAATAATAAATACAGCGTCTAGTATAACCGTGCCTTACCCCATCGTTGCGTGTTGGACCCGATCCATCTACAACACTGGACTCGGTGGCGACGGTCTGCCCGCTAACCGCACAACGGCCCCCGGATCACCTTACACACAACAGCGCCTGGTCGCCGAAATGCTGCGAGATGCTGCCTTCCTGAGACAACATGGATCCAATCCAGAGCCGGCCGGCCTCAACTGCCGGCGCTCCAAACTTGACCACGACGCAGCCCCTGACATTGGCGGCTGACCAGAGCAGCCTACTCTCCTTCTCCATCTGCAGCCTCTGGACCCGCCACTTCTCTCGCGGCGAGAGCAAGACCTCGGACTGTTTCTTCGCGTCGTCGCTTCGCCAGTCGCGCGCCCCGAGCCGCGGGAGGGCGGCGAACTCGGCCAGGAAGAAGTCGCCCAGCGCCTTCACCAGCGGCCCTCGGAGGATGAGAGTCCCGCTGACGCCCAAACCGTGCATCGACTCGCGGAGCGTCGGCAGCTGGGCATGGGCTCGGTTGCTGTCGAGGATAACGGAATCTCGCACCAGCAGTCGGCCACGAGCAGCTACCTCGTCATCGCCGACCGTCCAGACCTCGTTGCGGCCAACCCACTTGACGAAGCTCCAGTTCTCCCCGCGTGCAGTACGGCCCTGGGTAACCCAATCCAAGAGGCAGAGCGACGAGTTCTGTGCTAGCCTGAATGTTTGGATTTGCTCGTAGACGCTGGCTTCGAAAGGCTGGACCGGGTCTGGGAGCAGACAGACGGCCGCGCCGGGCGCAATGCTGACGTGCATGGCCTGGCGAGTGACAATATCCGGACTAGGCGACTTGAAGATCTTGGTGTGCCCCTGCGTGGCCAGACTCAGCTTCGCGCCAGCCTTCACGTCGATGGACAGCTTGACCTGGTCCCCGCCCACAAGGCCGCCGCCATAGGAAAGCAGGAAGACAAGGGCACTTTTGGTCTCGGGGGCCCGCATCGGCGTGATCAATTTGAGAGGGTACTGATATGTGAATGCCTCGACCCCGCTGATGCCCTCAGGGAGGAGCCGGATCACAATGCGACCCTCCCCGTCGGCAGATGAGGATTTGGGGAATGGCGAGTCCATGGCGCTTGTCACCTCATGCCGGCTTCTGAGGGCATCCAAAGGGACAGATATCCGGGAATGCAACGGCAGAAGAGTGAATAGCAGGAAGTTGACCTGCGCAGAACCGGAACCGATAACCAACCCTGAAGAAGATCGCCAAGACTGAAGGTGAAGCTTAACTACAGAGTCATAGCCCATACACAACCCTTATCGCATCACACGCCCCGCGCTAGCACATCGTCACCCACCAGGGACCCTTGCTGCACACTCGCGGTTTGTGGGGCATGGAAGTCGAGAAATGCAACCCAACGCCCAAATCGCAACTTTCTTTCTCGGCGCTTGCCCTGTCCTCTCTTTTTATCGTTTCAAACGGTTTCGCTACAACAATCCGTCCAGCACAGATGCCTCCAAAGCTGACATCAAGAGGACGGGGCCGTGGCCGGGGAGGCACAGCCCGCGGTGCGGCCTCCGCTGCGGCTTCCCGCGATGCTGCACGAACTCCGGTCGATGCCCCCGCCGCCGAGTCTTCTGGCGCCGCGACAGCTAGTGCGACCAGTCTCTCGGCGCCAGCACCACCTCTCAGGATGGTTGTGCCTTCCGATAATCCGCCCTCGTCTGAGGGCCTAAACGTGCCGACAGTGTCTCGAGAAGCTAGCAGCACTCCCGCGCCAACCTCCTCAAGTCGCGGTTCTGCCGCCAGCAAATTCAAGCCCAAGGCCGTTCGTCGTAGTGAGACAGAGCGCGCGCGCATCGCCGAAGAGCAGTTGAGGATACAGGAACAGAGGAACGCTGAAGAAGCGAGGCGACTCGCTCGCCTTAACCGTGGTCGTGGTCGAGGACGTGCCCGAGGTCGCGGTGGATTCAATTTCCGGACCGCAGGAGCTGCTGGCCCATTGGCGGCTGGATTGAGTTGTAAGTTTGCGCTGCTCGGGACAATTTTGCACGATGTTTTCCGTGCACTAACACCATCATCACAGTCGGCAGTGGAGGTTCGTCGGGCCAAGGTGGCTACGCTTTTGCATCCAGCTCAGGCTACGTTAAAAATGAAGGCCAAGGCCAAGGAGAGCGGAGCACCTACGGCGCGTCTGGTATCGTCGATAATAGCAGGATCAACGCCGACCTACTCTACAACTACGTCGAGATCTCGGACGAGGAAGACCAAGCTTCCATTACATCGACCCAGAAGAAGAAGAAGAAGCCCATCATGCCCATGGGTATCCGGCGTGTTGAGCACAAAGACGAGGGTGTCACCATGACGACAGCCGCGGAGATTGAGGCCCAAGAGAAGGCCGGCGCCGTGGAAGAGGAGTCGGACGACGACGCCTTGTTTGTCAGCCGAGCCGCCCAAGTCGAGGATTTCGACGAGGCGCCTATGGATGAAGGCGTCGGCGAGCCGGCCCAGACACGCAACATCAAGAAGGAGGAGGTTGAGGCTGGTGCAATGGACCTGGACGAACTTCCCGAGGGCCAGCGCATCAAGGCGCCCGAGTCTCCCGAGCTGAAGAAGAAGGTCCTTGTGGGCCAGCAGAAGGCTAAAAAGTCTTCAGCACCAAAGGACCCCGAAGCCGAAGCCATCGCAAATGACCTCCAGCGCATGCTCAATTTGTTCACCGTTCGAGGCGAGGACGGCCAGGTGGCCGAGGATGGTACGGCGAACAATGCTGCGCTCGAAGGCCACATGTTCCTTTTCCAATTCCCGCCCGTCCTGCCGCCTTTGCACGTTGTGCCCCGCGACGGCACGTCGGCGAATCCAATCGCGATAAAGCCGGAGCCGGACGACGATGTGGTCATGCTGAATGAGCCACCCGTCAATATCGATCTCACACAGGACGATAACGCCAAGGTCAAGAAGGAAGACGAGGGCGAAGAAGAGCCGGAGGGGCAGGCGAAAGAGAAGAGCGACGAGCTCAAGGAAGGAGGCTACATCGGCAACCTGGTTGTGCGCAAGTCGGGCAAGGTGGAGCTGAGCTGGGGCGGACAGAAGTTGGAGCTCATGCCGGGCATCCAGAGCAATTTCTTGTCGACGGCCGTGCTGATTGAGCACGCGGACAAGAAGCCCGACGATCCCAGCCAGATGGCCGGTGTTGCCTATGGCATGGGCAAGATCCAGGGCTCCTTTACCCTCGCGCCAGTGTGGGGTGATGAGGAGGAGTGGGTCGTGGACCCCAAGGATCTTGAGGTTCCGGAGAAATAAAAGGAACGGAGTTGATGGCGGGCCGCAGTGTTTAGAGGGCTCTCGTCGCTTTGGCGGAGGGCCGCCTCTGACGTACCCGCCGAGATTACTGGTCTCAGTGTTGCTGGCCACAAGTACGAGCCGCATGGCATCGAGGTGACGGGTCCAAGTAGGACATGATCTACCACCTCAGAATTGTAGTATAGACGGATGGTTATATGTCGGAATAGATACCCGGAATACGGCCCATATGGATGGGGCACGCAACATTAGCAGCCAGCGAATAGGATCACGACTTCTGAACTGACACCTCGCACGGCAGTTGTATCGTAGTTTAGCAAACACCAATCGCTGTTGTAGCCATCCAAGACCACTCTCCTGGGTCACGGTTTCCAGGTTCCCCGCGTTTCCACAAGTAATACATCCCTCCGCGCCATTTCTTTCATTCCAGGTGTTCACGCTCCACTTAGCTTTGAAACTGTAACAACACCACACTGTCGGATATCCCGAGAGTACCATCCTACTCTCCGGATATCCCGAGACATCACCTTGGCTACCTGGATGCCCTACTCACGGAACGTACACATGACGAATTCTCGTGGTGACGATTAGGACAAGACGGATAAGGGTTCCGCTCCTTGGTTGCCGTGAGGAAGCTTATTTACGCCTTACACTCGACAGATTGCTGAGCCAAAGTTGTCATCCTGAGGCAGGCAAGTTACACAACAAGAGCACAATGGGTGAACAAATTTATACAGACGAGGCAATTCACCTCATCATTATCGGCGCCGGCCTGGCCGGATTGAGCGCGGCGCTGTCGACCAAGCTGGCGAACCCAGCTCACCGCGTGACGGTTCTGGAGACGGTCAAGCAGCTGCAGGAAGTTGGTGTAAGTCGTATTCCTCTCTCTCTCGTGCCCTCCTTTCGCCCTTGCCTTCCACCTTTCTCTAGTTACCACCAATTCTTATCCAAATCACCAATCCTTCTCCTTTTGACGCATTCTCAACGACTCCAAGTCACTATACCATACTAACACCTCTGAAAAGGCCGGCCTGCAAATAACCCCCAACGGCACCCGCCTCCTCTCCGCCTGGGGCCTCACGCCGCAGCTCGCTCCCGTCGCCACCGTTCCCACCGCGCTCTCCGTCCACCGCTACGACGGCACCAAACTCCTCGCCCGCGAGCCAGCACTGCAATCCACCATGGCAGCGCGCTACGGCCACCCCTTCTGGGACCTGCACCGCGTCGACCTGCAGCAAGCAATGCTCTCCCGCTGCGCTGCCCTCGGCGTCGCCATCCAGCTCAACGCGCGCGCTGTCAGGGTCGACTTCGACGACGCCCGCGTGCACCTGCACGATGGCCGGGTCGTGGAGGGCGACGTGGTGCTGCTGGCGGACGGCCTGTGGAGCCAGATCCGGCCGCAGTTCTTGGGCCGGCCCAGCCCGGCAATCCTGACGGGCGATCTGGCATACCGGATCACGGTGCGCGTGGACGAGCTCGAGGGGGACGACGCCGCGGAGCTGAGGGCGTTTGTGGCGGACGAGCCGACGGTGGATTTCTGGGTCGGGCCGAGGTCGCACTGCGTCGGATATCCCGTGCGGGCCGGGCAGGTGTATAACCTGGTGCTTTTGTGTCCAGATGATCTGCCGGGGGACGTGGTCAAGCTGGAGGGGGATAAAGATGAGATGAGGGAGCGGTTCAGGGGGTGGGATCCGTTGCTGGGCAAGTTTCTGCGGCAGGTCAAGGGGGTCGTGCATAAGTGGAAGCTGATGTGGTTGGATGCGCTGCCCGAGTGGGCGAACGAAGGCGGCACGTTTTTCATGGCGGGCGACTGCTGTCATCCGATGTTGCCGTATCTGGCGCAGGGGGCGAACTCGAGTCTTGAGGATGGTGCGGTGTTGGGGTCGTTGCTGGGGAAGGTGAGGAGGAGCGAGATGAAGAGACAGCTGCCGTGTGTGTCTAAAATGTATCAGGATTTGAGGATGGAACGCGGGAGGAGGATCCAGCTTGAGACATTCCGGCAGCGCGATGATTCACACCTCGAGGACGGCGAAGCCCAGGAGAGAAGGGATGCTCTAATGTTGAGTATGCTGGGAAAAAAGGTCAAGGCACCCTTCCCGAGTCGCTGGACGTGCCCCAAGATTCAAAAGTTTCTGTATGGCTATGATGCGTACGCCGAGGCGGAGAAGGCGTACAAGGAGAAGCCGTTTTGATTTTGAGAGGGCCCCCCGAGCATCGAGCGTTAGATTCAGGGTCATGCGATAGATCTACCGCCAGAACATAAATTTTAGTCCCGATGATTGCGGAAAATGATTGCATGATGTCTGCTGTGATGATCCAGTCCGTCACGGCCTGTTTTGTCTTACCCTAACCCGTTTCCAAGACACTGTCCCAGCCACAATCCCGTGTCTAACCATTACTTATTACAGGCTGGGGCTTGCACCCATCTCACACCTTCACCCACAACTTGAACCCAGACACCGCGCACCTACACCCAGCGAGCGCAACAGAGCCCAGCACGATCACCAGCCCCGCCCATACCTGCGCCCACAAGTACTGCCCCGCCGACTTGTCGATGATGGCGCCGGCCGTCGGCGGCCCCGCGAGCGAGGCAAACGCAATGATGGTGCAGACCATGCCGTACCGCGTCCCCATCTTTCTCGGATCCTTGGTCAAGCTGGCCAGCGAGCAAGTGAACAGGCCCTGTGCGGCGCCGTTGGCGAGGCCAAAGAAGACCGAGAACACGTACATGCCCGCCCGCGTGGTGACGCCGGTCCACGCAAAGAGCATGCAGCCCAGAACCAGAACGTGGAACGCGTACATGTTAATGGGCCCGAGGTATCGGTCTGCCAGGAAGCCTACCAAGGGCCGGCTCGGGATGCTCATGCCGTTTGTGATGACTGCTCGACAGATTAGTCATGTCGACCTACTCTGGGCGAGTCCGGAGTGAACCTGGAGCGACGGTGCCGTTGTCTTGGTCTCGAGACAGCAGGGAAGGGACAAAAGAGCACTGGTTTGACATACGGAGGAGTTGGACTGAGTCGGTAGTGGAAAAGTGAATGACGTTTCGGGCGTATGCGTTGATCTAAGAATCATCAGCATTCGAGTATAACAGTAAACGAAATGACGATACTCACATAGAAAAAGCCAAAATAGAGCGCCCAAAAGAAGAGAAACGCTCCGAGGATGTACAAGAGATAAGGCCCCTCCCTAAAGGCATCCCATTCAACGAGTGGGCCTGACTTCCTTGGTGTCAGCCGCGGCCTCAAAATCAGAATCGCAACGGCCGACATGATCAGCGCGAGAAAGGCAGCGCATCTGACAGCCCACGGGAAGCCAATCTGCGGGATAAGGTATTGAATCGTTGCTGGGAAGATAACGCTCCCGAAGCCGGTCCCGGATGCCGCAAGGGCTAGCGCCAACGACCGCTTGTGCACAAAGTACGAGTTGACGACAGAGATCGGCGGCATGAACATGATGCCCAGTCCTAGACCCGTACACAGCCCCTGAGCAAGGAAGATCTGCCAGTACTCGGTGCACAGACTCGTCATGAAGGTCCCAAACACGACGAGGAACGACCCCACGGCAATGGTCGTCTTTACGTATCCCGCATCCGCCATTCTCCCCGAGAACGTGCACATAACGAAGGCGAGGAAGATCTGCAAGGACCCGATCCATGAGATCTGGGAATCGGGGAGCTTGAGCGCGTCTCGGTAGTGAAGCTGGTATACACCGAACATCGATGGATAGCCCCATGACATCGAGTTGACGAGAGCTGCCGCAAAGACTTGAGACCAAGCGGTGAATCCACCGTCAGGAGGCTGGAGCCCTTCCGCGGCTGGAGGAGCTGCATCGTCAGTTCCTGATTCTGTGACGGCATCGGCTGTCGCGGTTCCTTTGCTTATTGAAATGGCTTTCTCGACGTCGAGGGCGGCTGTCATGTTGACGGAATTGTTCGAGGGCTCTGAGGACCGAAACCACGGGCGAACATCGAGGGGACGGCAAGCTTCTTAATTATGAATCATTGAACGGCCCGGGCCCCAAAGATCAACTCGGCACACGGCCCCATCCTGTTTGTCATAGTCGCATCCGACGCCGGGAAAAGTCCAATTCACAGGCGAGGCTACATCCGGCCTTATTTCCGCCGAGACCGACATCGCCCGTTTCTAGATGTCATCCACGCCTTTGTGGTGGAGCCAAGGTCCCGATGGATCTTCCGGCGGCGAATCGGGCGCCGGCAGAGCGTGCCCCGCAGCCCAGCTGCTGCGCAAAGCATGCAACTGTAGATATGCACACCATGAAGTCGCTTCAAGAACAGCGGTTCGCGCGGCGGCCGGGGACCGTATCCGCGATGTTCAGGTGAACCAAATACGGCCCACAGTATATGGAGTCGGCCCGTGGCACACGGTAACGGCCGGGCCTCGTCGCGATGGCTGCACGGATTCCGATCGCTGCGCAGAGAGATGGTTTTCGATGAGTCTTGTCTCCACTTCACCGGGTTGCCCATTCCGTAGATAAAATGTCACCTCATTGAAGCGGTTGCTGAACCAAATGCATAGAGGAAGGTAGGACTTTAGGATTTCAAGTCGAAGTCAAGCTGGGAACTGAAGGTTGCCCAGGCTGGCAATCTTTTCCATCTGACGGAGTGGATGGAACCGGTTGACGCTGTGCAGCTCCACATTGCCGTGGCTGCGAAGAATGGTTGAGAAGTCCAGAGAGGAAGCAGAAAATAATGAAAATGGAAGGAATCAAAAACAACTTGAAGGGGAAGAAGATGAGTTAACGTTAGATGATTGGAGAGAGTAAATAGAGGTGGGCTGGACAGCTGGTGCCACAACCAAGCAACCCTCAACCTTATTGCAAGTGCTCTTTGTATGTGCGGAGTGCGCAACACATCCCGTTTTGACAAACCGTACTGTGTAATGCACCATATCTTTTCGCTGCAACTCTGTCCATCATAAGAAAACTGTGATGGGCATGACAGCGAGGATAGGTAGAAAGGGACTTTGGCCACCAACAATCCAATTGACCTCGCCACAGCCCCGCACAAGCCAGTTGCCGGGCACCCGCCAGATCCCGCAAGCCCCACCTTAAAAGCCGGCGCGCCCAACCAGGGCTGGCTTGAACTCTCAACCAATGACGTACCATGATTTTACCACATTTGATCGGAAAGGGAAGGCGTCGTCTTCCGACCCACTTGGCGCGTTGCAATGCAAGCCTTCGCCGGCAAAACACAATAGCGGCACTCCCGTTCTGGTTCAGTTACAAGTTCATCATGAGCGCGCTACAAGCAAACGTAATGAAAGTATTTAGGGAGTATTGCACACCTATTACTAAATGGTAAGCTGATAGCAACAGCCTAGTGGAGCTGGACTCGACTTTCGAATGCCAATTCATTCACTGGGTTTGATTAGGTAATCCCACTTTTCCTCTCTCCCGCTGGATCTAGACTGAATCAGGATTAGCATCAAACCTTGTTTGAGCAAACCCAGCACAGTATGGATTGCGATCTCAGAATGTTGCACCCGTCACTTCGTGCATATTCACCTTATGACATATTGAGAGTAAAATACTCTCGGTTCATGACAGGGAAGGGCAGAGGAGCGCAGGGCCGGCCAGAGCAGGGCAGGCAGGGCTGATCATCACCTGACCCGACCTCGTAATTAAGCCTCGGATAGAAGTTCACAGCACCACACACAAGAACACCCGTGGACATCCCACAACTGATTTCGAAAGATCGAATTTCCTCTCACCTAGTACCCTAGGTGACGCAACTATAGCATAGCTAGGCTACACCGTAGGGCCCAGAGGCAGTATACTCAACTTCACATCCACACATCTCCAAGCACTACTCTTCCTGCTCCCTCTCTGGTCAGCGCATCAAGGAGGGACACATCCAGTCCACTAGACAAAGAGGAGAGGGAAAAGACAAAACAAACAAGCATGCGGAGAAGAGCCACATAGACACAAGAGCAACCCCATTTCAAAGTCAACCAACTCCGGAGAGATCGACACACTAGAGACAACAAGAAAATATGCGCGGGAAACAAAGAGACCCAGAGATGGAGGAAAAAGCAGACGCATAAAACAAAACCAAAATCAACTCCTCAGTGTATCCCATGTCATCAATGTTCCTTTCTTCCTCCTGTGCCCTATTGAGCCTTTGAGATTCCTCGTTTCCCCGCTCACAACTCATCCACCCTTCTGTAACCACTACCCATCCACCATCAAATGCCCTCAACTAGTATAGTAAATCCATCACACAAACTCCATCTTGCTGTTAGCACGCCATGTGACCGCACTGCCTCCATTCATAAACGGGAGAAACATTGTCTCAGTTACCTCTGCTTCAGGAGGCCGGAGGTATAAATTCGCCGACTTTGGAGTAAGAGAGCGTCGAACTTCGGAACAGAAGCCAGGATGAGAACAACGCCCCACAACTTGAATAGCCCATGTTTGCCGTACTGCACGGTTATTGTTTTGAAAGAGTGGACGCCGACGTGCAAGAACATCGGCCGTAATGGGCTGCTTACGGTGGCCTGGCCTGGCGGCTCTGAAAAGCCCAAGCGGACTCGCCGCGGGTGTAGGATGGCTGCGCTGCTTCATATCTCGCTGACGCTACTCAAGAAGCCTCCAATGCGAGAGAGCTCGCCTTTTCAAGACGAGAAGCGAGGTACTTGAATGGCTGGGGAAGAGGGAGTAGGGGCGACTGGTCAGAACTGGCGAGTATCACGAGTTCATGCGGTTATGAGGAGCTGTAACAACGGAGTGCCGTGGTCGTTGGATCTTCTGGTAAAGGCGTCGGGGCACGGCGGAATCGTCCTTGTCTATATTCTCTTGCGTTTCTTGGTTTTGTCCAAAATGTCGGGAGCCAAGTCGGGCAATGCGAGCGTATCAGATGCGATCGGGGCGGAGGGCAACAAGCTGGGTGCCGGGGATGGCACATCCTCTTTCTTGATGGGTACCCCCATGTGTCGACCGTAGCGACCCTTGCGACCGTTCCCTTCATCCTCGCTGATGCATAGCTCCGCAGGAATACCAGCATCCCGACATCTGCCGCAAGGCCGCTGTCTGTCGCAACCCTTTTTGCTCTTGCGGCAACGCTGGCAACGGGGTTTCGTCGAGAGGTCTGGTTGTTCCTCTTCCACGGCCCCCGGACCCCAGCTCGGGATTGCAGCCGGCGTGGCAGTAAATATGGGCACTGCCTTCTTCGTCTTTGACTTGGCTGTCTTGAACGACTTCGGCTTATGTGATGAGGGCGGAGGAGCCCTGGCGGCGAGCAGCGTGTTGGCCTTAAGCTTGGTGCTCTTTACCGGCGGAGCCGCCATTGTGCCGATTTGGGCGCCATCAGACCCGTCGACATCCTCGCCACTAGTTTCCGGCCTGTCGTTGGAAACGGCAAAACGACTTTCTGTTGCTGCAAACGCCTTCTGTGGGCTGCCAGAAGCGCCGAGCTTCTGTGTCCGCGGAGCAGGCATGTCATCCTCACTACCACTCTCGGCGTCGCTTGTCGCGCCCGTAGAGGAAGCGGCATCAGCTTTCCCGCTGAGTGTGTCATCCTGGGTTGACGTTGAGGCACGAGGATGACCCGACATCCACATAAGCTGCAGGGCGACGTCCTTGTCTTCCTCTGACACCGCACTTCTAACGGTTGGATCTGGCGTCATTATCACCGGGCCGACCCCTTGGCCAGACGGCCCAAAGCTTCCTCGCGTCCGGCGGTTGTCACTGCCGGGAGTGGCGTATGTTTCAGGGTGCGCATAACCGTTACTGTACGCCTGGGGGGAGGGGAGGGGCTGAGGGTGGCTGAACGGGTTCTGTCCAGACTGAATGAAGGGCAGGGAGCCCCGGTGAAGATCGATCCGACGAGCAGGCGAGACGGAAGGATCGGATGCGGCATTGGGCATGAGCGGAGGAGCATAGAGAGGCAAATTCTGGGAGGGTTAGTGGTCAGCAATTCGAGGTTATTCGGCGTCTGTGAGCAGGTCCCTGCTTACCGAGCTCTCGAACTTGGCGCGCTTGCGACGGCCGCCTTCAACAATGTTTTCCACGCTGATGTCTGTAGTGCCCAGATGCTCCTTGTTTCGTTTCTCGGTCGAGACACTTGCACCATCACTACTGCTATAGCCGTTGAAGCTGTCGCCATGCCCGTCCCCATTGACTTGGGCACGGTTCTTCGACGAGCGGGACCGCCCTTTCTTAGCGACGGCTGTGTTAGTGCCCGCTGACGTGCTGCGGCGCCCTCGGCCAGTGTTGGGAGACGGGCTGCGCAAGCGAGACGTCTTGGATGTGGGACGGGGAGCATCTGCTTGTTGAGGCCCTGTGAGCGGGTAGATGTCGGCGCTCGAGTAACTCCGGGCAGCGCTAAGAGCAGCGGAAAAATGGGGCCCGAGAGGCTCCTCGATCAAGCGCACATGTACTGTCATGTGGTCATGGAAGTTTTCGTAGCGGGCAATGAGAGTATTGCCATTTTGGTCCTCGAAACTGATGCCCTTGGAGACGCCGGGCCCAGAGTAGAGTCCGTAAAAATTCTTAACCGTCGTGATGATGGAGTCGGTGGTATCGTGAGGATAGATCGATACGCGCAGCGGCAAGCGCGCCTGATATGGCGCTTCTTGGAAGACCAGGACGAACTGGACCGCCTTGGGTGGTGCAACGGTGCGAGGCGAGATGCTACCGCTGTGCGATCCCGAGGGCATAGGGCCTGCTGCGTTGGAGGGCCCCGCAGCCATGCCGGCAAGAGTGTAATGTTCGAGACTACGGGACGGTTTCTCGGTCATGGGCGACGGGTATGGCTCGAGGATAGACCCAGGAGCGGTGTCGACTTTGGGCGGAAGCACGATCTTCGACTGGGTCTGAATGTGGGTCGGGGGAGTCGGCTTGCGGTCGAACAATTCCATACCCGGCCAAGAAAGCCAGGGACGGGAATAGTTCCCGAGCCGATGAGCGACTCTGGTTGCGAAGTGTAACGCGGGACAGTTCAGGTCTCGAGGTCACTACCTGGAGGTGGTAGAATTGGCGGTGCGTGTGTGGATGTTCGGATGATCAAGGAAGAAACTGCGTTTTGTGGATGGGAACCTGTCGCTGTACAGTATATGTTAGGATTGAAGTTCGCAAACCTAGGAGAAAGGGGTGAAGAGGGTTTGGGTGATGGTATCTTTTGGAGCTGGAGGGTGCAGAGAGGAGGTTCTAGCTCTGCAGTTGTGGAAGACGGGCGCATGGAACAATGACTGGGCCTGCTCCCTTCGAAGCAAGTCTGCTATGGCAGCACAACAGGCATGGGAATAAATTGCAGGATAGGTTCGATCGCATGCCACAAGAGAATCAGAAACACTTACCAGATAGCGGAGGGAAGGGGTGGTGTCGGTTGTGACTGGGATGCGATCTCGACTCGTGCGCACGCAAATCGGCCGAGCCTGGGAGCAGAGAACCAGCGTGAGCGACGAGGCGGCACCGAGTGGGGAATTATAGGCAGGCTGCGGGCGAAAGCAGATAATAGAAAATGACAATGGCTTACAAGAGAGTTTTGGGGTGGTGTTGATGGCCCGAGTCGAGCAATTCGGGATTCAAGTTGTGCGTGGGGAGACCATGAGAACGGAGGAGTTCGCAAGAAAAAGGCAACCGGTCATCGCACTCTGAGGTGAACGAACCCGAACCCTTACACTATGCTCACCAAAGCCTGCCAGGCACTTTTCCCAACCCCCGGAATCAAGCACAGTCAACACGAGACCCTCGAGATATCTGGCCTTTCCCTTATTTCCTCATATAAAACGAGATATACTGTTCTCTCGCTGCTTCTTCAAGCAGCGTGCTTCAAGAGTGACCTCGCGCGGGATCAAAGGTGGAGATTTCCGACTTTTCGCACGGTCCGCTTGGCATCTATCCGGCACCTGGTCACCTTGCCTGCAGTGGCCGACCCATGTCTGGCATCCTCGAAATGGACCTTTGACAGGTCCACAAACGTCAACAACTGACGCCATTTGCATTGGAGGCACCGCCAGGCGAGGAAACGGTTTGGGTGCGGTGTAGTCCATTTATGGGGCTGTAGTGGCGCAATCTTGTCGCATTCCTTCTTGCTTGCTGAGAGCTAGATCTGCGACTCGGCTGTTAAGGATGCCTTTGGTACGAGTCGCAAAAGGAAGAAGGAAGAATTGGGTCGCGACGTGAGTCCTGTGGAGTTACAGGCCTGGAAGCTTCATTCACAGGCGGTGCTTTAATCTTCGAGGTTGTTCGCGACCGCTTCTTCCCTGCGAGTGGCTTGACGATTATCAACCGATTCGCGGAGCGCCATCTACACTGTGCAATCTGCTCCGCGCCCTGGGGCATTGGGCCATTGTGGTCTTGATCTTGAGACTCTGGGTCGCGCAGTCAACTGCTTTACATTATGGGTTCCTTTTGACGGGCTGCCCACACGATGCAACAATCGATCGCTCGCCGCTTGGGCACTCGACCTCTCGCCTCGAGGTGGACAGGTGGGGGGGACCTTGAATCCGGCCTGTTGCGGCCAAATTGGCTGGCAACCAACCAACGGCTCCAAGTGCAAGCACTGGTTTTTAATGTGCCCAGTTAGGGACAGCAGACTCGCACACTGCGGGCGCACGGAGGGCGACTACCCAGCAACCATCGACGTTGCTCAGGCGCTTCCTGCGACCTGTCAAGGAACCCGGTGAAAACGACCGGGACAGTTTCTTGGGCGGCGACTTCAGACGAGTTGGCAGCTGGCAGGTCGCTTGTGCTCAAGAATGGAGGAGCGCGGCCCTCGAATGCGCTGGCCGAGTTTCAAATGCGAGCCGGCATCGAATCAGCGTCTGAATCTCCATGTTGACTAAAGTTAGGGCGTCAACAGCACCCCGACACCCAACGGCCAAGTTCTCTGTGGCCGGGGATCAGTTCCTCCATGCTCCCAATGCTGCGCTTCGAGTCCTGCCCGGTACATGACACCCGTAGGCTGCATTTGTGCGGACTTGCGCTGACATGGTGACGGGAGGGATTCGGTTCCACCTGGCTGCAGATGGAAGCTGGAGAGGTTGTTCCGTTGGTGATGCTCTTCTGAGAGTGGCGCCCAGTTCCCACCTTCCATTGATGGCTTGCAGGCTTCGCCAAGACACCCAGCCGAGCGTTGGGACAAGAAACCTTCAAAGGTTTGGACCTCCACGCTGCCCACCCTTGTTGAGATCGTTTGAATTGCTGATCTGCAACCCGCCGCTTGATGTCCCCGGCTTCTGCCGCAGGGGGATTGGGCTTTAAATGCCTCCTTTCCGCATGCTGCTGTCTGAATGCAAATGCCGGTTGCAGATAAGTGAAGACATCAATCTTAAATCTAGTTGCTGCGCAGTTGACGACCAGCCCTAAACCTGTCAACCATACCTACCGAGCATACGTTCGTAACGCGATTGATGCCAGATTAAGAGTCTGAGCACATCTGGAAAATGGAATGGCTGCGACGGTTGTTTCGTCACCTTTCAGGATCCTAGGCGCAGGTAAGCCGCAACCTGCATGCCTACTGATACAATCAAGCGTTGCCTTGTTTAAGGAAGAGGAGGGGAAAGAGGAAAGAAAGAATGCACCGTAAAAGCAAAAGAAAATCGAGTGTAAGCCACGTTACTCGAAGTGCCGCGATAACATAGAAACCAGGGCGGAACTGTAACTCTCAGATAGGCCATTGAGGGGATATATTCATCCGTAACTCCGTATCCGTGAGGCTTTGTCCCTCAAAACAAACCCCGCGCAAGACGCAATCGGTCGCGCCATAGGCGTCCTTAAACCGAAACATCAAAACATCGCGCTTCATCTGACTGCGCCAGCCTTCTAACTGGTCGGTTGCTGGTCAGGCCGTCCGACACCGCCATAATGCAGCCAGAAGTTCCATCTCTGCGGGGATTCTTTGGAACAGGAGGACCGTGATAAACCAGAAACGAGAGTGGAGTCGGTAGGGTTAACCTCTCAAGTGGCATGAACACCAGCGCAGCGATCTTTGCAGAATCGACATGGAAATTGATCGCCTCTTCGGAAATGGTAGGAGAGATAAAAAGCTCTCGATCGTTGCGACGGGTGAAGGTTATTATAGTGCCACGTGACGTCGCGGTGCCTTGGCGTGTCGGTTGGGCCGTTTGGCAAGGGACCGCGTTGTTCGGTTCATCGCATCTGGAGGTCGCAAAAATGCCGAGAAAACCTAAGAAAGCTTGAGCATAAGTTGTGTTTGTAAAGTCAGCACGAAACTAGCTGTTAATTCACGAAAAGAATCTAGAAGTGTAGCACTTGCTGCATCTTAAAATTGAATCACGGCTTCGTGAGTGACGCGAATGGTCAAAGAATGCTCCACAATTCGAGGGCTACAGGTTACGTCATGTCAATCGCACGGATGGACGGAGCAACCACCCAGCGCCGGGCAGGGGCCACTTGTTTGCCAAGAAATTCACTGAGGGTTGTTTACCCATCCGTAACAATGTAAACAACGGAACTTGAACACCAACGAAACGGCTTCTTGCCTTTCCCTTCCTTTTCAACTCACAACGGCAACGGCATGCCAGAGAAGGCATTAATTGCACGTCCAAGTAATTTGTCATCTTGCCTCATGCATGCGCTCAACAGCTAGTGAGTGCGAGTCGCGCCAACCCCATCGCGTTCGACAATCCTGCCAACCGCCCAGTTCTTTTCTTTCTCTGTGACGGCGAGAGATTCTCTGGTCGGACTCGACGCGACTTCCAATTCCTGCGGCTTTGGAGTAGGATCTTAGTCCCCAGTCTTCGCTCACTCCCCATCTTCGACCGTCAACCTTCTCGGTGTCGACCTACTGCCCATCCGACGCCACCCCAACTTTATCCGTTTCGCGCATTACCATTGACTCAAGATCGAAACACATATTCGCTGGAGCAGAATCTAGCAACATCATCTAAGTCCATATTCCCCAAGATGGACGTAAAGGTAAGCTTCTCGTCTCACTCTTTGCGTCTGCCTTGGCCCGCCCCTTGACCGATCCCTGGTCTCAACTTATCCACCGCCGGTCTTCCACACAATTCCAACCCAACGACCGGAAAGTTTTGCGTTATGTGGCAAGAAACTTACCAGTAAACCTAATGCAGCAGCACCGCCCGTTGCGCACCGTCGCACCTATTTCTGGCAACGAAAATATCCTCCCCTTCCAATCGTCCATCCACCACCGCCACAAGTCTGCTGGCAATCTCAAAGCAATGACCGTGACCGGTGCTCTCAATGCACCTGCAAAGCGCACCGCCTTTGGCGACGTGAGCAACACTGCTAGAACTCGTGTTGGCAATCCCACAGGCAAGCCCATCGGCAAGGAGACTGTCAAGATCCGAGCACAGACCGTCACGACGGCAGTCAGCACGCGCGATATTCGGCTCGAAGATAAGGAGAACAACAGACAAGGTGCGAACAAGGCAAACCGTCTGAGAGCCACTGCAGCGTCCAAGGACACAGGCTCCAAGCCAGCAAACACAGGTTCCCGCGTCAGCATCGTCAATCAGCAGCACATTGGCACATCACTAGCTCAACCTCCATTGAGGAACGGCGTCTCCAAGAAGACGACGGCCGTGTACCACGACCGACAGGAAGTCCAGGTGGAGGTCCGTCCCGACGCATTGTCCGCTGCAGACGACCTCGCTGCCTTGGTAGGCAAGCCGGCTAAGAACCCCCGGCAGTACAAGAGTCAGCCTGTGCTCCGGCAAATGCAGGCCAAAGTCATAGTTCGGCGCGACGATATTGCCGAAGCTGAGGACGAAGGCGATATTGATGACAACGTGACCGAGGCGGCTTACGAGGACGCTGTCGAGAGCTTGTCACAGGACGCTGAAGGCGCTGTGCGGGAAGCACTGGTCGAGATGGAGCAAGCGAGCCACAGGTTATTTTACCAGGACGAGTATCAACAGCCGAACCAGCACAAAGCCCTCCCCGAGCCGCTGGTTGCCTCTGAGTCCGAGGAGTACTGGGACGAAGAGGAAGAACAGGAGCTCTATGATGAGCAGGGCTACACCACGACGCACTCATTCCGGTCCCACGGCGATAACACCACGAGTGGCCCAACGAGTTTGCTTGCGCCGAATGTTTCGGCCGACGTTCAAGACGAACTCGAGCTTGCAAAGGCCTACGTCTTGGATCACCAGACTGAGGATGAGGTAGAGGAGGAGGCATGGGACGTCAGCATGGTTGCCGAGTACGGCGACGAGATTTTTGCGTACATGCGCGAGCTCGAGGTACGATTTCTTTTTCCTTTCCTCATTTCTCCTCTGCTTCTTGTTAATCTTCTCTGGCAGTCCCAAATGCTCCCGAACCCTCACTACATGGACGATCAGACCGAGATTCAGTGGTCGATGCGTTCTGTACTCATGGACTGGTTGGTCCAGGTGCACCACCGCTTCTGTCTTCTTCCCGAGACTCTCTTCCTGACGGTCAACTACATTGATCGGTTCCTGTCTGTCAAGGTCGTCTCCCTCGGAAAGCTCCAGCTCGTTGGCGCCACCGCTCTCTTCGTGGCGGCCAAGTACGAAGAGATCAACTGTCCGTCGGTTCAGGAGATCGTCTACATGGTGGACTCAGGCTACAGCGTGGATGAGATTCTCAAGGCTGAGCGTTTCATGCTGAGCATGTTGCACTTCGAGCTTGGGTGGCCCGGCCCCATGAGCTTCCTCCGCCGCATCAGCAAGGCGGACGACTACGACCTGGAGACGCGGACGTTGGCCAAGTATTTTCTGGAGATCACCATTATGGACGAGCGCTTCGTGAGCACCCCTCCCAGCTTCCTCGCGGCCGGGGCGCACTGCATCTCTCGTCTGTTCTTGGGCAAGGGTGATTGGGTAAGTGAGCTTTTCAACAGCATCGCGCTGACGGTATGCTGATCCTTCACAGACACTTGCCCACGTCCACTACTCTGGCTACACGCTCAGTCAGCTCAAGCCGCTCGTCAAGATGCTCTTCGAATGCTGTCAATTTGCGCGCAAGCACCACGGCGCCGTCTATGACAAGTACGCGACGCCCAAGTATAAACAATCATCGACGTTTGTCGAAGGCAAGATGGCGAGCGGCCTCACGCTGTCACAGCTGTATGCAGGGTCTCTCCGCCTGAACTCGCCTTCCTCTCTCGGTGAGACCATGCTGGGCCAATTTCAGGCGCCTCGCAACCTCATCTCTATCCAGGGTTAGATATGCCCTATCCCAAGCCGACAACTTGCGATTTCTTTCTGCCAGTCTTGCCTTCGATGTATCCCACTAGGCCAGGCACAACTTCCCGGAGCACGACATTACCAATCCGTCGTCGACTTTCCTTGCTCGTTTTATGGCGACCATACGGCTGCGAATCTCCTAATTTCTTACAACGACTGGCAGAGCATCACGGCAGCAGGTTTCTTTCCCATGATGTACTTTGGGTCCGCTCAAAGCGGCCATGCAGGGGATGTTGAAACTCGCTGTTTTACCGTGGCTCGTCAACCACTGTTCCTGCGCATCAGATCCCTTCCAGGTCACCTCGCCCAAGTCGACTCCGGCATGGAAACATGCAGGGAGAAGCTAGCTGGCTCCTTGGTTACTGGGCATTTTGCAGGATCTGATGCTCCTGTTTTACACGACTCACAAACCACATCAAAAATACGGCGCGAAGAGCGACAACCACCACAACGGTGCTCATGATGAATTAATGCGACTACGATACTTCCTCGGATTTTTTACTTTACGCTCCCATTAACTTCGATTATCCACCCTTGCCGGGTTTCGAGCAAACGGGAAAACCAAGTCGTTGTCTGCACGAGGAATTTGGAGGCCAGGCTTCCTCTATCTTTGAGACTCTGGAACCAGGAGCTTCAACACTCGGAATAGTATTGGGGCCGCCGCGGTCATGGCTGAATGATGACGAAGGCATCTATCTCATCTAGCGGCGTGGCAGCATGGCGTTTTGGGCGGAATCACGGAGGATATGGCCGGAACTCTGGGGACGGTGTGGATGATGCGTTATAGAAAGGCTACATGTATAAGTATTATTTCGCTCGGGGTCATGCTGGCGGCGGAATTTCTCTATTTGCTGTTCTTCCGCGGGTAGATGGGAATGAGAAATACTACGGGCAGGTAGGCATGTCGAGGGGGCCATTCGGTTGTCACTCTGGCAGGGTGGGTTATTACAGGTAACTAGCAATAGAGATGCTAGATAAACAACTTTCACAATCACTGATGGAGATGAGGCTGGCTGAGGAAGATGGTTGATGGACGTGATATGGCATCGCAATTGGTGCGCATCTGGTTGCCCCAGAGAGATCTTCAGGAACAAGCTTCATGGGGTTGGTATGGGACAAACTCCAAAGCCTAGCACTTTTCAGCTCGGTGGGCCTGCTACACGTGTACGTTTGGCAGACATTACGTAATCCATCTCCGCACGTTCCAGGCTCGGAGCAGCACGGGAGGCTTTGTGGATCGATGATCGGGATCTCGGGGTGCTGGCCTGCCAAGCCATGCTTTGCCGGTTGGCTAATGTGCCCCTAGCAGCCGCGCCAAGACGACGCCCTGGCGACCCCCACCGTAACTTCGGACCTGCGAGACCGGATTGGACGGGCGACTAAAAAAAATACCTTTCCTTTGATTTCGGCGGTCATCGTGGCCTTTGGTCAGGGTCTTCTCACTTCAACCCCAGATCCACTTTCTCAAGAGACTGTCTGCTCCAGCCTCGCCGATTCGGCTAATCAGTCTTCCTTTCGGTGCATCTCGTGAGGGGAAGTTGTTTGAACTGTCCAAAAAGACAGGAGATTCATTCGTTTCTCCATTTGCACCAAGCACGCTGTCGCGCGGTAGTCGTGATTTTCTCCCCCTCACTCCCCGGGTCTCTTTATTCTTCTTCCCTGCAGCTTCGTGAAGTTGGAACCCTCGACCGCACATTGACTCACCCAAGTGCGCGCCGCTCCTCGAAGACCCGCCCCCGGCCTTCCCTCCGACGACACTGCCAAACGACGCCGAGACATCCGAGAAGCCAATTGCGCGCATCGCAAGTCCCGGCGGCACACCATGTCCAAGGTCGCAACAGTCAAAGAGGTTGTCAAGGAGAAGCTCGTCGGCTCGCATGAGCCCGAGCAGCTCTCCGCGCAGACCAAGGCGCGCTTCAACCGCCACGCCGTCCAGGACCTTGAGACTGGCGAGCTATACCTCGGGCCCGAGCAGTTCATCGATGCGGTCGCGCCGCATAATGAAGACTATGTATGTGATGGGTTCACTTTCTCCCGAGTCCCGTGCAATTAAGAGACAATTGCTGACATGCGACCTCGCGAATAGCACAAAATCAAGCGGGAGCAGTATTCAATCCTCTTCCACGTTGCTGACCGGACCAACAAGGGCAAAGTAACGCTGGCCGATTGGGGCTACTTTGAGAACATTCTCAGCAAGCCCGATGCCGAGTATGAGATCGCTTTCCGGTTGTTCGACATCGACCGCCTCGGCACCGTCAAATATGAAGACTTCCGCAAACTGTACGAGCTGAACAAGGGCCCCGACAGCATCCCGTTTGACTGGAACTGCGAGTGGGCAAAGCTATACATTGGCGGCAAGACAAAGAGGCACGACTTGAATTACCAACAATTCTCGCAGATGTTGCGCGGGCTGCAGGGTGAGCGCGTGCGACAGGCCTTTCAACGGTTCGACGTGGACGACGACGGGTTCATTGAGCCTGAGGAGTTTGCGACAATCATCAAGCAGACAGCCAGCCACAAGCTCTCGGACCACCTGCTCGAAAACCTGCACACGCTGTGCAACATCGCCCAGGGCAGCAAGGTCTCGTATGCCAACGTGCGGGCCTTCCTGAACATGATCAACGAGATGGATTTGGTCGAGCTCATTGTCCGACGCGCCTGCTCCAAGAGCAAGGATGGCCGCATCACCCGGGCCGAGTTCCTCAACCAGGCCGCCAAGACAACCCGATTCTCGCTCTTCACTCCGATGGAGGCCGACATCCTGTTTCACTTTGCCAGTCTCGATGAACCCTCCGGCCGGCTGGGCCTCCGGGACTTTACCAAGGTGCTCGACGCCACATGGCGCAGGCGCGACGAGGGGGACGACGGTCGCGCCTTTGGCGGGGAGCATAAGTCCATGGGCCAGAACTTCCTCGCACAGACCATCGAGTCAGCATACAACTTTGGTCTGGGCAGTATCGCTGGTGCCTTTGGCGCCTTCATGGTGTACCCTATTGATCTCGTCAAAACCCGGATGCAGAACCAGCGGGGTGCCGACCCCGGCCAGCGGTTGTACAAGAACTCGATTGACTGCTTTAGGAAGGTTGTCCAGAACGAGGGGTTCAGGGGCTTGTACTCGGGCGTCCTCCCGCAGCTCGTCGGCGTCGCCCCCGAGAAAGCCATCAAGCTTACCGTGAACGACCTTGTCCGCGGCTGGTTGACTGATAAGCAGGGCAAGATTTGGTGGGGTTCGGAATTGCTTGCTGGTGGTGCTGCCGGCGGTTGCCAAGTCGTATGTTCTGTGTCCTGTGCTTCGAGAGGCGTGAATTGGTTGCTAACGTTGACTGGGCGCAGGTCTTCACCAACCCTCTCGAAATTGTCAAGATCCGCCTCCAGGTCCAGGGCGAGGTGGCCAAGAGCGTTGAGGGCGCGCCGAAACGATCAGCCATGTGGATCGTCCGCAACCTTGGTCTGGTCGGCCTGTACAAGGGCGCGTCGGCGTGCTTGCTCCGAGATGTGCCGTTCTCAGCCATCTACTTCCCGACGTACTCGCACCTGAAGAAGGACCTCTTTGGCGAATCGCCAACCAATAAACTCGGCGTCCTCCAGCTGCTCACGGCCGGTGCCATCGCCGGCATGCCCTCGGCGTACCTCACCACGCCGTGCGACGTCATCAAGACTCGCCTCCAGGTCGAAGCGCGTAAGGGCGACACGACCTACACGGGCCTGCGGCATGCGGCCAAGACCATCTGGAAGGAGGAGGGCTTCAGGGCCTTCTTCAAAGGCGGCCCCGCGCGTATCTTCCGGTCATCGCCCCAGTTCGGTTTCACGCTGGCCGCCTATGAGTTGCTCCAGAACCTGCTCCCGTCCCCTGGCAAGGTGGCTGAGGCGAAGAGCATTGGGGGGGTTGTGCCAACGCTGAGGGAGAAAGCAGCCGATACCCCGTTCTACCGCTCACGCAACGCGCTCAAGATCCTGCTCGATCTGGATGGGAACTTTGGGCGGACACCGCTTGGGCCGAATGCACAGGGTTGGAAATCTCTGCCCGGCTGGATGGGGAGAAAGACGGCGTAGAAAGGGGAGGTTATTAATGCCGGGTTATGGTGGGGGGAAGCTGTGCACCAGGGTCGCATTGAACTCGGCCGGATGAGCGGCTTTCGGCAGAGGGGATTGGCAGGGACGGCGGGATCTGCAGCTGCACCCATCTGGTCACGCCCGGCTGATGCACGCGGCGCGGTTGTCCATCGCCATGCTTGCACCCATATCAGCATCGAACCATCAACCCGGGCAATGGGCTGTCGGATTATTTCTAGGACAAAGTCCTTTTGCATTGCATGCGCATCACGGCAGCAGGCGTTTCGGGTATGATGGGGGTTTTGATTTCTCTTTCCAATTTTCTTCCACTTTTCCTTTGTCAATCTTACTTCTCTACTTGTCAGCTTGGTTTGAATAATCTGGCTGCCATGAAAAGAAGACGATAATAAGTGCCATTGGTTGGTTGTCTCATATTCATGTATCTGACTCCTGAGAGCTGTAGCTCCTCTGCTTGCTGCAGCCATAGAGGGAGGAGGCCTGGGTAGATAAAAAGCGGGGAGAAGGGGAGGGGGCCAGTGGCTGCAACACCGTACACAGACTATACACCCAGAGACACATATAGGCGGGCTAGAGGTAGATGGCAAATAGATTGATTCACCAGATCTCGGTCTATTTTCGTCTTACAGTTATTCGCTCCTCCTCTCTTTCACCTCATCATCACCACCGCCCTTCCTTCCTTCCACATCCATTCCAGTCTAGGTACTGAAGGTTAAACCCACCCTCTCAACCTCTTCCCCTCCCTCTCGTCAATAGGGACATATTCCTCCTCCTCTATCTTCCCCCCTCCCTCTCCCTTTCTCTCATCCCCATTCCATTCTACACCGTCCCCACCCACCTTCCCCATCACCTGGCCCTGACTCTCCATCGTCATTCTCGTTGTCAACCTCGTCATCCGCCGCGTCAACCAGCTCACATACCCCTCAAACCCGGGCAGTACCCCCGTTACCCTGACCCGTCTGACACCCCGCACGCCCTCGAACTGGCGCAGCGCATCGGCGCCGACGCCGCCCATGAAGGTGCCTGTCCAGAGGCACAGGGTGAGGTCCTCGGCGTGGGAGAAGTAGGACGTTATGGCGGCTTTGGTCCAGCTGTTGTTGTTGTAGCCAGCGGTGCTGCTGCTGCTAGTGTTGAAGATGGTACTGGTACTGTCGCTAATGGTTGATGGGTTGTTGAGCGGAGGAGGAAGAAAGATGGGAGTGGGACGGGGTGTGGTGTCGAGGCGCAGGCGGAGGTGCCATCTCTTGATTAGGTGCTGCTTGGGGTGCCGGTGCTGCTGCTGTTGTTGGTCTGGATTGAGGGTGGTGGTGATTGGCCGGGAGGGGGGGGATAGATAGCTGGGGCGGTAGAGACTCGGGGGCAGGCTGGGGTCGGTTGGGTTGGCGGAGAAGGTGTTGCGGCTGTAGAGGAGGGGCGTGGCTTCAACGTTGATTTGGCCGTTGACGGCGAGGATCTCGGGGTGGAGCAGCGGTTTGTCGGGCTGGGAATGATCCTCTGGGGAGGAAGGGGGTGAGTATGGGTAGGAGCAGCGGTAGATGGGCTGCTGTTCCTCCGGCGGCGGGGGTGGTGGGATGACGAGGAGGTGGGTGTAGATTTCGAGGCGGAGTTCGAGCGGGAGAGTGAGGAAGGTCAACGGGTTGCGAGGCATGGTCAGTGATGGATGCTGGCGGACATTGTTATTGGGGAGGCAAAATGTAGGCCAGGTCAGCTCCGGGAGACCAAATCAGTTCAAAGTGGAAGAATCAGCGAAGACACATGGCAGATTTGTGTCCTTTTGTGAAATTGGACAAGTCATGTATCTACATATGGGGCGATGCTAGACCATTCCTGTTCGAGGTGGCCGGCTGAGCCCACATAGAAGCGGTGAGTTGTGTGTCAGGGGGTCGATGATAGTTTGTTTGCCCCGGCTGTTGGATGTCAGATATGGGCATGACGTAGCTCGAACCAGTAAGCGGCAACTCGCCTCCATGCCACACCTTCTCATACCGACGGAAGTAAGGGTCACGAGTAGACGCGCTGTAGCTGATTGGAGCCAGCCATCGCTTTCAACGTTATCAGGAGACACCTCCATCCCTTCAACCTGGGATGACCGCCATGGCCCGGGCCGGCCGCGATTGGTCGCCCGCAAGATCCGAAAGGCGGTCGCTGTCAGGACTGGACTAGCCGGCCCCGGGGCCCCGGTGCGCTGGTTCGGCTGACACCGCTTATTCCGGCATGGGGTCAGTGCAACTCTCGCGTTCAGTACCTCCGTACGGAGTACAGCCAAAGCGAACGTGAAGGGACAAAAATCCAGCAATCAAACAATTCGAATGAAACTTGCGGACGGTCTATTTCGTGGTGACCGCCCTTGCACACATTGTAGTTGCCGTGGTAGACGTGAGAAAGCTCGACTTCAGTATTGCCCATTCCTTCGCGCGGGCCGGCGGCTTCTGGCGGTACGAAACACCTATGACCGAGCACCTCCGTGGAAATTCTCATAATTTTCCTCCTAGCAAAATTAGCTTGCCGGTATCCGTAATCCCGTAGGGTTCTAGAACCAGAGTTGGCGTTGTGGCTACAGAAAATGTTAAGAGGTTGGAAGGCGAACTGAAGTCTTCGCGCCTTGTGAGAGTGGCCTGGCTGGCAAACAGAAAACAGTGGGGCTCCTGTCACTTATCATCGCTGCCAAGCCCTCTGCCGATACCCGTTGCAACTTGCGGCTTGTCAATCTCCCAAGTTACAACAGTCCTCTTGGTCACAAGCTGTGAGGAGTTTCGTTCCTTTCAACGCCAGCAAGCGAATATGCCAACGCGCCTTCGCTCGTTTATCCAGCTCCCGTTATTTCACCGTATTTGAAGCTAAAATGGGGTTTCTTGAGTTTCTGTCGGCCCTCTTCGGCATCATGTATTTCACGGCGTGGTCGGTGAGCTTTTATCCGCAGCCCTTGCTCAGCTACAGGCGCAAGACGACGTCGGGGACCACTGTCGACTTTCCACTGCTCAACTGCCTGGGTACGTTTCTGGCGATTCGAGCTCTTCACTTCTATCTTGAGTATGAATACTAACTTTTGCGACAGGCTTCGCCGCCTACCTGGCCTCCAACCTGGCCTTCTACTACTCGCCCCTGATTCGGGCTCAATACGCCGCCCGATACAAGGGACTGACACCCACCGTGGCTTTCAACGACATCACGTTTGCTGCACACGCCCTCGTGCTGTCGGTCGTCATGACCAGTCAGTACTTGTATCCCCGCGCATGGGGGTTTCTCCCCAGCAAAGGCAACCGGCCTAGCCGCTTCGTCTTGGGTATCTGTTCTGGCTGCATACTTGGTGTTGCCGCTGTCATCTTCATTGTGCTCGGCTCCCCGGAACGGGACAGCACCCAAGAAGCCGTCTCGTCGTGGGTTTGGCTCGACGCCATCTACGCCATCTCCTACGTCAAGCTGATCGTGACCGTCATCAAATACACGCCCCAGGCCATCTTCAACTACCGCAACCGCTCCACGAGAGGCTGGAGTATTATCGGAATCCTCCTTGACCTTTCGGGAGGCATCTTGAGCATTGCCCAGCAGTCCATCGACAGCTATCTCCAGCGCGACTGGTCCGGCATCACTGGCAACCCAGTCAAGTTCGCCCTGGGCAACGTGTCCATAATCTACGATTTGATCTTTATCACACAGCATTATGTGCTTTACCGGGATGCTGAAGAGAAGCCAGGCGAGCGCGACTCGCTGCTGGGCACCGACGAGGAGAGCAGGATAAATTGACGGGTTTTTGACAAGGGACCCTCTGGCGCGGCTTCCTCGGGCACAGGGAGTTGCCCAGCTTTCGAGGCAGTTGCAGTCTGATACAACAAGCAAGCCCCTCTGTTTCATCTCCATTACAACTGAACCCAGCTTTCTTGGGCAATCCATCGGCAACTCTCTCTCATCCAGCACATGCCCAACATTCACACGATAGGAGGCATCTCCTAAGCTCGCGATTGGGGTCCATCGTCATCTATTCCGTCCATCTCTTTTGCCTTTAGTGTTTCTGCCCGCAAAAATGTCGGATTGGCCCACCTCCCACCCCCTCCCGAAGTGCGAGGCGTTAATGCATTATGTCTCCGAGACACCACGTACCTTCAGGTTGGAGAGCTGCGCTTGGCCGAAACCCGGCCTGCCCTTTGTACTGCCGCTTCACATTGTCAAGGTGTGCGCCGTGGCAATTCATCGCGATGAACTCGATTTCTCTGAGGAAGAAATTGAGAGCGATGACTTCAAAGGGAAGCGACCCGGTTACGAGTTCTCGGGCTATGTGGTGTACGCTTCACCTTCCTCACCCCTGCCTCCGGGAACAGAGATCTAGTGCGTCTTTCTGCTCTCGCCATGCCTGCCCGGATGTAGCTCCTAACATGCATAATTGAAGTGGCAGGACGAGCTTCCACAACTGGGGTTCCGCCCGCACGTACACGGTTGCAAAACTCACCGAGCTGGCTCCCAAGCCAGAAAGCATGACCTGGGCTCAAGCTGCCACCGTCCCCATCGGCGCTCTTGTTGCCTACCGAGCGCTCTTTGAGTATCAACTCCTGCGCGTACCGGACCCGAACGATTAGGGCCAGCCAGTCTGGGATCGCGCGTGGAACAAGTGGGCGAGCATACTCATCACCGGAGCTGCCACTCCCGTAGGCGTGTGGGCCGTCCAGCTTGCAAAGCTTGCTGGCGCCGGCAGAATCGTTGCGACGTGCGCGGCCGAACACATGGACCTGGTTCGCCGGCTCGGAGCAGACGAGGTATACGACTGGTCGCAGGAGGGCAACCTGAAGGACTGGAAAGGAAAAAGATTTGCCATTGTTCTCGACCTGATGGGCGGGACGACTTTGACCGGTAGGCAACAATTTTCATTTGTTGGTGGACTGGCTTTACCCCTTTATGGTTGTCTCAGGAGCCATCCTGCACCCGAGAGAGCGCATTTGCTCCCGGAACCCCCTCCAGACATTTCCGAAAGAGGGAATTCACAGCTGACAATGTTGGTAGAGGCATGGAAAGCGGTTGAGAAGATGGGCAAGATTCTTAGCGTCGCCGGCAACCCGATCGAATCGAGACCATGGGCAGATGTCGTGAAACCCCACGTCGCCAGCATCAATTTTCGTCTCAAAAACAGCCCTGCAGCCCTCAGAGTCGTTGCAGGCCTTGTCAACCGTGGGCTGGCGAAGGCTGTCTGCGACGTTAATGACGTGTTTCTTTGGGAAGACCTTCAGAGCGCCATCAACAGATTGTCTGATCATCCGCGTGGGCAGGTGGTGCTGCAACTGGACTCGACCTACCCTGCCGAAGAAATCTCGATACTCCAAAAGCACGGCCGACCGTGGGTTCTGAATGAGGACCCGGGCGAATCATTCAAGTTCACCAAATGGTTGAGATTTGCGGGCTCGAACCGCCCAGACACTCCTAGTGGTGTGGCTTCAACTCCAACTCAACCCGCTTCGCCTGCACCGGCTTCAATTCCACAACCCGCTTCGCCAGCGCCGGCGTTCCCTCAGCCGACCTCACCTCGGCAAGCTCCAACTCAGTCAGACATAAAGCGGATGGGCTACTACGGATACGTTCCAGCATCCGCATTGCAGGCGAGATCACCAAATCCAGCTTCAGATCAACCGGCCTCCGGTCGACCGACTTCACCACGACCGGATTCAACCTGCCCGGCTTCAACCCGACAGTCACCACTTCGACTGGCCCCATTCCAACCTACTTCACCGCGACTGCCCCCATCCCAATCCACTTCAGCCCGACCGGAGTCAACCTGCCCAGCGTCACCCCGGCCATCATCACTTCCACTGCCCCCATCGCGACCCACATCACACTGGCCACCACCTGCTCGACTGCCTTCATCCCAACCCACTTCGCCTCGATCAACTTCGCCCGAGGCTCTACGTCAGTAGACCTCATCTGAGTCAAGTACAGCTACGCCAGCTTCACCTCGACTCGGATAGCAAAATGCGATATTAAATGGGCACTAAGCGACATGATAGCGCAATATACATCTGTTCTTCATACTCTCGTCCTGTCCCGATGTTGGTAATGAATTGCCTGGATCCCTTTCCTCCCTGTCTTCCACAGACTTCAATCCGTTCCCTCCGTGCTTGGTTCGGCACCGCAAGAGCCAGTTCGGGTTCAGCGCACAAAGCGAGCGTCAAGGGTCACTCTTGCCTTTCTCGCCTCCACAGAGTCAGCCCTGGGTGAGTCGCACTCGCCTTGCTCAAACAACGGGATTATTGTTAGCCTCTGTCGGCTTTTTACCCTTTTTCTTGGTCTCACATCCTCTTTGCCTGCTTTCTACCGGAGAAGCGACTTGCTTGACGCATTACTTACGTACATAATAACGTAATAGGTACGCTAGAGAAGTATATTCATACTCGCCGAATCCTCACGCCGCTCTGACTTGCCCCAAACGTTTTATATTGTCACGTCAATGCGGTGGCATTCTTTAGCCGCTGCGCCATGAACTGTGTCTGTTGAAGGTCAATGCATTTCTCTGCCGCCAGCCTGGGAGGGTGAGCTTTGCTTCTCATGTCTCCGAGCGCCCATCTAATCTCAAATTCAAAAATGTCCTCCCGGAGCACCCGTTCACTACGTTAGCCAGACCTCGAGTCCATCATCATTCCTGCAACACTCGACAGACACACGAGCATGGCCACTACTTCAAGGATTACCATTACAACCGCTATCTCGTCACCTTAATACCTTTGATTCTTCTTCATCATGTGTCTCCACGCAATCCTCCGTTCCGGAGCATGAGGGCACCAGATCACCTTCCAGCGACTCTGCACTGGCGGCGACGGTGCACAGCCTTGCCAGCGACATCGGGCCTGTTTCTTGGACAAGACTGAAATGTCCTGACTGGCTGGAAGGTTATGGGTATGTTTTTGTCCGAGTGCCCTTCTGCCCCTTTGATGGCCCCCCTCAGACCTGGTAGCGCAAAACACTGGAAGATACTGACAACGGATCGATCTACCCCCTGTTCGCGCATGAAACATATCATCTCCGAAGATCATTCCAAGTTTCATCCCCAAGTTGAAGGTCCTCCTTCGCAAATTGTCGCGGAGCGCATCACGCCACCGCGGTACGTCTTTGAATGGTTCTGCCTCCGCGTTTGAAGCCGGCAGAGGCATCGAATAGTGCAGGATATTCTCGAGCACGAGCGGGCGCAGTGGGAGGTTGTGTGTCGCTGCGGGCGGCTCGACGCCTTGGTGCAGTGGTGCGAGCACCGCAGCGGGAAGAAGGAGATGGTGAATGACTACGCGGAGCAGTTGCGGCAGTTGAGGGCGGAGTGGGCGGAGGAGGAAGCTGGCGAGTTGGAGGAGGATTGGAAGTTGGACGGGTTGTGGGGGAGGCGGGCATTCGAGGTTCAGAGAGATGGAAACGGGCGGATGGGTTTGAGCTGGACTCTGAGGAGGGGTGGGAGGAGTGTACTGACAGTGATGCGACACTGGAGCGAGGAAGAGGCTCAGATGGCGGGGAGGGTGGGGTTGGCGCACGGAAAAAGCGCAAGCTTGAAGAATCGATGAAGATGATGAAGAGGAGGAAGACCACGGGGAGGCAGAAGACGATTGGGAGGACGGAGATAGTGAGTCAGAAGTGGACGGGCTGGGAGAAGACAATGGGTATGATGAGGATGTGGAAACGGAGGAGGTCGACGGGGATGGGGAAAATGCGGAGACACAAAAGAACAAAGAGGGAGAGGCTAAGACGGTGAGTTGGAACAGAATGATGGAGAACAGCACGATGGAGAGAAGGAGGACACCAAGCCCGAAAACACCGACCGCTCAGCAGAGGACCCCAACAAGCAGGCTCCTCCTGGTATGTGCACGTTCCTGTCGCTGCTGCGCTAAGATATTACCTCCATCGTCAGCGTCAGATAGCGGAAATTACGAGCCCGTCTCACTGTCAAGTTACTTCCGGGTACTCATTTCACCCGTTCTTCCATGTCACTTCACCCGCTAGCAGTCCTCACTCAACTTGCTTGTGCTTCCGTTGAATCGACGCCCGGGCAGGCTGTTGGGTGTGGCACCTCCATGCTTGATATCGAGCACCCATCCAATAGCAGTTCGAGACAATGCAGCGGTGCGCAGGACGCGGTGCTGGGTGGACGATGGGGTGCCCCCTGACAGACACCGCATGCTACTGCACGGTAGCAGACAACCGGGTATGCCACGCCGGAAGCGACTGCAATCGGGAGAGAAAGCACCGTGGCTACGATCCTCCCTCATAGAGAGGGCCCCTTCAGAATCCTTTATTGCATCCGTTCTCGACCACTCACACCTTGAACAATGACACAAACCCTTTTTGCCGAGAAAATCAAATGATCCCATCTAGAACGTCCTACAGCCAAACCCATCCACAGCCCTGAACGACACAACCACACAAGCCACGCAACCACGCAACCACGCCTCCCTTCCCGTCACAGCGCATCACTTTACCTCATCAATCCTCTCCCTTTCCTCCAATCCTCCCCAAGCCGATTACAGGCCTTATTCAACTCTCGAAGTTCGTCGCGCCCTCGACCCGCCCGACGACATTATACCGCTTCGAAAAGAAGGTCACCCAGTCATTGAGCGTCGACTTTTCCTTGTCCGGCAGGTCCTGCCACTCGGGGCTCACGTCCTCAGGCTTGGTGGATGTCTTGGCCAGGGCGCGGGAGGCGTCCTTGCCGGCGAAGACTGCATTGTGGGATTAGAAGCTGAAGATTGTGGCGTGTTGGGCTTCGGGGGGGAAACAATATCTGGACTGAAGATAGCGGGGGTTTAAGCGTACGTACCGTGATATGCGCCGCCTGGCTGGTAGGCTTTGTTGCCTGTTACGTCGTATACGATGCCCTATAAGAGAGGATGTTAGTTTCGATTGCACAGACTCGTGGGGTGTGGCCGTGTATCTGTGTATGTGTTCGAGTAGGGAGAAGGCGGGGAGGGCGTACCTTGATAGCAACATAACATTTCCCATTGTCCTTGCCTGATCAAGAGCAAAGTGTCAGAGGAATTCTGGCCAAAGGAGAGATACTCTGGCCATGGGGGCCGTCTCCAGGCTCGCTCGCGAGTCGCAACTGAAGGGTGTGTACCACACAATGGAAGCTATCCGTACCGTTTGCTTGGGCTAGAGCCTCGAGTGAGATAGGGTCGTCCTTGGGAGGGTCCAGCTGGACAGGAACCTTGGGCTCGAACTTGCCAGCCATGATGTATCAAATAGTTGTTCAACACGGCACTGAAAAGGAGGGGCACGCTAAGGGCGAATCTTTGGGATTGACCGTCAGCGTGATTGTGAGCTAGGTGACTGATGCTTCAAACTGTTTGAATTGAACTCACATCACATTCAGATCCTTCTCTGAATTCAGGTAACTAGCCCGACGAGCGCGACTATCAGAACCTCGTGACCGCTCTCGACTACGCTGTGAGTTGTGAGAGCAGTGTGGAGTTGGGCCCAATCGCTCTGGACCTCGGGAATGGAGGGGCCGACGCCGATAGCGACAGGGTAAGGTAGGTTGAGCAATGACGTGCAGCGCCAGTTGATTCGCCCGAGGCAGAAAAGGAGACCGCCAAGACAAGCCAAACGTGAAAGCTCGAGCTTCCGAAGGGACTTTTTCTAAACGCCCTTCGAACTTCCAAGAGCTGGGATCACGTCCTCTCGGTTCACCCTCAGCACAGAACCTCGATAGGCGGTCCCAATTGGTCTCGAAGTAAACCTTTTGTCACCATGCCGCTATCAAGGGCTATCGGCCCACGGCCTGCCGGCACACTGCGGCTTTCCCAACGATACACATCGCCCCTCGTCCGGCGATTACAACCCGCTCGAAGCCGACAGCAAACACCATCAACGATCATCGCATTCCCCATCAACTACCAAAGCCGCCTGAAATCTACATCACCGTTCAACCAAGACTCCGAAAACTCGTCTAAGCAGCCAGGACAAACACCCAAGCCATCACCCTCTCTCAGAGGCATGCTGTGGCAGGCCATCAAGACTGACTCGAGCCGCGCTTGGCACGTCATCCGGAACACCAGTTTCAGGGAGGTGATGCGGCGAAGCCCGCTCGAGGCAATGGGAGCTATGGTAGCGTAGGCAACCACCCGATCTCCAAGGCCCCAACCCATATCAGGACGCTGACGCGCGATCTACAGAATCGTCGGCGCCGTAGCCGTGCTCGCCTACTGCGTCTTCGCATACTACACCTATTTCTACAGCCGGCAGTTCACGCGGTACCCGGAGCCCATAGCGCGGGCGCTGCGCAAGGCGCTCTATTTCAGCAACCACGACCCGGACCCGCAGCGGGCGCTCAAGTACTACAAGCAGGCATTAGAGCTGTGCGACCAGCTGGGGCTGGACCACTTCTCGGACGACGTCATGGGCATCAAGATTCAGGTGGCCACGTGGCTCGAGAAGATTGAGAGCTACCAGAACGCCATCAGCGTACTCGAGAACCTGCTGGGCGACTGCAAACGCTGGGTCGACGCCATGGAGAAAAGCGCGGCCGAGGGGACCCTGCCCAAGCCCGAGGCCCCTGCGCCACCCAAGGAGGGAGAGTCCGATGCGGCGGTCCCGGGGCAGCCGCGCGAGACCTTCTGGGCGAAGCGCACGAGGCTGCTGGCCAAGGCGGTCAGTATCAGCGTCAAGCTGGCCAACCTCTACTCGGACGAGCATGTTCTGGAGCGCGAGTCGGCCCACGAGCGGCTTGTCTGGGCGGTTGAGACGACACTGAGGGAGACGCAGAGGCGCGCCAAAGAGGGTCTCAAGGAGGGGGAAGGGCCCTGGATGAGCCCCGAGGAGATTGGCGGTAGCCTGGAGGGTGAGTGGCTTTGATATCCCGCGCATTTCTCCTCTGTGCCGCCAATGACTGACGTACCCTGCAGCACTCGCACATAGCTACCAGGACAAGAGCCAGTACCATCTTGCACTGCCGCTGTTCTTCCAGGCCCTCAGACTATGCCAGGACCCTTGCCATATTGCCCAGCTGAGTATGTCCGCGCAGATCTTGACCATTCGTGTCCCAGGCTAACGCCGCCAGTGAACAACATCGCGACCAGCTTCGCCGAGCACCCGCTCATACCACCCGGCGACGCGCCGGTGCACTCCATGATGGAGGAGTCCAAGTCGTGGTCCTCGCCAGCCGAGCAGCGCGCGTCGTATCTCGCCGCCGCCCAGCGCTGGGCGCAGAATGCCATCAGCCACGCCTCGGAGCCGCAGGGCGACAAGCGGACGCCCGAGTGCGATCAGGCTTGCGCCGTGTCGCTCTCCAACCTGGGCTCGGTGCTGGCGATGCTGGGCAGGACGGCCGAGGCGCGCGAAAAGTTTGAGAAGTCGATTGCGTTGAGCAAGAAGTTTGGCCTTGAGGAATACGCTGCCGAGGCAAATGCCCGGCTCCAGAGCCTGCCGAAGACATGACGTCGTCTCGGTCGATTTCGTATTCTGTCGTTGTCGTCGTTATCGTCGTCGCCGATACCCGCGCACTGTTTTCGGTGCCGGCAATCGCGCTGTCTCCGGTGACGAACAGAGCGACCTACTGTGCTTCGTGCCTTGGAACCAAACGCCAAACTTCGCTGCGCCGACATGTGTCTTACTGTACCTCGCGGAGTCGCCGAACGGCGCGTGGGTTGGCGCACAATTTACCCTTCCCAGTCTCACTCATTCATAACCTTACCCCCTGTTACGAGGGTACCAGAACGCGATTGGCTTCTGCGCACCATCTCGGGACCAAAAAAGGGTAAACAAAGAGGGCATGCGAAAGCGAGAGTAGTACCCGACAAATGCTGGGTCGAGGCACAGCCCCAAATCCCGGCAGTCCGTTTAAGTCCTACTTCTCGTACAGGTGTAGAAGGGGGGGGGGGGGGGAGGGACAATGACGACATACTGACATCAGATCCCGAGCCAACTCCCTCTTCGGTGTCTTTTTTCTTCATCTTGAAGGTATTCGCGGCTTTCGCGAACCAAGACCGAGACCCCCGACGGCCGTATTCAACTCCCGGCTGCCGCGGTGCCAAGGCCGCCGACAAGCGCCACGACCAAACGAGACGAAATCGGGCTGACCTTCCGTAACACTGTGCTATGGACTAGCTCCGGAGGGGTGCAGTGCCTGCCAGCCGGCCGGCCAGTCTGTTCAGCAGCGGTGGGGGAAGTGGGACATGGGGCTTGGGGTTTGGGGGTTTGCGGTTGGGTCCGGGCGTGAGGCACTGGCAGGGGAGGAGCTTGCAAAGACTGATGAAAAAGATGCAAAGAGGTTACACAGTCCCTTAACTTGAACGTTATGCAGGTGTGTGGGAAGCACTGGGAAGAGGAAAATTGTTAGCCACACCGCTTGCTTTCTCATTCGTGCGCCGAATCCTTGTCGGCGCACGTGCTGCTGGGGGTCTGAGACCTGGGGTGTTCTGTTGGTTGGGGTTGGCAGATGCGAGGTTCTCTTCCCGTCAGTTCAGGGTCCTGAGCCCCCATCAGGTACTGTACACTACTGCACACTAGAGTAGAGTACATTACCAGGACGACCCAACCGAGCCGTTCTGTTAGACTCCGCGGAACCGAATCGAGAAAGCGGAGAGAACAGCCGCCAATCATCTTCAGTCTCTGTCCTGTACGGATAGTCACTGAACATTGGATTGTCACTGTAGTAGGCATTCGTACTTGGCGACATGCGTTTTTTCCAGGATCTCCATGATCAGAGCAGGATGATGAAGTTTGAAGCGGTACCAGTAACACTTCGAGAACAAACGTCTCCACTACAGATGCAGGACGCCGCACCACACACCACACATGTCGAGGGAAATGCTGGTGCCTGGCTGCCAGTGCGGGAGGAGGTTGCAGAGGATGGAGGGCTGGTGTGTTTCTCCTTTTCGTTTTTTTCTTGGACTTTTCTCTCCTCTTCTGGTTTTACTTTCTTTCCCCTGTTTATTTTTTTGGTATTTTTTTCCACCTTTTCCCGCTCCATTTTCCTCTTTTTCTTTTGACCTTCTCGCTTCTCCCGAGGTTGCCCAAGATGGGATGCAAGATCGAGGTGTATGCATACGCGTTCTTGGTTTCGGGGAGTCGCTGAGGAGGGTGATGGGAAAGGGTTCGGTTGGGTAGCAAATGCAATCTCAATAAACCTGATTTGTGTACTTTGTAGAGATAAGGTTACCTTAGATCAGGTATTTTGCCCGCCTATTTGAGGGGGTGGCGCTAGACGATTTGCCCGTTTGATGGTCTGGTTCCATGATGTGCTGTTGTTCCCGCCATGTCGTAAGGGGAAATCAATCTTGGCACAGTAAGGTCTCAATGTTGGTTAGTTTGTTTGATGGAGCTTCTTCCTCCTAGGTCAACTCTACTTCGCCAAGCGGTACGGATACCTAGTAGCCCTACAAGGTGCCGTTCTGAACAAGGCCACTCGGTCGTAAGTCGGTCGATTCCTTATATAACCATCGGACATAAGCCGGGCTCAGAACACAGTCCTGTACCATTGCCGGGCCAGTTCCCGGTCAGCTTTGCGGTCTGCGGTGTCGCTTAACCGGCTGTACCGTATTATATGTTTCATACTGTAAGAAATGTCGTGCCAACGTCATCTGGTTCGGCTCGGGTTTGCTCGACTCGAGCGCATTGTTTATCTCTTCGCTATCAGTTATTCACCCTAAAATCACCTCCCTCGGCTACACATCGCCACTCCCAACAGCAGAAAAGGGAACGTTTGAACTTCGATTTGGGAGCCTTTGGTCGGGCCCTCAGCAAACGTGGACGATCAGGATGGTGTCTGATTGGCTGCGAGCATCCAAATGTCGGGCTTGGCGGGGACGTTTAAGCTTAAATCGAGCCCGAGTTGTTGCCTTGGCGGAGGTATGGATGGATCCCAATCGGACACATCAAAGCAGGGTTTGCCAAGATGTCGAGGGCTTGCCGTTGACTTGGCATGGCATTCCGTTAAGGTTCTTGCGTCGAAGTCTTGGGCTCGGTTGCTATGTGCCGAGTACCAGCGACGGCTTCTTTATTTTTGAAAGGCAGAGTCCGTCTACATCTGCTGTGACACGGGGCAAGAAGCGAGGTAGGTGGAAAGACATCAGTGAGACCAAGAAACGTAGGTCAGCTCCCGCCTACATCTTGGATCATCACCAGAGCTTCTCCCTTTCACATTGGCATCACCCGACCTTAGTTGCTCAGCTGAGTGACGCAGATATTCGGCGTACTGCTCAGCCGCCATGTCGGTCTCGAAAGCGGAGAGGACGGCCTAGACCTCAATCTCATCCATCCGCATGCCTGTACCGCAGCATGGATCTGCACCTGACGCGCCCGGATAACGGCTCTGCAGCTTAGCTTTGTGATGTACCCCACTACGTCTTGACCTGTTTTGCTACTAGTTGGGGGTTAGGATCCCATAGAGATCAAATACCCCCTGGATCAACGAAGCTGAAGAGGAGGCCCCGCACTTAGGCCGGTCGATCGTGCTGTGGGGACGGGAACACCTCCGTAGGGGGTTGAATGCCGGCTTCGGGTCTACTTCACGCAAAGGACAAGACAGCTGCCGAAAACGCGGACGTGTCTCACTGTATATTGTTATAGGCGAGCTCGCTTGAGGTCCGGCGATGCCCAGAGGTGCCAGGCACCAGCTTTTCTGCTTCGCTGTATGGTGCGCTAGCGGCGCCGAGCCAGTCAGTTGTCAGCACTTAAAATCACTACCAGTATTCCTATTGACATTTGATTTGGAATAGCAACGAAGCCCCCGTACCTGAGATGGGAAAAGTTCCCTGCATCGATCCGGAGGAAGTCTTGTGCTACCTTACCGCCGACAACTTCCCGAAGTTCAAACCGCTGCGCATAATTCCCGGTCAGCAACGCGGACCGGAGGGTAGGGACTCCTGATGGGCCTCGCTGCCGGAGCAGTCAGACCACGCTAATTGAGACCAGCCTTCCCTAGATTAGGTAGTGTCGCTGATCTCCAGCTAGCTCGCTCAGCTGGGAGCAGATACACCGAATGCTGCGCTCTGCTCAGTGGACTGACTGCATGGCACGGACAACCAACGATCGGGTGAAGGGGGACAGTGGAACAAGCCTGACTCGAGCTCGCGAGCGAATGAGCTGTCGTTTTATTGAGATGCCTTGAGATGGCGTCCTTTTTGAATGCGGGGGGTTCACCCAGACTCCACACTTGAGCTCACGCTTTTTGACCCACCCTCTAGGACACGGGGCGTGAGCATCCATGACCCACCTGCACAACGAGAACTTCATACCTTCAAGGATGCCGTGCATTCTCTCTTGACTCAAGGGACCAAACCTCATTCACTTAACTGGTCCATCCAAACAATTTGCCCATTTCAATGCATCATAAATCATGATAATTCAGCGTTTCTTTATTTGTTGGCGCTAAGGATCTCAAGTCGCTGTTTCCCGAAACCATTTCGCCCTCATCATGTGTTTCTCTTGTCGAAAAAACGGCAGCTCGCGGTCCGCGAGAGTCCTCCTTGTTGATATGGCCTGCCTCTCCTCTCTGGGGGTGAATTAAACTGAGCATAAAGGAAACATTCACGCGCGCCAGCAACGAGCGAAACCGCGAAAGGCGACTGGGCGGCTCGTATAACCAGTAGCCGATAGAGTGCCCCGTCTCCAAATCGCTACGTCCACGCCCTTCCTTCGCAACCATACAGGAGTTACGGTATCTTGCAATGTCGAACACCGACCGATTCATTCACACACAATTCTCAAGCTACCTGGAATCACAGCGGTAATTCGTAAGCTGGAACGCCCGGTAGGGCTTCGGCTGCGCCGTCGTGTGGCCAGCCACTTCTCCGGGGCGTATTTTGTAGTACCCTGGCTATATCCGACCACCCTTTTTCTGTTTACGAATCACGGTGAGCATGGCGGAACTCTTCCCTGACGCCAATGCCTCGAAGGACTATGGAAGGGTGCGCACGCTTTCCGTCGAGACAGGGTAACTATCGCGCTCTTGGATGGAAGCCGGGGCCGGCGCGGCCGTTCGCTCCTGGCTGTTGCCGCGGTTCCGAGAATACACCGCACCAGGGTCAAGCCGTCCCGATCACGAGCATCGCGTCTCTCACTCGGCAAGCGGCGGATGTCGGCGCAGAAGTGCGGTAGAGGGACGTATCGTCCACGTTGGACCTTGCTGCCATGTCCAAGCAGTTTGTGATACGTACCATACCACACCCCTCCCTTCCGAGACCACACGCCCGGCCGCTGCAGCGCCAAGCGCCAAGGCGATACCCGCGTGCTTAGGTGTGGTCCCTTGTATTTTACCCTCCTGAACACATGCAGTAGCTACACCCGACCGGAGTGCCATTCTCTCACTCCATCAGGGTGGAGCCTCGCCTCACCATCTAGCCTTCTCCATGACGGGAACGATAGCGGCTGGGAGGAAGCTCGATCGACACTCTATAAGAACAGATTCCCTAGTCCCTCGCCAGGGCAAAATTGTCCCCCTTCACCTTCTCGCTTCGTCAAGATCCAAGCTCAACCAAGCCGTCGACATATCTCATAACGCCCTCGTCTTTACACACAGCACCCTCGTTCCACAAGGCTACTAGCACGTACACATCACCCTTCGGCTACGGCATCATGGACAGCCTTGCAGAGTTTGTCGACTTTCAGTCGCCGCCAGACTCAATGTACTATCTGTACGGGGACGTTGAGCAATATTTCTCAGAATCACAGAGCCCAGACAACTCAACAGTGAGTTTTCCGCGCCTGACAAGCTGAAGACCTGTGGACTCTGACGGCCGCATCTAGTACGACACAACATCAGCTGGAGATAGCAGCATCTCGAGCAGGTATCCGAGTCCGGTGCACGAGGATGGAGAATCCGCAGATTCCACCGAACCACCAAAGACGGCGCCCAAGCGGAAACGCGAGAACCGCTACAAGAACGCCCCTCCAGCCGTCTTGTCGGTACGTGATGTCTTTCCAAGCCCGTCCTGCTGAGATAAGACATAAAAGAGTTAACCACCCATCACAGCGCCGGAGAGCTCAGAACCGCGCTTCACAGAGAGCGTACCGAGAGCGCAAGGACCAGAGGATAAAGGACCTCGAGCAGATGCTCAACGACGCCAAGCAGCGAAACGAGGTGCTCACGCAAGCGTACGCGACGCTCCACGCCGAATACGTCGCCCTCAAGTCCTCGCAGGTCGCCGACCCGGAGACAGCAACAACAAGCTACCCGCAACACTACGACATGACGTACGCCGGTCACCTGGCCAACAACGGGTTAGGCACCGGCAGCATCGACGGCCTCGACATGGATCTGTTTGTCTACTCGGACGCGGTGAACGCAGCGGCGTACCCTCTCTGAGCAGCGGCAGCGGTGCGGCATACAACATAAACGACATTTTGCCGTGGGCCGCATCTCGACGATCTTTCTCACTGTGAAGGATTCCAACAACGGGAGGTTTTATACACCGCTAAATCTCTTGCCGCGCGAGCGCGTGGAGGGTGGCGGTGACAGCGCTGAGCAAAGATCCCGGAACGCCGCTGCGTGTTGCCTGATGGCCGCCTCGTTGCGGGACTCGTCCTCCAAGCCGGCTCCGCCGCCTACGGGATTTCGCGCAAGACGCCGACCAGAGCCGTTGGCTTGGAGCACATAAAGCGGCATCGGGCAGCTTGCTCACACGCGCTGACCATAAAGACGGTCGAAGTGGGGGCCAGGGCTACTTGATCCCTCAATCACACAACAAAAGGACAGGAATGAGCGAGCATTCAAATGACGCAGGAAATGACACAGCACCTTGTGCAAAACGAGGCGCGGTCCCCCTTTTGGGAGCCGCGGACGGATGGGGATTACTTGGATATGGGGGATGGGCGGATTCATCTGGCTCAAGCCACAGGCGTTCATTGGGCGTTTCCTCACATGGATGGACGGAGAGTTTGCTTTTACTGTCTTGTTTGTTTACTTCTTCTGGCTGGGCTCATGACGGGGAAATATAAGGGGACCCGACGGATATTGGGATATGGTTCGCGATATAATGATGGGTCATGACAGCGTTATGGTACTGTACAAAGTACTTAAACATATAGGATTGGGACGGTGTTTTGCTCAGGCTCAGTGTTGCCGAGATACTATTGAGTGTCACGGCCAGCGGAAACCAGGGTTTGGTCACTGATATAGGAAGTCCACTTTCCCTCATGTCACCAACTAGCAGTGTGCTGACCGGAAGTGGTAGGTTGGCATCCGTGACCTGTGTCACCCCGCTAAGCTCTTGACAACTCGCCGTGCTGAGTCCAAGTCGAAGTAGTAGGAAGTTGTACCCTGCTGGCTCCCACATACTTACTAGATCAGACCCTCATTAGAGCAGAACGGAGTCAGCCCCGAGGGGTTTTCATAGCTGATCAACCTACTGAGGGGTTCGAGTGTGTGGTTGGTCAGTGAGCTCTTTGTACTTCTCATCTCTAGAGAACGAATCACTTGTAGCAATGGCTTTCTTAATGGTCCTGCCTTGCCACTGAGTGATGGAGAAACTAGTATAGAGGATGCCTAGAAGAGGACAAGGGTTAGAGTCCGGGGTAGTACAGCCGGTTGTAGTAAGAATCGGCTTTGAACTAGGTCCATGAAAGTCCGGCCTACAGATTCGTAGTACTACTATGATAGGAAATCATGTTCTCCACCCGATTATACCCAGTGTCCGAGAAATGATCACTTATTCTGATTCTATGAACTCGGGCCGCATCTTGTGCAAGTACTGAGTGTAAGGTAGGCATGAAGGCGCCCCTATTATGTTGAATGAACGCTTTCAAACTTCAGATGTCCTCTCCATCGTCACATGGCAAGTCTCTTGAAAACCGCTCTGTTGTGCCAGATTGGCCCCGACTGAGCACCAAGCCTTCTCACTTTTATCTCAATTCCAACGTTCGAGAAGTTCCGTACCTGCCGTCATTCGCCTTATATGTATTAGGTCAACGTTTCCTTTCCTCAACGCCCCTTCCATCTGGTCAATGGCCTAGTTGAAAGGGGCGTGGGGACCAAAAGTCCCCTTGGGACAGGTGACCTCACCCAATTCAGGAGGTCAGCAGTTTGACTCGCCGCCCCAACGTCGATTTTCGAACGCCAACCCCCTGCGCCCGAGCCCATGCCTCGAAGGATAATCCGTGACCCCAGAATTTTCGTAGCCACCTAACCTCCTGTAAGAGCTGGATGGTGAGCTTTTTGGATGTTGTTTGGCAACAACACACCTCCATGGTACGCAGCCAAGATATTACCACTCCACTAACGTATTTTCCAGTCGTTTGACTAGCGATTTGTGATTTATCGAACGAGCCGCGACATTCCGTGACGTTTCACTACACCACCTGCCTATCGCTTTTCGTCAGACCCTCTGGGCACGAACTTCTGTACGATTCATTCCGAGACATAACTCATCAACGAGCCTTTACATAAGACGGAACTCGGAGACCACTTTGCTGTGACCTGAACAGGACCATCGGGTGACAATAAGACATTAAGAGCTCTATCTAGTATTAAACTTGGTTATTCTTCTTCGGACGTGACCAAGGAACATGCACACACTCCGGTTGAGATCGCATTTTGAGAACGAGCTAAGGTTCCCAACCGATATTTTGACCTGTCAAGAACACGCCCTTATATACAACCAAGAGCAATAAGACCGCGGGGAATTAGTGGCCCACGAACGATTCAACTGCTCGATACGATGGACTCCAGGTAGGGCAGATTCCAAACCTTTCCAAAAGCCTCGGGTCGGCGGATGAGCGGTTGTCAAGGACATCCAACACCTACAGCTCAACCTTTCGGAACATGATCAACGACCGACGCTACGAAATGGTCCCAATCCCTTTTTTCAGTTATCGTCTCGCCTGAGAGACCAGGCTGACTGGGCCGATCGCCCATTAAAGTTGATGTTCAGTCTCTGGCCTGAAGCCGTCAATCGGCCATCTCTAAGCCCCCCTCGAACGTCAACACTACTATTGTGTATATCCATCAAACTTACACAACACAATAAAACCATCTCTCTAGACAGAGCCACCACCCCCCCAACCACTAACCACCAACAGCGCCGCAAGTTTTCATTTCATTCAAAAACCAGCCGAATCTTCGACTTCCCAGGGCGTCAACCTCGACGAGGGGACCGGCCAAAACACCCCTACCGGGACGGTGGTGGTGCCGATGTATCCGGCAGCAGCAGCAGACCTCCGCTGGCAGACAACCCTCCTCGTCATGTGGACGACCACCTCGGGGACGCCGCCGACGCGCTTGCCATGCCGCAACCTCGGGCGGACCGCTGGGCGGACAGGGGTAGTAGCAACAACGGCAGAGGACAGCATCGCAATCCCCCCCCTTTTTTCTTTTCTTTTTGTTTTAGTAGATCGGTTGGCTCGGTAATTCTGGAAAGGGTGGACTGCTGGGTTCTTTTTCTTGGGAGCGGAATGCCCCGAAATGGGTAGGTAGGTAAGTAGTAGGTACTTGTACCCGAATAGATAGGTAAGGCACCTTGGTAGTAATTGGGGCAGGTAAAATGGTCCCGGATGCAGCACCAGGGACAACAAACGGGACCGGCGCTTCCCCATCGTTAAGAAGGAAATGCCGAAGGGTTACGGGATGGGTGCCGTCGGTGCATTTTCGACTTGCAAGTTTCCCAGGCTGCGTAGTGTCCAGCCAAGGAGGCGCGGCGACGCGGTGAATGGGTGGTGGTTGCTGAATCAGCCGTCTTACTCTTCTGCTCTTCTGTCCACTTGGGAGGGAGGGGCGCCTCTATGCTCTGATGCTGTCAGAAAAGCCACTTGAAGGGGTTAACTAGCCCCTTTCCCTGCAGCTGTGTGGATCAGGTCAGTCCTTTGAGAAAGTGGTTTAGATATATGTCTCGGCACAGCTGACGTGAGGGGGACATTGGATGTTGCAGGATATTGGCGTCGTCATTGGGGGTATGCGCGTCAGCAAGACGACGTCGGTAATTCGGTGAGCGTGGGAATCCCAAAATGCTGGAAGTTCCTGATGTCTTCGGCGCCGTCTGAAGTCGTCCGGGTCCCGAACCCGGGGGTAGTCATCTTAGGCTCTCCAACCCGGAGACACCAACGCCGGACGACGGTCGGAAGTGAGGAACGGAATACGGTGATGAGTCGGCAGTAGCATGGCTTTCCGCGATGAAAGAAAGATTGCAGCCCACAGGCTCCGAGGACCAAAAGAGGTAAGCTGGATAAACGGCCAACACCAGGAACGCCATGCTGGGACAAGACCCATAATAGGTTGCGGGTTATACACGCCCAATTTATCCTAATATCCATACAAGTCCCACCGTCCGACTTTAATATATAAGCAGAATCCATTTGAACGGAGCAATAATGGACGTGGTTCGCGCTCAGTCTGGAGCCAGCATTCCAGGTAGTGGTGCAGAATCTGGGGCAAGAGTGCTCACTCGCGAGCGCAGAAACCATTACTTTCCCTCTATATACCGAGGATGAGATCCAGGTTCCATTCCGGAATGCTGACTTCTAACTACCACCCGCTCTCCTTTGTTGTGTCACAATTGACCTGTTGTTGGTAGGCCAGTCTGAGCACAAGACTTCAATCAATAGCTTGAGTGTTGCGAGCCGGTGCAGCCCTTTTCCGTTTGCGACTCCGAAACAGGCCGTCGCTTTATACCGGCTTCAACAAAAGAAGGACAGAAAGACTTCCCCGGAAAGACGACTCCGTCCCACTCTACCTCGGCAGAGCCCATGCGCCGTCGCCCGGTTCGCGGCGAATAGCACGAACGCGACAACCATGAAGCCGGCCGCCCTGTTGGCGGCCCTCGTCTTCGCTGCTGGCCGATGCAGCGGCGAGTTCACCAACTCGTTCGACGGCATCACGACGGGGTCGGGCGTCTCACTGACCTGGAAAGCGGTGCCGCCGGAGCAGTATCCGCTGTACATCACGGCCATGGTGATTGAGAAGAAGAGTGCAGATGCATCCGGGGCGGATGGGTACCGAGTCAATATCACGAGTAGGTGGGCAAGACGACCAGGGGCCGAAAAGAGAGCACTTGCTGACGATGAGACCAGCCGGCGCCACTGGGACTTCGTACATGTGGACGGGTGCGCCGTATCCACTCCGTTGGGTCCCTGGCGGACTGTATCAAGTCGAGATGAGGTCGATGAGTTGGGCCGGCCTCGGAGCACCACCGTTGCTCGCCCGGTCGCCAACTTTTACCATATCCGAGCCTGGGGGCGGCGCAAGGCCCATTGGATCAAGTTCTCCGGTAAGACGCCCCGACTTTGCCTTCTTTGTGCACGTATCTCGTCCTAACGTCACACATCAGCAAGCGTCGCCGGCGGGCCCCCAGAGGGGGGATGCCCCAGCCATAAGCAAGCCCGTGGCCATCGGACTCGGAGTCGCCATCGGAGTGCCTTCGATAGCGGGGGCCGTGGTCGTGGGCTGGTGCTTCCGGAAACGTCAGCGGCAAGCTGCCATGGAGAAGAGGCGGTTGAAGAGGAGCAAATTCGTTATCCACTGAAGGCAATGCGAAGTAATCTTCAACTCGAGCTTGGGGAGCGAGGCCATTTTCCTGCGCGAGGACTTCCATGTTTTTCCGAGCAGGAGGGAAAATTTGTCAGAAGGGTGTCTGTGCCGTGCTGTGCCCGCGGGAGTGAAATTGGATGCTCTATTGCCTATTAAACGGTGGCATTGTTGGATTGTTGTGCATGATGCAGCGAGGGTGATAAATCTGAGCCAATCAAAACGGTGGAGACCAGTGAAGACCGAGAAAAAGGGGAAACGAGTGGTTGTGTTGGTTCGTGGAAGGAGCTATCAATTTCCATTGTGATGAGGACAAAGGCATACATGCATACACTGTGCATGGAGCATGGGCAAAATACACAACAGGAAGAAAATAGTTCAAGAAGTTCTGGAGGAGACAACCTCCCGTCCTCTCCTCGGCCGATGGTTATTACACTTCCCCCGGGAATGGTAAATCGGCGGGCCAGACCGCGGATGGCGTATTCTTAGCTCTTCCACCACGTTTCTCCGATTTCTTGGCCGCTTGTCTGGGCAATGATCAGACCTCTGCGGAGTAAGTCCCGCTACAATTCCAACCAAAACTCAACCGATCTCGAAGATCGAGGATTAAGGTTTCGATGGAAGCTGGTGGTGCCAAACCAATTGGTATTTCCCTTTCCAGATATTCTGCAACAGAGCAATCTGAGCACAAGGACTTTGCAGCAAGCAAATCCAGGAACCGGACAGCATGGACCAATTGAGGCTCTTGGCCACTTGATAAGACTCCACCATCGGAGTGTGGCGCTGCTGTTCTGGACTCATCAGCCGATCCACATGCCGCTTCAGGCTCGCTTTACCGCCGGTTCGCTCGGAATGGATCCGTGTTTGCACACCTCAGTCGATGACTTGCCAGCTACGCGCTCGTTGAGAGCTGCATCAGCGGCAGACAAATCATCCGCCAGAGGAGAGCGACAGCAATGGACATTCACATATCCGTCTGATTTTCCTGATGATTCGAGACGATGCCTGAAGGAGCACTGGAGTGGGATACTGGACATCGACCGAGGGTTTCGATGGAGTTATGAACATCGCCTTACACAGTATTAGGCTGTAGGTGGCCCTGGGCATGGAGGTCTGGTCACTGGCACAACACACACGTTCCATGCCGACGAATCCGCTCATTTTTGCAGCTTTGCAACCAATGAGGAACCATTGGCCCCCATTCCTCAGTCTTGAAGCGCGTCAGTTCACCCCCCATTTCACGACAAGGATGGATACGAATAGCTGCCAAGCGACGGAGGTACCCTGAACGTGGGTCTGACTATTGGCTCCCACCCAGGAATACGCTCCCTTTTCGTCGACGGCTAAGCTGCCAACGCAACGGCTGCCAACGAACTCTGCCATGGAATTGCCACAACCTCCTTCTGTGGGCCTGCCAGCTCCCCGATCAAAAAGGGGCCCCATGCCACCACCGCCATGACTGGCTCTCGTCTCTTGAACCTGATGCTTCTCTAGCCCAGTCGTCCAAGCTGTCTCTCCAGCAAGATCAGAGCATTCTTCTTGCTCATCCTCTGACGTATCGTACGTCGAGCCGCTCATTCTAACTTAAGAAAGCCTTCAGCTTCCTTGTCACTCTTTCATTATTGTAAAAACATATCCATACCCATCCAGTCGCTCATGGCCCCTTCCATCATCAGGCTGGGCGCTGCTGCCCTGGCCTACGCCTCGAGCGCGGCCGCCCTCGAAGCCTACCAGCTCAAGGAATCTTACACGCCGTCCAACTTCTTTGAGAAGTTCAAGTTCTTCAGCGAGTCCGACCCCAACAGGGGATTCGTCAAGTACCGCAACCAGCAGGACGCCGCCCAGCTCAACCTCACTAAGATCGGGGACAACGATGTGACCATCTCGGTTGACTCGACCAACACTGACCAGGATGGCCGGAGCAGTGTCAGACTTGAGAGTGTCAACACGTACAGCAAGGGCCTGTTCATTGCCGACTTTGCTCACTTCCCCAAGCAGGCGTGCGGTGCCTGGCCCGCCTTCTGGATGGTTGGCCCCACGTGGCCGAGAGATGGCGAAGTGGACATCTATGAGGGCTGGAACTTGAATCCGAAGAACAAGGTGGTGCTTCACACCGACGACCCAAACCATGTTGGCTCTTGCGTCATCCAGCCGGGCGACTTCACCAGCACCATGGTCTGGGCCAACTGCTGGAACAACGCTCCCGGACAGCCGGGCAACACGGGCTGTGCCGTTGACGAGACGAACGGCCTCCACGGGAATCCGAATGGCGGTGTCTACGCCACCGAGTGGCAGGAAGACCGCATCAGGGTTTGGAGTTGGCCCCAAGACCAGGTGCCCGCGAATGTCAGGAGCGCAAACCCCGACCCCTCCAAATGGGGCAAGCCCAGTTTCGCTGCCGGAGGAAATACATGCGATGTCAAGAGGGCCTTCAACAACATGCGCATGGTTCTCAACATCAACTTCTGCGGTGATGCGGCCGGCGGAACGTGGGGCGAGACGTGCAAGAGCACGACCAAGACGGACGAGTGCTACACTTACGTGCAGTGGCACCCCGAAGCCTTCAAGGAGACGTACTGGAAGATCCGTGGCATCAACGTGTACCAGCTCGAGACGGTGACCGTGACCTCGACATCGACCAGCAGCACTTTGACCTCGACGAGCACTTCGAGCACCTCGACTTCGACGTCGAGCAGCGTTTCCAGCACTAAGACATCAACCAGCACTTTCAGCACCGAGATCTCGACCACCACTTCTAGCTCCTCCACCTCGACTAGCGCTTCTAGCACCGAAACCTCGAGCAGCTCTGCCGCCTCGACGGGCTCCTCTAGCACCGAGACCTTGGCCCAGAGCTCGACGACCGCCTCGGAGACTGTGACCCCGTCTTCCTCTACTGAGACTGCCACCGAGACTGAGACAGAGAGCGACTGCCCGGACGATATCTCCACCAGCGCCACTGCCACGCAGACCACCAGTTCCTTCCCGGATGTCACGTCCACGTCGACCAATTCCTTCCCCGACGTGACGGCCACCACCACCTCAGCGACAAGCTACACGACCTCGACCATCTTCACGACCTCCACCTTCACCATCACCTCGTGCGCGCCGGCCGTGACCAACTGCCCGGCCCGCACCGTCACGTCCGTCATCGCCATCGGCACGACCGTCTGCCCGGTAACTGAAGCCAGCACCAGCGCCAAGCCAACCACCACCAACCTCCCCTCGGGCTGGACAGTATCCACTATCTACACGACCAAATTCTACACCATCACCTCGTGCCCGCCCTCCGTCACGACGGGCTGCCCGGGCCGCGAGACAATGACCGTCATCCCCATCGGCACCACTGTTTGCCCCGTCGACTCAAAGGACGCCACCACCACCCTGCGCACGTCCGTCTCTGAGACCACCACTATCGTCGTGCCCCGTCCGAGTAGCAGCAGCGACGAAGGTGATAAGACGTCGTCATCGACGGTGAAGCCGTCCTTTGGTGGTAACTCGTCTGCCGTTCCCAGCCCGTCGTCGATCGGCTACGGTACTGAGGGCGTCAAGCCCAGCTTTGTTGTTCCGCCCGTCGAGGTGGTGACTACCAGTGCCAGTACTAGCGCGCCCGCGGCCAGCAAGACGACGGGGGCTGTTAAGGTCAGTGGGGCGGGAAAGAACAGGGAGGTCGTTGGTGGGGGGTTGGCGATGGTGTTTGGTGCGGTTGTTGCGTTGGTGATGTAAGTTGTTTGAAGGGAGATAGGAAGTGTGAGAAATGTTGTTTTGTTTTCTGCTGGGGTTTGTCTTTTAATATCCGTTTGGTTCGGTCAGAGTGATATAGAAGACAGGAACTTTTCTTGTGTATCTGTTTATTAGAAAGCGATTTGGATATCACTCATATCATAACTGTATGCTTTTTGATGATCATGTTTCTGTCCTCAGGGCCGCCTTATTGGCTTTAACCCTGCTGTAGCTGCCCTGGAAGATGCGTGACATCGAGATGCCATGGAAGAGAGGAACATGAACCCTGTTCTGTATCCGAGCATATGATGTGCCCGACCAGCTCAGGGGTTCAGGGGTTGTTAACACTTTGTGATGGCATCGATTTCAGGGTTAGGGAAAGCTTACCTTATCATCATCCTACATCCTGTGAAAATTTGCGATTCCCCGGATTAGTCGGATGTTGGATAGATCCCAATTCATATTCATATAGTACAGAATCTCTTGGAGATGCTTTTTGATGGTGTGTCGTTGCAACAAGCTTGGCCTACCTCGTGGAGCACAGCAGAGGCAAGGGCAGGCCTCTCGGCTAAGAGCATGACATCAGCCGCTTTCCGCAAACACCGACGGAGACGACACCTTACCTTCTGAGAAAGTGCAGCACTAGCTCCGGAGCACTCTAGCGACCGCACTTTTAGTGCCCAGTAATCGACGGCTGTCTCCCGGCCGGTGACAGCCCGGTCATCTACAGCCGTTGGAATTGCGATCTGAACCGAAACCATGTTCAGGTTCTTCCGTCCGCGACCCTTCTTCTCGCAGGGGTCGTCCGTACTCCGACGGCAACGACCACCATCACCACGAACACCCTTACTAACCGAGAGCCGTTCCCTCGTCACCTCGCCAAGCATATTTCTCAACCGACCGTCACCAAGAAGCCGCCCACCGCAACGATGCGCCGCCCAACCCGCTCTCTTCCGCCGCTCCCCCTTCCCACCACCACCATCATTACAATGCTACCAACACCACCAACGCCGCGCCTACAACTACAACGGCGGGCCGCCGCCCTACGACCCGACCGCGCGCGAGCAGCGCCTCCGCGCCGCAAACCCCCTCGTGCACTGGCGCGGCTGGCGTGCCCTCAACACGCCGTCCACCTACACCATCATCGCCGTCTCGGCCTCGGCCGCGCTGATTTTCTACTTTGCCAACCTCGAGACGGTGCCCGTGTCGGGCCGCACGCGCTTCAACGTCTACTCGGCCGACAGCGTGCGGCGCGCTGGCGAGGTCGAGTACAAACGGCTGGTGTGGGACCTGGAGCGGAACGGGGTGCGGATTCTCGGGGAGTGGGACCCCCGCACGGTCAGGGTGAGGAGGGTTATGGAGCGGTTGATCCCCTTTAGTGGGCTGGCGGAGGAGCAGGAGGGGGAGAAGTGGGAGGTGTATGTGGTGGATGACCCGCGGACGGCCAACGCGTTTGTGTTGCCCGGAGGCAGGGTGTTTGTGTTTAGTGGGATTTTGGGGCTGGCGGGGAACGATAGTGGGCTGGCGACTGTGCTGGGGCATGAGATTGCGCATAATCTGGCCGGGCACCACGGGGAGAGGTTGAGTCAGGATATCGGGGCGTCGATTGCGCTGTGGAGTTTGGTGATCCTGGGGGGTGCCTTTGGGTTGGGCCCGTTTCTGATGCATTTCTTTGGGTCAAGGTTCGTGGATGTTGCGTTTGGCTTGCCGATGAGCCGGATGCAGGAGAGGGAGGCTGATTATATTGGGCTGATGATGATGGCCGAGGCTTGCTATGATCCGCGGGAGGCGCCCAAGTTCTGGGCGAGGATGCAGATGGCCACTAAGGGGGAGGAGGTGCCCGAGTGGATGAGCACGCACCCGACTGTGAGTTACGCTGAATTTCTTTTTGAGGTGAAGCAAAACATGGCTGACATTTGACAGAACATCAACAGGATTGAGAAGATTCAGGAATGGCTGCCCCAAGCCATGGAGAAGCGGGCGCAGAGCGACTGCAGGTCGACGACGGCCTTCGCAGATCTCTTTCGACAGGCTTTACGGACTGGCCAGGTCATCATAATCTGAACTGGCTGGTGGTATTGATTTGAGTATGACGTTGTGGTTGGGTAAAGGAGCATTGGCGAGGGGTTTGAGATAAGACACTGGTGAGTCCAATACCATGGAGATGCCCTAGATTTACTTCACTTAACCCATCTTGTCACTCGAAGTACGATATTCCAGAACGAAGTCAACGCTGAATAACAATCTCCCAAACCCTGGTATCAACAGACCTTCGCAAACACGAAATCCCTCCTCACCTCACCCCCTCTCTCCCAACCCTCCTCCGCCTTCCAAACAGCGCCCTCCACAACCCACCCTTCCGCCTCGCACCACCCTCTCCCCCTACAGTCTTGACCGACCCACCAATCTCAACCGTCGACCTCCCCCGCTCGGCCATCGCTTTCCTCTCTCTCACCTCCCTCCGCACCCGCAGCACCTCCTGGCCGACCACCTCAAATACCTCGTCCACCCCTTCCCCAGTCTTGGCCGACACCTCGAGAAACAAAACGTCCGCTCCGCTGCCGGCATGCGCATCCGCGCGACAGCCCGCTGCGACTGCAGGACCGCGACGGGTTCGTCGTCGTCAAAGGAGGATGAGGAGCAGGAGGACAGCGGGGTGTCGCTCTTGTTGCCGACCAGGATAAGCGGGCAGATTCGGCCTTTGTCATCACATCCACCACCACCACCACCAACTGCGGTCGTGTTCTCAATGTTGCCCGCCGCCGCCGCGAGTTTCGCGATCAGAGACGGCGAGAAAGAACGGGGACGAATACTGCTACTAGTAGTAGTAACAATAAGAGAACGACGGATGGACGGGGCAGAAGAAAAAGAAGAAGAAGAAGAAGATGCAGGGGAAAAGTGCTCGTGCATAAACTCGGCTAGGCCCTGCGCCAGGCGGAAGGAGGCGTCGTCGCGGACCGAGTAGACGAGCACGGCCGCCTCGGTGATGGAGAGGGCCTGGGCAAGCATTGGGTTGCTGTGGAGGTGCTTGGAGGGCAACTCGAGGGTGTCGATCATGTAGGTTTGTTTGTAGGTCTGGGTCTGAGGGGAATGATGGTTCCCGTTGCTGTTGTTGTTGGGGTGGGGTTGGAGGTTGCTCTTGGTGATGGGTGAACTGGGAATAAGAGTCGTCGGCAACGTGGGAGTGCTGGCGGTAGTAGTAGTAGTGGTGGTGATGGTGGGCGGCGTCATGTCGAGGGTGACTGGATGTCGGCGCCCGCGCTCGTAGAAGGGGTCCGGAGGGTGGTCTTCGCCGTGGAAGGTGCCTTGGGCGAACTGAAGTGGTCGTTCATTAGCTATCACGCTGGTGATGGACCTTGACTGGGTGGGAGGTTGGTTGCTCACCCGGGTCAGAAGGGCCGTTTTGCCTGTGCCTCTACCTCCAATTACAAGGATGCGGAACTCGGCGGCTGGCTTCTGTTCCCACGCACTTCGGGCAGCGTCTTCGGCCTCTCGTCGCCGCTTTTCATCTTCAGCGGATGCTACGGTTTCTTGCCAGCGGAAGATCGCCTTAAGATATTTGGCCTCGTCAGGGGTCCAGACTAATGAGTTGACCATCTTAGACGGGTTTCTCATTCTCGCTGTTCCTTTGTGGTTTTTTCTTGTTGTGATCGAGACGAATCATTGAGGTTGGTGTTGAACTTTCTCGGCATTATGAAACAATGAAGGAAATCTTTGTTTCGAGGACGGGACATTCTGGGCAGGTCTACAAATCATCTCGAGCTGAGCCTCCAGCAGCCGGACCGGAAGATGGGATGAGAACAAGATACCGCAGCATTGAACACGGCAGCGTGGGGGCGACGCAATAGGCTGGGCCATAGGCATCACGATCGACTGCCTTCTGGCAGATATCAACTTCCGACATGGGGCTGGCGTCGGAAGCGCTGCAAGATCGTCACCGTCCCCCGTTCCAGGATCTGATGAGCGCCTTCTTTGTCCTACGCTTTCTGTAGAAGGCTTGAAACAGAGGTAAGTACTTACCTAGTCGGCACTACAGCGCTCCTGAATCGACCACTGTAAGCGATCATCAACCAAGTCTTCTACTTTCTGATGATCTGAGCTCTAGGCCGATGATGCGAGACTTGGGATTGCGTCGATCACCGAATCCTCCCCATTTCCTCCCATATCATGGGTGCTTGTTCTTCCCGCCGAGTCACACTCCGCTGACGAGTCTGTGCAAATAGCGCCAAAGTCGATGAAGCCCCTTCTGAATGTCTGCCATAGGTAATGCAGCCGTCAGCATTGGTTCAACTCGCCATAGTGTAAGCCTGTCCGTCCTATTACTCACCCAGACCCCCCCAAAACCAACATGCAGACTACGGTTGAAGCGTAGAGGTTTGCTTTTCCACTTTCCGCGATGCGAACGTTCCACCAACGTAGGAGGGGAGGAAAGCTGCCTGGCCATGGTTGGTTACCACCTGAATATGAAGGCCGTCAGTACCTGGTACTCGGTTCGCCTCTACATGCCTGCCAACACTGGCGGAGACAAGAAGAAAGGAAGGGGTGATTACCTCAAAGCCGGCAAACCGATCAACACCATCATCCCCATAGCATGCTTGCATCTCAACGATACGCTCACCGCCTGGACCATCAATTGGAAACTCGAACTTCTCTGTCAGCTTGGACGACAGTGTCGCCGACGTCAAAGCCGCGTCCGAGTAGCCGAAACGGAGCGGACTCTGGCCTGCCGCGCGAGATATTTCAATGGCGAGCACAATTGGAATGGATTCATCGCTTTCATCAACCCAGACGGTGGCACCGAGAACGTGCTGCAACTCTTGACCTCGGACACCTCCGAATATCAGGGTCGACAAGGGCAAATCCTGGTCAGGATCTGATTTCAGTATGCGCTTGGTCCCTAGGAATGTGAGGTGTGGCCCGGGAAAGTCAGGGTGCCAGAGGGTTGTGTGGTCGAATCCCTCGGGCCCCGCTTGATCTGTGTGACTCGGTCGTCCGTTTGAGATGGATAAGGACCGTAGCTCAAGGGCCTAGAGTCGAAAGGATGTGGTTAGATCAGGCAAAGTGAGCATTGGGAACTACCCAGAGGAGAGACTGACGTCGAAGCCACCTTTCAAATGTTTAACAACAACTTGCCCTCGTAGGACAAGTCTTTTCTTCGGAATACCATGATGATCTCCAACGCAGTCCGATGAAGTCCTCGCCGCTGATATGACGGACAATCCGCGGATCCACGTTGATCGTGGGCAAGGCTGAAGCCCTCGATGCGAAGCAATCCCCGCCCGCGGCAGACCACCACCGTCTCATTGCTAGGACAATGGTATCCCAGCCTCACGGAGGCACAATTCCCATGACGAATTCGTAACCCGGAGATGTATTGCCGACCGTGGATTTCGACGGTAAACACAAAGAGAGCCGTGGCATCGTCAGGAATCGGTACAGTTCGTTCGCATAGCGCGCTTTTACCGGGCACAAAGCACCTCTTCGCTGCTGGCTGTTTCCCAGTCCATATCAACACTGGATGAGTCGCCGTTGTCTTCGATGGAGAACGGCACGGAGCTGCCATCACAGCTGGCGCTTCCAGCCTTGGACAGTAGATCCAAGAGAGAGGAAACCAACGCCCATACCCGTTTTCTACTGACCACAACCGGGAGGTGTCGCAACTCTCGGACAGAGAAATACGTCGACTTCCACCGACCCTTGAACGAAGAGTCGTGGGGATGCCGTTGGGTCTCGAAGATGAAATCGAACTCCCGCCCTGAGAGAAAGCGAGTTCTCCAGAATTTATCATGCAGATGGACGTTGGCGACCGCCGGGGAGACCATTCTCACAGCAGCAACGTCAGGCGCAGGGAGCCGTACGAGAATCGACTGCAGGATCTCGACGGTCAGCATTTGGAAGGCATCCGCGTGAGTCGGCCTAGCGTATCTTTGCAGTCGCGTGGGGCAATTCGCAGTAGGAATGCTATCGTTGGTCCGCTGTTCGAAAATGCGATCTAGCTCATGTAGGTGAAGAGGATACTCTTCACCGTCATTGGGGTCATTGTCGGCCCATGAGGACAGATGGGGTTCTTCGCCGGGGCCAAGCACGCGGCAGTCGTCGTCATAGCTGACCGTTCCGCCGTAATTGTGATCCCAGTCAAACATGATCTCCTCATTCCTGAAGGAGAGGCAGAGGTCGAAAAGGAGTTGCAGCTCCCGGTCACCCCACGACAAGCGTTTGAAGAGGATGCACCAGCAAGTCGAGTGGAAAGGAAACCCGATGAGGCGAGGACTGCTATCCAGGTGAATAGGCGTAGCTTGAATACTCGGCGGCATCAGATCAATATTCCTCTCAGGCTCCGCGACGCGGTCCCGCGGGCGACCTGCCCTGCTGACGGCGGCGACGTCGGCGAGACGAAGCTTGAATCCGACGGCGAGCCCTGCTTTCATGCCTGGTATTCGCGGGTCTTGGTTTGCGGCGCAGACTAGGAGAAGGATGCTAGCAGACGCCCATGCCCTTGCCCGTGTCTGGCTGTCTCTGTATCATGATGGGATGGTTATTTACCAGCTTTGGGGGATTGGGGCGCCGCAGACAATGCAGCATTTCTTGGGAACAGACATTCGCGAAGGTCCCTGAGCGCCCCAGGCTCAAGCCGGCACTATCCTACTCGTACTGATGCTGGAAGATGTCCTCTGTTGACCCAAGTCCGGGCTTAGTGGTGTAGGTATTGACATTGTGATGCAAGTGCACCGTGATCACGGCACTAGATTTCGCCGATCTCCCCAGTGAGAGCGCCAGATTGACAGGGGATTGTTACAATCAGCGGCATCTTAAACCTGGTCAAGAGGTAACTAATCCCATTGGTCGCTGTACTCGCCCACGGTGTCTTGTGTGTATTGGGGTCGGGTCAGAGAGCGGGAATCAGAGCAGTGTCAAAGAGTTGTAGGAGCAATAACGTTACAGCCGCGAGAGCAATACAGTTGTGAGAATTACTGAATACAGAGTAATCTGCCAACAGTGACACGGTTAGATAGGAGATTTACCTTGGCTTAGAATACTCGGCCAACTCAGAAGGAAAAAGGGCTTTCAAGCTCTATAGCCTCGGTTAACGGATCAAAACCCCTGGGTCGGACATATACATCAATGGATTTTCTATGCCGCTATAATTATGATTCCTTACGACGGAGTGGTTTACCTTGCTCGTTTTCTTAACTTTGTAAGTGTATCCGTACTTTGACTGCTTTCGAAACCGGAAACACCCCACTTTTGCGGCCCAGAACAAACCCCGCCAGACGACACCGACCAGGCAAGCCGGGGTCTGCAATGTCGAAACCATCCCCGATAAGCACGTTCTGAAGCTCTATCACACTCGCAGCAACCGTCCCGTCACATCCCGCTCCTCTCCCGCCTCGCCCGTCCCCGACCATGGCGACCGCCCAAACCGAATTCCCCCCGCCAAAGGTCCTCACGTACCCCGCGTCAGCCCCGCCAACGCTAATCACCCAGGGCGCCGAAGGCCGCCTTTACAAGACGACGCACCTGCTCCCCGACCGGCCGTGCGCGCTCAAATACCGCCCGCCAAAACCTTACCGGCACCCAATACTCGATGCCCGCCTGACCAAGGCGCGCCTCTCGTCCGAGGCAAAGGTCCTCGAGAGGTGCCGGCGCGAGGGCGTGCCTGTCCCGGCCGTGTACGCCATGGACCCGGCCGCGGGGTGGATGATGATGGAGTGGATCGAGGGGATACCCGTGCGGATGGGCATCAACGAGTGGCTTGGTGAGAGGTCTGACGGCGAAGAAGAAGAGGGAGCAGCGGCGGCGGTGGAAACGGACTCTGCTCGACAAGAAGAAGCGGACGAGACGACGACGACGCCGCTCGTTGACCTGATGAAGAGGATCGGCGCGGCGGTGGGCGCGCTGCACCGGACCGGGGTGGTACACGGGGACTTGACGACGAGCAACATGATGCTTAGGCCGCCGCCGAGTCAAGGCGGTCAGGTCGACGGGGGCACTGCTGGGGAAGAGAAGGAGGACAAGGCCAAGGTGCTCGAGGGGGATGTGGTGCTGATCGATTTTGGGCTTGCGACGCAGAGCATGTCAGACGAGGACCGGGCCGTGGATCTCTACGTTCTGGAGAGGGCGTTTGCCAGCACCCACCCAAGGGCCGAGAGGCTCTTTGCTACTGTTCTCGCATCGTACAAGGACACGTTCAAGAAGGCATCCTCAGTGTTAGTCAAACTGGCGGACGTGAGGATGCGCGGGCGGAAGAGGAGTATGCTAGGATAGATATAAGGAGGCACAAACAGAAAGAAATCTTAGCGGTACCAACCGAATTAAGCAAGGAAAGTTTAACCACTTCAGCAGACACAGTTTGTGGTTTAAAGCGTGTCGATGCTAAACAAACCACTGAGCCATAGACAATGCCTGATGCGACTGGTGGTAATGTTGTAGGTGGCAAGTTGGACCCAGCTTTTGAACTTGACTGCCCTCGCTCTACCTCCTGACACCGACATTTGTGGCACTGTGAATAAACATGAGGATTGCTTAGATCGCAGACATGAAATCACCTCGCTTCGAGGTGGAGTCGCAACTCATCCGGCAGACTGTAGTCAATTCAAAACCGGGGTTGCCCCTATGTATGTACAAGAAGCTTGAAGTCTATCAATCGGGCAAATCTTTGGCGCCCTGTCCCGTATTCCTGGCTCCGATCGTGGAGCATGGCTGGACGTAAGGCACCTGTATTCTTCCCGATTCGGAGCGTCCAAAATGGGTATATAGCCGTCCCATGTTTCGGTCACGGACGGCAAAAAAAGAAGAGAAACTGGCATCACATCATAACGTCGGAAGATGGATGGATCGTCCAACACCCGACTCGCAGTTATTCCGTAAACGAATGCAGCTTGGATCGAGTCGGAGGTCTCTGCCTTAGTTGAACCACCACTCGATCGCTCGGCGGCCGTCGGTGAGAGACCCAAACAGCTCATTGAACATCTTCTCGGTGCCGTCAATGTCGCCGGGGGCGCAGCTCGGGCACTTGTCGCGGACCGTGGCCTGGATGGTCTTGCCGCCGGCCCTGATGGTGATGCCCTTGTTGCACATTGGGTTGCCGTTGGACTGAGCGCCCATCAGCGCCGCCGAGACGGCGACGAGGTTTTCCTTCAGGTCCTTGCCGGTGTCGTCGAAGCCGCAGGCGCCCATACCCAATTGGAAGTACGTGAGGTCACCACTGTAAACCGTTGATCCACCGCTCCCAGCTTCAGCGGTCCCGGATTCGCCGCTCCCGGATGCCCCCTTACCGCTGCCAGTTTCTGGAGGTGGGTTAGGGGATGGCGCCGGAAGGGAAGGGGTAGACGACTCCACCACCGGGCTATCCATAGAAGCGGATGTCAGTATATGAATGATCAAGTTGTGTGTCTGCAGTTGCAGAAACATACGGAGGAGGCTGCACCACCGGGGGAGCCTGCGAGGTGGTAGCCGGCGGAGAGACGCTTGTCGTGTCATCCTCATAGAACTGACCAGGGCTGGCACTGGCGCTAGAGCTCGCCGGTGTCGTGGGCGTCGTGGTGGCGGGGGTGGTGCTTGGCATGATCAGCTCGGTGGTGCTGTCGTCGACAATAGCGGTAACTGTTTCGTAGACGGTCTCGGTGACCCAGTGCACCACCAGCCCGCGTTTGTGATGATGACCGTGCTCCTTCTTCCGGTGCTGATGACCATGACCATGGCCATGCGGCTGGCCAACGGCGAACGAGGCCAGCAGGCCGGCGACAAGGACAGTGGCCTTCATATTGTTGACCAAGAACGGCTTGGAGTCGATATCGGTGACGCAGTGTGTGCCCTTCGTGAGGAACGAAGCGAGGAGTAGATCGGCTTCTGACCTGATGCCAAAGGAGTGTGTAGTTCGTCGACGGGAGCAAGGATGTAGCTAAGTTGTGATATGTCGTCAAATGAAGGTGAGCTCACTGAGCCAGATCAAGAAAGGAATGAATGTTGGCCGTCGGGCTGAAGCAAACAAGAAAACGACGAGGGTTGGGAGGAAAAGAGCGCATGGCAACAGGGCAACGAGACAGCCGAGATTTAAGACATCCCAGACCTCTGGGTGGCCAACCAAGGGTGGGCTGCGGAGCAGCCGGGGCGAAGGGGCGTGGACAGTCGGAGCTCCAGGGTGCAGTTTCGGCACCTCGTCCAAACACGTCGCTATTACAAGGATAGTTGGAGGTACAAGAGCGGCCTCAAGCTGCTGTTAAAGAGCCCTTCAAGCCCACTACGTGGGACGCCTTCTTCTTAGATGTAGCAGCCAAACAGGGTTGGTCAGTGTGTGGCGTAGCTTCCTCGTATCTGCCGTTAGTGAGCATTCGGCTCATCAGGTTTTGTCAGAAAAATGGCGCCAGACGAACCTGTTCCTTGCAACTGTCTGCAAGGCACCGGACGGGAGCTGTTCCACATCCCTGCCATTCAGGCACAGCGAGCCAACCGTCACCCGGAACGGAAACCACCCCAGCCAATGAGAACATTGACGCGTTGGGAGACATGTCAGTTCTGACCCACTTGCAGAATTCCGCCCAAAAATCGATGACCACGTCCATTCGCCCTGCAATGGCGCTCGATGCATGCCGGTTAGTGGCATGAAGCGAAACGCGTGGCGGCCTCCACAAGGGCCTGACTTCTCCCGCGCGCCGAATCCCCGATCAAGGCACTTGGAGGTCGGAGAGCTGGGCAAGAGCCTGCCAGCTGGAGGGGTAACAATGTTCGTCCGAAGAGTCCTGGGACGGCACGGGGCGCGCCAGGGGTAAAAGGCACAGCCGGCCTGATCCTTCTCTGACGACTTGTCTCTTCGACTCTTGTTTCTCTGCATCATTTGCCGTGCTGAATTCCCGAATTTGTACGTTCCAGCATTGAGAGCTATCGCGAACCTCTGTCAACAAGCCGGTACAGCTGGTCCAAGTCCGCTCCCGGTCCCTGGGTGTTCTCGGCTTCAGTAGGGCTGGCTGCCAATGATGGAACCCACCATTTGCGGGTGCAGATGCCGGCCTTCGGCATCCCTCGGCGCTGCACACGTGTCGGTAGGGAGTCCAAAGAGTCCAGTGAGCCTTGTGGGGAAAACATCAAGTTTCTCATCCCGCCTCGCCCGCATACTCGCCCCCCCTACCTTCATCTGTGGGAATGTCGGTCCGAGTTCTCAGGAGTGCATTTTGATGGATTTTCTCTCGTCATTGTTTCTGGGTAAACGTGTACAGGAACAGACCTTCTCTGCTGAATGTGGGGCGATCCTCGTCCTCGATCTCGGTGATAGTGAAGGCTTTCCTGGCCGCCTTGAGAAACTGCATGTCGGCCCGCCGCCTTTTTTTGAAGCAGAAAAAGATGGTGGCGGTGGAGACCAAGGCCATGAGATTTTGCAATGTCTGCATCAGGAGCGGGAAGGCCGGCTCAAAGTACACGCAATCGGCGGCGAGGATGATGTCGGGCTTGAAATCGAGGATTTCTTGTGAGAGCGGCTCGCCCCTGCATGGCAAATTCATTGTTAGTAGAGCAAAGCAATCTTGAGACGTACGCTCCATTGGAGCTTCATCAGGCACATCCTCATGCTCGCTCAACCCAACCGGAACGATTCGCTGGTGGCAGTAGTCACTGCAGCAGAGAATAGCTTGGTGTGATGCGGGGGAAGGGGGGGAGGAGGGGGGTAACACCACGGCAGAGAGGGGATACCACTACTCACCAATTGAGCACTCTGGCCCTGACCCGATCGTCGAGCCCGTTCAACGAAATGTTGTGTTGCATCAGCGATTCCATCTCTACCATGTCGGTGAGATACAGAGGATGTTCGAGGCTGGCACAACCTCGTGCAACGGTAAGTCCAACAACTCCCCCTCCAGCGCCGAGCTCGAGTCTGTGAGAAGTAGAGACTGTGTCAGTGGCCCGCACCACCAGAAAGCCTCATCACAGCAACAGGCGATGACTAAGGGTGATAGATGTGGACCGACATTCTCGCATGTTGCAGCCTGTCTCGATGGTAGCGCAGCATGTGCTTGGCCAGCACCATGCCCGCCGGCCAGAGCTGGCCTCCGCATCCCGACTTGAGGTCCTCATGCAGCTTGAGAGGCTCACCCAGGAGGCCCGAAAAGTCCACTTCTGTGGTTCCGGCAGCCTTGTATTCTGGAAGGGGCGCAAAGTCGTCGCCGAATGCAAGGGGTGAGAATTCTGGCGAGGGCGATCTCTGCCTGTCGCTCATGTTCAGGCAGTCTTCGACCCAGATTCTGATGCAGTATGAGGCGTAACCAACTTTGCGTTGACTGCTCAATCAATAAGATAACCCGTTGGCGAGATGCGGGGCAAAATCTGAGACTTCGAAACAGTTGTTTGGACCTTCCCCACCATATTAGTTGAAACCACTCCACCTCCACAACGTGACAACATAAATCATACGATACCTTACCGAGCTTACCTACCCTCAGGCTTAGATCCATGCAGCATTATCAATCGCAAAATGCAGATTGTCCTCCGACTTCATTTGACTACTCCCGCCACATTGTCACTACCAGTGCAAGCTTATCCCCAACCACACACTCCTCCGCTCTCATCCGCTCCCTTCGCTCGTGGACAATCGACATCAAAGATGCCGGGCCAGCCTTCTGGATGATTTGCTGGCCTCCCCCCTAATAGGAGTAACTGGCACGAAGGAGCCTTTTGTCGAGATATGCCCTCACCTGGCAGGTATCGTCATGCTCGTCCCGCCTCCCTCAATCCTCATGGTCCACCGACTGGAATGCTTTACATTGGCCAACCCCCATCCACAATGCTCCCTTCGAATAATCGTGTGTCGATCAAAAAGAAGAGATAGGAAAGTCAGGGCGCTGGGTCGGGGGCTGGCTAGCTTACCTGGTTCTGCTCCCTTGCCAACATCACCGAGCAAGGACGACAACAATGATCGAATACCAAGTCCCAACCACCCCTTGAAGATTGGCTTCACGGTTGAAGATCAGACTCCCTGGGGGAATCCCATCGGTTCTCCTTTCCCCATTGTTCTCCTCCTTTCGCTCTCAATTCTCCCACGACACGTAGTCGACGACGTTCAATAGAGCCAGCACCAGCAGAGGTGCCTTTGCAGTCAACACCATGGGATCACTGGCCGTGATCTTGGCCACGGCCTTGCTCTTTGCAGGGCTCACCACGGCCAGCCCGTCCTTTGCACTCTTAATCAACGCCCAAGTACCTCCAGTCGCCAGAATCGGGCAGCTCTTCTCCTTCGTCTTCTCCCCATCCACATTTTCCTCCAGCTCGCCCATAGCTTACAGCCTATCCAACGCTCCCTAGTGGCTCTCCATCGAAAGCGATTCTTGGCGGTTGTTTGGGACTCCAGGACCAGACGATGTCCCGTCGGGAGAGTTGGCAGGCGTGCCTGTGAGTCTTGTGGCTACTGATGACACGGGGTCAACCACACACACGGCAACCTTTGTGGTATCACGGGCGTCTGTGCCGAGGGTTGAGATCCCTTTTGAGAAACAAGCTCCCAAACTTTGCACAATCTCCAGTCCATCAGCTATCTTGTCTGCCCCGGGAAAGGCGTTTTCGTTCCGGCTGGACCTAAACACATTCTCCATACCGCCAGGCATTCCATCAGATACTATGCCACCATGGCTGACAACACGCCGCTCCCGGCCTAGATATCCTTCGACTCCTCCCGGCTCTCTTTCACCGGCAAGACTCCATCCGCGGAATCTCTCATTCAGCCTCCACAGCGCTTTTCTTTCCGAGTCATTGCCAGCGACGTGGCCGGCTTCGCGGGAGCAGCTCTGGGGTTTCGACATTCACGTGGGAACCCACCAGCTTGTGGGGCAGACGAGACCGTCATTGTCTTGAATGCTACCCGTGGGACACTTTTTGTCATGTACTGGACTGATGGATACGGTCAGGGTCGATGGCAAACCAGCCGACCCCGGCACCGTCTCGATCGCCTCCACGGCGAATATGCTCCCTTGGCTGTCGGCCAACAAGCACACCTGGCATATGACTGGCGTGCCCCCAGAGAATACCGAGTCGCCCAACTTCACAGTTACGTTACGCTCCGTGATACCTTCACAAACAACCTGAACCTGACCATCTTGATCAAGCTGAACGGTGGCACGTCCGGTTTATTCACTGGGAGCCTACCGGGGTTTGCCATCATTCCCGGGAAGCCGTTCTCGTTTGACCGGCGACCGTACCTGTTGAATCCTCAGGATACCGAGATCTCAGTTGAGACGAGCTCGCCGTATTCTTGGATCCAGTTCGGTGCAAGCACGGTGGCACTGTTTGGAGAAGCACCCGGTAGCTTGAAGGACGGCCTTGTCACGCTTGAGATCAAGGCCAGATCGAGGACTCCAAGAAGTCGGCTGCGTTATCTTTCAACATCGTCGTTCGTGCATTGTCGGGCAGTGAAGCAACACCCTCCGAAACCGCGAAGTCCGGGCCGCGCCGGACAGACTCTTCGGGCAGCCACCGTCCTCTGACTGGAGACGGCTCGGGGAACGGTCAATTCAACCCCGTGCTGCTGGTCGTTCTCTTACCGCTCCTCCTCCTCCTGGCCTTGGCTGTGTGCGCGCTATTTGGGTATCTCCGCCGACGAAGGACCGCCAGAGACCTCCGCTCAGCACGCGGAACATATCAGGTCCTCTTCCGGTAATGTTTGTGACAAGCGCTGCTCCACTGCTGCCGCCTAACCCTCTTCCCGACTTTACCAAACGCTTAGGCGACAGCTTGTCGGCTGATGATGTTTCTGGATCCGAGAAGAAGGGCTATCTCGAGTCGCGAAACGCTTTCCTGACCAAACCGGACCTGCCTCGACAACCAGTTTCTATGCGAGTACTTGTCAAGCAGCACTCCTTCCACGGAACCTGGCGACACCTCTTCAGAAACCGGCGGAACATTTGCCGTTGTCAGCAAAGGTCTGGTGACGCTGCGGCCGGGAGCGCGGGGCAAGATCAGCAGCTCTCTGAGCTTCATCATCGAGCCCAGTATTGGCGAGCTGGTCGACTCGCAGGACATTGACTCGGCCGGCCATGACAGCAGACAGTCATTGCTGGACAAGATTGAAATCAACGTTCTGAGACTCCAGAATCCTAAGCGAGCGTTCACAGCGTCGCCATCCCCCACAGACGCGACGTCAACCCCGCGACCGGTCTCTCCGCGGACGGCTCCGGAAAATGTGTCACTACGAGCGGAATCGCGATTCTCCTACTATCCACCTGCGTCTTCGGTTCGCAAACTTTCCTGGCGGTGGCTCGAAGCGGTCAAAGGGAGACGTCAGGGGTCAAAGCTGGTGCCGGGAATGAAGAGGCAGAGCTAGCAGCTAAGTGTGTTGATGGTCGACACGCAGGATTCCAAGAAGACAGAACAGCCACCGCCAACCCCCCAGTCACCCACGAGGGTACTAATGCACGACTCCTCGCATCATCCTCGCTGCCACTCCCGAGGTTTCCAGGTCGAGCTCTATTCAGCCGACCGTCCACCAGGGGAAGCGGCCCGGCAACGAGCACGAAACTCGAACATCCGTCTCGGGAGCAAGCCAGATCGAGCGACATAGCAGCAAGTGCGGCGATCCCCGCTTCCAGTTCGCCCGTCATACAAGAGAAATCCACTCCCGGTTTTCCGATTCACGGCGAGACTCCAGCAGAGTTGCTGGCATTGTCGGGCTCAATCCATTCCACCCATCCAAGACATGGTCGAGAGTCCCTACGATGAACGAGTGGGTGGACGAGACGGTCTCGAGTCTGGCACTGAGCAGGACTGCTTCGCAGCATCAGCAAAACTGGACGGTGCTGCAGGAGCCGCCCGTCAACCACAACAAATATTCAGGGTGGCGCCATGGTATCGCGCATGTTCCCTGATACCGCGTCCTCCGTTCGGTTGCCACGGGTCTCGGAAAGGGAAGCTGATCCGGAAGGCAAAAAAAGGTAAAGAAAGGCAGGTTGGAGCCCTCGGCTGATCCTTCAAGGTCTGCCGCGGCTTTAGCAGCTGATGGGCGAAGGGATGAGCAACGGGAGGTCAGGCTGACCGTGTTTTATGACTCCGAGGTCGGTAATACCGTAGTCGTTAGGGTTGGAAGTAATGGTATCAGCATTCGGCGATGCTGTCATGTTGGATTCCCTCTGATGAAATTTTACCTTCCTTTGTGATTGAATGACAACAGCGTCATTGCCGTTTGCTGCGTTGCAATTGCCCGATTGAGCAATGCCTGCTCATGAGTTAATTATTGGCGCAGGAGCAAATTCTGGACTCGCTTTTCCAGTCGCATCAGAGTCTCAAAATGCTACTTGTCTATTTGCACTAACCCCTGGCCTTCGGTGGACTTATCTCCACTTACTTTGACCAACCGTAAACTGTGGCCAGCCCACCAATCACAGCAAGATTTGAAGGCCATCGCGGCCATCGTCCATTGAATCAAGGGACTCAAACGCATCAGCAACATTACACATGCAAACCAGAGAACTGGGCGATTTGTCCAGCAAAACAGTCGCGCCAGAGGGCTGGGCGCGTCTGGCGTTTCACTTAGAGGTTCGGATCCGAGGTCTTGATGCAAAAGAACATTGGCAGTGTTGGCAACAGAATGCCTAGGCTATAATTGGCAGTAGCGAGTGGGGATAATAAGTGCACCAAAGCCAGTGGTAAGTGCAAATACTCAAGCCTCTCAAATGGGCCCCGCATTCTGTGGTTGCCCAAGTCGGCAAGTTGCCGTGGTTTCCAGGGCCAGAAGCGATCCTCGCGTGATCATCTTGATCAAGAACATGAGGGAGCACGAATCGACGGCGAACAAGGGCTGAAGACTCACTTTAATCCTTTGTTGGAAGTTGACTCTCCGAATCGTTGCAGTGTCCCTGACAGCTAGTACAGCCGAACAACAAATTCACAGCATTAAGCTTACCCCATCATTCAAGTACCTGAAAGTACCTAGAAAACGTTATAGCTGAGTAACTGGACCTTGATTGACCTTTGTTATCAACTCCGCCGGAAGCTAACCCTCGCCTTATCAACACGATATGTTGCTCTTTATTCTGCTGTGAGCTCAGGTTTTTGCTGCTCCAAATAGGTAAGGTAATTTGGATAGATACCGCCCAAGCTTCCGCTCTTTAAGCCCGCCTGGCCTTGGAAGACTGGCTCGCCTTGCTTGTCAGCTGCACGGTCAAACCAGCGAGCCCTTCGCAGGGGCAGCGCCCGTTCCCGCAAAACCCCGCTCCACCATCACCTGAAAGCCAGATCTGCCCGTGCACGACCGGGAGGAACGCAAAAGCGCCCCAGTGACCCGGAATTCAGCAAGCTGAAAGGAAGGAAACCCCAAAGGCACAGAAACAGGGGCGAGAACAGCCTTTGGCGGGGTCACACCACAACGCGCTCAAATTTCACTTGGAGGGCGCCTGACCAATCCTGCCCATTCAACGTCATCAGAAAGCCAGTTTGTTAGCAGGGCACGCCGAGAAAATTTGAACTTGGTTCAAGTCGTTTCGCTGCCTGCCCATTTCCTCTGCCCAAACCTCCCCAGACAAAAACACCCCTCACCCCCACTGGTAGCCGCGCCCGCTGCCGAATTGTATTTCGACATCGCATCACGATGGGCCAGACACTCTCTGAGCCCGTTGTCGAGAAGGTATGTGTTCACATCTCTTTAGTTTTCGAAGCGAGGTTCAGGTGCCTTGTGCTTTTTGCTGGCGCTGGCTGGTGTCCAGGGCTTCGCGCCTGGTGGTGCTCAAACTGCCCCTCCTTAACCGCGATGCTCGCATGCCTCACCACATCACCGTCTTTCTTCTGCAACCGGTTGCCTATCAGCGTCGTTGTTACTCGGACGACTATCTGCCGATAGTACTCGATCACGAAAATGATCTTCCGTGAGCTTCACAGCAGTTCACGTCAAACAGCCTACTGACGCAACGGGACACCACCCCTCTCTCTAGACATCAGCAACTGGCGGAGATGAACGGCTCCTCTACGGCCTGTCGGCCATGCAGGGCTGGCGCATAAGCATGGAGGATGCGCACACGGCGGTACTCAACCTGCTCGAGGATAATCCCAAGGCTGCCAAAGAACATCCGTCCAAACTCTCCTTCTTCGGTGTCTTCGACGGCCACGGCGGCAGCAATGTCGCGCTCTTCGCTGGCGACAATATCCACCGCATCGTTGCAAAACAAGACACATTCAAAGCAGGCAACTACGAGCAGGCCCTGAAGGACGGCTTTCTTGCGACAGACCGAGCCATTCTGAACGGTATGCTAGCCCCGGACATGCCGGCGGACAGGGGGCGGGGACGAGAGCCAGGGTGTTCACGACCGCCCCGCTACCATCACCACCGTGGGGGTATCCGGTGTCTTCGATGACATCCGCTGATTTGGATATTCTGAGCAGATCCAAAGTATGAAGAGGAAGTCTCAGGCTGCACAGCTTGTGTGGGCCTAATTACCGACGACAAGATTTATATTGTTCGTTTCTCTCCCCAGCACTCTCTCCCGCCCCCGCGCCTCCCGTTCCCCACACCCAACTCTGCTGACCACGAAACCACAATTTTGTAGGCAAACGCCGGCGACTCTAGAGGCGTACTTGGAGTCAAGGGCCGGGCGAAACCATTGTCATTTGACCACAAGCCGCAAAATGAAGGTGCGCCAACACAATCCTATGTCTCTGCGATGCAAGCAGCCCCTTGCTGACGTGGCGTTGTGCCGGGGTTTAGGCGAAAAGGCGAGAATCACGGCCGCAGGCGGCTTCGTGGACTTTGGCCGTGTGAACGGAAACCTGGCCTTGTCGAGAGCGATCGGAGATTTTGAGTTCAAGAAGAGTGCCGAGCTGGCACCCGAGCAACAAATTGTCACAGCATATCCCGATGTCGTGGTCCATGAGATGGGTGACGACGACGAGTTCCTCGTTATTGCATGCGACGGTAAGCCCTCGCCTGCAGGAAACCACAAGCCTTCGAGGTTTTGCGCTCACACGAATCTTCTACACTAGGTATCTGGGACTGCCAATCCTCTCAAGCCGTGATCGAGTTTGTCAGGCGTGGGATCGCTGCAAAGCAAGAATTGGACAAGATCTGCGAGAACATGATGGACAACTGTCTGGCATCCAATTCAGAGACGGGCGGCGTGGGTTGTGATAACATGACCATGGTCATCATTGGCTTCCTTAGGGGTCGTACCAAGGAGGAGTGGTATGAGGAGATAGCCAGACGGGTTGCCAATGGAGATGGCCCTTGTGCTCCTCCCGAATATGGTAGGCATACGCCAGCCCCTTGAAGCGCACGTCTGTTATTCTTCTTACCAGCCCTATATACCTGTCTCTTTTTCTGCCCATTTTTGTTCCCAAAGTTTTGTCGCTTGCCCGGTGTGTTCGTAACACCGCTTGTCCTCATGCATCTTCCTTTGCTCTTGGTTAGTCAAGCTACTAACACTTGTCTCTCTCCCCCACTATAGCCGAGTTCCGAGGGCCCGGTGTGCACCACAATTTCGATGACAGCGACAGCGGTTATGACCTCGAGGACCAGAACAAGCAGTCCAAGAACTTCGGCATCGGCGGTTACAGGGGGCGCATCATTTTTCTCGGCGACGGCACCGAGGTGTTAACTGACTCGGACGACACAGAGATGTTTGACAACTCAGAGGAGGACAAAGATCTTGCAATTCAGGTCTCAAAGGGTTCATCGTCATCGTCCACATCGCAGGAGGCCAACTCGGCGGAGGCTACTGGGGGTGAGAAGGCCGCCGCCCCCGCCGTGGATACCGGCTCGTCGACGTCACAGCAGCATGCGCAGGCGGAAACAACGGTGACTGGGGGCAACAAGGCGGATGACGAAAAGAACGGCGAAGAGGCAGAGGCGAAGAAGGGTGCATGAATTGCCATGAAACTTCATGATGGGTTGTTGGACAGAAGTTGAAGGGATCCGCCAACCCCACCAGACATTGAGATGCTTTCTTTTTATACCAAGTTCTTGGTCGAACAAGCATGATGATCATATTATACCATACCATACCCCGCACTGCCCCGTACCAATAACCCACAGCCAAGCTCATGTCTGATGGTTTGAAATGACGGTTTCATTGGGGTTGGGGGTTTGGGATCAAGTCAGGCTGGGGCCGTGGAAGGCGTAGGAAGGAAAGGGGTGCGGGGCTGAAAGGGATGATGGTGTTGGTGGATGGATTTGCTAAGGGATGAGAGGGGAAGGGGTGACATGATGGACCGCTGCTCGTTCTGTGGTTCTTTCCCGCCGTCTCTTTTTCCTTTTTGTTGATTGGCCCCTTTTCTGTTATTGTTACTGCTTCTGTCACTGCTTTGATATGATCTCGTCCCTGATTCCTTGTTGATCTTGTGGATGTGTGTGGCGATCCCACCCGGTGGTGCTTGGGCTACGTGAATGCCCTGGATTGCTCGCAATCTTTATTTTCAATCTCTCGACGGTGAAGATTGGTAAGGTTTCTGCAATCCAAACACCTGCAGATAACGACCCCGAAGTCACTTGGTGAGTACCCTGCTTTTCACGGCTGCGTCCTGAAGCCACAAAACTAGCGATCATTGTCTAGGCAACCAGAAGGACAAATGTCATTAAGGCATTAAGGGGGAGGGATGAAAGTGATAAAGCGACTAGGCCTGGTGAATATCACTTACCAGGCGCTATATGAAGTGAGGCAGCTGCCTACTCCTCGTGTTCCAGGTAAGGTACAGCAGATCGTTCCGTGATAGTTCTCATTTGAAGGAGAAAGGTAATATATCTCCCTATATGAGCGAGCAAAGAAAGAAAAAACGTACAAGCGCTCCCATAACTCCTAGTACCAGTGTCCTTCATCGACCTGGAATCACTGTCCTCAGAACGATAAACCAACAATCAATGCCGCCGACACATGCCGTAAGTTCCCAACCGTCCTCCTTACCCCAGTCAGGGATAATTTGGCCAGAATTGGCGCTCAATGCTTTGCGTCATTGCCTCCTACGAAACCGCCGGTGAGATCAATTCCGTCCAACTGAAAAATCGATATGGCTGGAACTAGTCCCTGAAAATCCACAGAATATATCAATAAATGAAACAGACAATTAGAAGAAATAGGAAAACTCAGAAAATATAACAAATGCAATCAAAAGCACTACGTGCTTACGTGACAAAAACACAGCAACAGTATCGTACCGTCCAGGCCGCTGCGTGCGCCGGCATGTGGATGCCAAGTCCGGTCAGGCCGATCGAAAGGAAGGCCAACGACGGGGCAAGAGGGCCGGGAAGCCGCAGTAGAAAGGGGAAAAGCATGTTCAGACATCGATTTCCATCCTCGCAGCGATATCCTCGCTGACGCCCCTCACGCGACGCTTGTCATCCTCGGCCTCGTCGGTATCCATAGCGCCCGGGCCGTCCTCTTCCTCCTCAAACTCGTCCTCCTCGTCGTAGTCATCGTCGTCGTACTGGCAATTCACATCGCCATCGGCATCGCGGTTCCATACCAGCCCGTCGTCCATGTCATCATCGCTCGCCGTGATGCGCTCGGCAAACTTATCCCCCAACCAGTACCGAGCGCGCTTGTTGGCGCCCAGGTCGTCCGTGTCCTCTTCACCAAGCCCCGTAAGGCTGGCTCTTGTCTTGCGTGACAGGGCCGAGTGCGCCCTCACCCGTGGGCTGTGGCTCATGACGGGTACGCCCCTCACATAGAGGTAGCATACCCGCTTGAGAGCCTTGTTGAAGAAGAAGTAATGTAGAGCCCAAATGGCGCCCTCCTCCTCGTCAAACGGATCGTCGGCGGGTTGATAAGAGAAGATGCTGCAGTCCTTGAGCATCATCTCCTTGTCGATCATAGACCACATTTGCGGGCCCCATGCGGGCGCCGTCGATATGCCCGTGTTAAAGTCGGTCAGTTTCGCCGGGGAGCTGCGTGGTATCGCGACGTCGAGCAGGGTCGAGTTGGGGCGCACGCTGCTGAGAGTGCTGTCTATTTGCGTCATGACGCGCCGCAGTACGCGCTCGCGCTTGAAGTCGGCCGGCCGCAGGACATGGGAGAAGTCGTAGTCGGGATGCGACGCATTGAGCGTGGCGATGAGATAGGCAAACGTGCGCCGGTTCGCGACCTCATCGAACGAGCCGAACGGCGACGAGCGACTCAGGTTGAGGCTCGCGGCCAAGGAATCGCGCTGGGGCGGTGAGAGCGACGCGCCGAATTTGAGCAGGGCGTCATGTTGCGATTGGAGTGATTGCTGGATATTTTTGTAGAGTTTCTTGTCAGAGCCGGCAGCTTTGGTCGTATAAAGGTCGCAGCTGCCTGTGACATGGCAATCCGGCGTGTCGAAATTGAGGGCGCTCGTCACCACGTCAAATGATGGCAGTGATAGGTACTATTGGGTCCTGTAAGCCATGCGCCGCAGCGGAAATGTCGAAAACAGCGTTGAATACCTTCATTTTGCAGTGAAGGTCAGATGCAGCTGGCCTAGCTCCTGTCTAGTCTGGCTGTCGTCGTTCAATGATGGGGATGGATGACGTCGGAAAGCGGCGCGTCGCTGGGGCAGCGGAGAAAATGCCGGAACCCGGCACCGAATGTTAGCACACGTAGCTAACGGGTTATCGCGCGATGTTCACAATGTCAGAATGCGGAAAAGTATTGAGGGCTGAAAGTGGCCGTGGCGGTCGAAAGGGCGACTGTTTGGTGCGAAGTCCGGGAACAGCGGGGAAGCGCAGGTTGGCAGTCTTGTGGTGCCAGACTGGAAGTGAACAAAGCCGGGAACGAGACGTGGGGTGGTGAGTGCCGAGATGCGGCCGCACAGCGTTGATATGTGGTGGTAGTCGAGACGTTTTAAGTACGATAATCGCGATTGAGAGGAGGCAAGTGACGAATGGAATCTCTCGGATTGAAGTCGCGACAGCTTGCGGTCAATAGATGCGTTGGATTTCCATGCATTGTTGTGGTTTCGTGTTCCAAGCTTGCATCATCCGTCACATCTGCCCGCTGGTCCTTGGTCCGGCCCAGCTGGTAGCGTAATCCCGGTCTCGGGGAACACGGGGTAGAACAATCGGCACACCTCTCCCGCCCGCAACACGCCCTTCTGCCGAAAGCTCCGCCTGCACCCATTCCGGGTGTCAAAGCTGTAGTAAACGAATGAGATGCCCAGGAATGCGCACGAGGATCGTTCGGAATGCCATCAACGGGGAGAAGCTGACAAAACCCAACCGTGTCCCCTATTTCATGCTCGGCCACATGGTTTGTCTGTTGGATGATATGTGGGCATGTGCAGCACCGCGTGGCGTTTTTGCTGGGGTGGGGGAATTCCTGGATTGCTGGTCTGCTGCGCCTGGCTGCTATGCCAGAGAGGGTGTTACAATGCTGCATTCGGCCTCTGCTGGGCCTAGCAGTGGGAGGAATTATCTACATGCCCATATCTAGATTCTGCGAATTCTGCGAAAGGAGTTTGCTCCCTCCTGATGGGTAAATGTAGCCCGATGTCCCTCCATTTTCCGCCGGTTTGTCGCACGGGATTCCCCGCATGTTTCGACTCCGGTCGACTGCGTAACGCCCGTAAGACTGGTAAAGTCGAAGCGATTCGCAATCACTCGGCTGCTCGGCTTCGTCGTCGTCATAGAGGGTATCATACAGCGGTTGCGGTCTCACAGAAACCCCACTTCCTTGAGCGAGCTTTCGATCTTCTCCATCTCCTGTGTCCGTCGTGTCAATATGGATCAGTCATTTCGCGGCCAGAAAAATTGATCCGCCGCAATGTCCGGGAAGCGTTCGTCGAGGGCAGGGGAGGAAGGGGATCAATTGAGGGTGCAGCGGAGCTGCTCCTCTACATGATCTTTGTGACTTCGTCCTCGACCTGAGCGGACGGCACGTCAGTAAGACAGAGATTGTTGGGGTCATGGACAGATGGACGCCGGCACACAACTCTGCAAGAGGGAATGCATGTCAGCCACAGGGAAACAGGGGGATACCAACCTCCATATCCTCTAGCGCGTCCTGCTGCGAAATACAGCGTAGGACGTTCTTCTTGCTGCTCTCCTGCAGCTCTCCTGCCAGCAGGAGCTCGTCGAGTATATAATAGGCCTTGGTGAAAGAGAAAATAATGTCGAGCTCGCACACGTTGCCGTAGTATTTGTCCATCTGTTCGACGTATCGGTGGATGATTTCGAGAGTGATTAACTCGTTATCGTCAGAGGAGCAGCCGGCAATGAAGAACAATGAAGCGTATCGGCGGTAGACTATTTTGGTGTCTAGGTAGATGTGAGCAAAGCCCTCACAAGACACGTAGCCTAGTGAACACTTACCCTTGTACTCAAGGAAGTTGCACATCCGAGTGCGCCGCGCCAGCACAAGCTGCGAGACATCCTTCACGATCTTGGCTTTGTCCTTTGGCGACAAAGTGGTAAACCATTTAGCCAGGCGCTACAAGGTGTCGGGTTAGCTTCGTACCGCCGAACGGGGAGAGACAATGGCAACTCACGACTTTCCCTTGGCGAGAAAGTAGGATTAGATAGCTGCCACGATGTGGGTTAGCCGTGACAAGAACACAAAAATGCAAGTCTCCTGACGTACTTGATCGCCATGATGAAGCGCGCCGAGCTTCACCGGCAGCAGCTTGTTGTGTGGTGCAAGCACGAGAGCGAGTTGAATGAGCGGGTTTGACTCCCAATTTCCAATTGCTGGGTTCGGTTCCAGGGTTGGCCACGAGATAATATTGCCTGAGGAACGAATTCTCCCGCTTTGCCCTCTCAAACGTCAGGTCAACCCCGCTTATTTTTGGCTGCCACCAACCCCTTCTGCCAGGCCAAGGTTGACCCAAGAGACCAAGAACAAAATACAGCTATTGTAGGCGATAGAACACATGTGCGTATGCGGACAGTATAGAAGGTAGTAAATCAAGTCGCACGCATCTGATTGTACATCACGATTGGTAAAGCGGGTAAGATAAGACGCGCAAAGCTCTTGATATAACGTTAGTTATATTATTTTCAAGGTCTTCTTTAGGACTCGGGACAGCCCCACTTGCCTTTGGACTTAACTCTTTGATCTTTAATGCTGAGCGAAAAACCAAGTTTATCAGAAACGCTTCGCGTATTGCCCGCATTGCCAATCATACTACACTATCGAACTTGAGAACCTTAAATTAACCCCTTCCTGTGGTTCCCGCGTACGCGCATGCTTTGTGTCGTCTAGAACCGTAGGATCTCTTATTTACCTCTCCAGAGCCAACTGCCCGATATTAAGAGATTTGGGGCTGCCACCTAAGATAAGTGGAATTGACCTGACGAATGAGAAGCCGAACGCAGGGATCAATCAATGGAGGGGCATAGAAGTAGTGGCTACATCAGCGGGGTAAATCCCGATTCTGTAAATAGGTACAGAGAGCATGAATAAGGTACCGAGTATCCGTACAATTGTACTTTTTGAAACCACGTCTGTCACCTCCGAGTCCCAAGCTTCCATTCTTGTCATAACAGGTCGACGTAGACAAAGACATGCCAACAAAGGTACGGTACACTGCAAACCGAGCATGCATGGCATCCGCCTTCTCTATGGTCTCAAGGGAGCAGACCGATTCTGGGGGGGTCGACAGCACACTTAACTGGAGTCTCGAGTCTCCGGTTCTTCTTTGACGGCCCGGGGCGAGAAGTGGCCGACCAGCGCTTCCCCACGCTGCCAGAGATAACCACCTACCATACATCATCTCGGTTGGTCAGCCCGCAGCTTGCATTCCAAGTACCATTATTATATATAAAGCATTCATGAAGCTGTCCGGCCGTCAGGACTCGGGTGGCTATCTTACCATGTGCCCCATTCAAGTCTAGAACCCTGCATTTGTTCTCGGTCTTTTTTCCATCAGCCTGTCAAAATCGGCCTGGCGGGGGCTTGCTTCTAGAAGCATTAATACGTTAATAAGCCGTTGGTTTTCGAACCCCACCGAGTGCTTAAACGTTTCTTATCCTGACCTTCTCTTTTCTCTCAAGCACACTGGCAGTCGGACAGCGTTGCTGGATGAGAAATTTCTGAGTCCTGGCAGGTCAGGCATAGCAGCGATGACCAAGATAATCCTCTCCACAGGGTAAACACCGAAACCAGAAATCCACCGATCCGCCCCGAAAGACACGGCCGGCTGCTGACTGCGAGACTGTTGATTCAGGAACATCGTCTCTGGCGGGCCTTCCATCATTCGAAAACCAGGCACATTCCGATCCAACCTCGAGCTCACGAACTCGCTAAGGAGCAACTTTCTTGCCGCGCAAGAAGATTATGCGGCCGAATCCGCGCACAGCAACGGCGCCGTCAACGGGAACGGCAGCGCCAATGTCATTGAGGTAGACGCCGAGACGGGCGGGCGCCCGCCGGCATCGGTCTGGACTGCCCACAAAGATGGCGTCCTTTACGTGCCGGCGATCGATTGGGACGCCCACGGGTTGCAGGAGGAGCCGGCGCACTACGACGTCACAGCCAAGCTTTTCTTCCTGCCGGGCGCCGCCGTCTCGCAGCGGTCGCAGTTTGCGAAAGAGGCGCTAGCGCATGTCTTAAGGGAGCTGCGCGCCCCAGCGGTCGACCTGCTCATCGTGTCCTTCCCGGGCATGTCGTTCGAGGGCGACTGCGAGTGGGAGGCCGACAGGATCAATGCGGGACAAGGCAACGACGCAGACGAAATTGCGACCTGGCCCGCCATCGAGGAGTTGCACCGCGCCGGGCTGGCAAAGAAGCTGGGTCTCGCCGAGTTTGGCAGCGAGAAGCTGTCCAAATTCCTCCAGAAGGTCCAGGTGCGCCCGGTTGTCAACCAAGTCAACCTCAAGAACTGCTGCAATGTGCCGCCGCCTCTGGCACAGTTGGCGAAGGAGCAGGGCATTGAGCTGCTAGTCCATAGCGACTGCACCGATATTCTCCCCAAAGGAACATTGAGGGACCTGCTTGGTCAGCGACAAGGCGGGGCGGGGCTCCTGGCCGATTTCGAGACCGGAACAGGCGGGCTGCGGGGGGATCTCACGCCACAATGGGTTGTGAAATACACGGCTGTCGTTCGGGATCGTGGCGTCATTGAAAACAAGGGATATTTCGCGGGCGCGGAGCTGGCAGACGAGTAATCTGCCTGGCACTCCGCCGGTTTAGGCGGCTCAAACTGATCAGGAGTTCAGGTCAAGTCCGGGTCTTTGGGTATACAGTTTCAGGGAACGAGGAACACGGGCAAAGAATCACCTCATATGGCTCACCGTTTATATTTCCCCTTTACAACAGAGCGAATCGAACGGTATATCCCGGGAGTACTCGCTGATTGAGTCAGTCCATCCTATCCTTCTTTTTCGGATTTGGTACCTGTCCATGGTGGTTGCGAAATCGACGGCAGAAGGCAATTCCAACCTCCTTCAATCAATCACCATCTTCAGGTCGATATGACGAGACGCAGTGCTTCTAATGATTCATGAGGTATCACCAACACCTTCGCTCACCGACTCAGACTCAACAACCCCTCGATATACCGCCGAGTATCCACGCCAATTCCCTGCGCGAGCCGGCCCGCCCCATCCGCCCACCCGCCAGCAGCACCAGCACCACCAACGTACGACGCGCTCACGCCCCTGACGCCAGCCCCGCCACCGTGGTCGCTAGCCCTTCGAACCAGGAAAATCTCCTTGCTCCCCACCGCTGCTGATTCACCCCCATCATCCCCAGAATCATCATCGTCCTCCGCCACTGTCCCCCCTCCTCCTGCGTCCGATGCGACCGCAAAGGGTGGTGATGAGAGCGGCGGCGGCGGCTTGCTGTCCCTTGTTGCGGGACCCCGGTGGTCGAGGACTCGGTTCCAGACGACCCACCACCCGCGACTTGTCTTGCACGTCTCCTCGAACGCCGACAGATCGCCGCGGCTGCCCGCAAAAAAGTTTAGGATCTGGTTGTGCGTGTTGAGCGCTTCCACGCGCGTCCAGACGGATGAGGGGACCGCCGTACCGGAGGACGAGGTGTCGGCGAGGAGGACTGGGTCGGGGATGTTGGGTATCGTTGAGTGGATCGTTAACGTGCTGGTGTCGAAGACGAGGTCGTAGATTTTGCTGGTCTGGGATGAGCCGGCGAGGATGGGTTTCTCGGGCCGGTAGGCGGTGGAGGTGAGGAGGGGTTTGTGGAGGGGCGTGAACTGGGTGTGGAGGGATTGGGAGAGGTCTTCCCAGGTGGACGACGAGACTTTGTCGGGTCGGAAGAGCAGGATGTAGATGAAGGGCCGGTGGACGTAGACGACAGGGCGGAGGGTTGTTGTCTTTGACTTCTTGGTGTCTGTGCTGGGTAGATCTGCCGTGTGTGCCTTGGTGTCCTGGGGATCTTGCGCCTCGAGCGCGATCGTGACTGTCTGTTGCCCCGTGGTATTTTCCTCCTCTGCGGAGTCTGGTTGCTGCATCTCGGTTCCAGGCTCGTCCGGCCCAACCAGGAAATAGCCGGCATCAAGGTCCTTCGAACGCTTTTGGGACCCGGCATCTCCAGAAGAAGTTTCGGGCTCTTTTGGTCCATCATCTGGTTCCGAGGTCGTCGCGGAAGTGAAAGAGCCGAGTGACCAATAAGTACCATATCCAAGCTTGAGATAGCTGAACATCATGTCCATACCGGCGCCCGTTCCAGCGGTCGCGGGCGTGTGTGGAGGAGCCGTGGAATCTCCGTGTGTAGCGCGGACATCGCTGGTTGATTGAGGCTCAGCTGCTGTAAGCGCCCCTTTTGCTGTATCCTTCTTCCCACCACTGGCTGAAGACGGGGAGACAACGTCTGCCTTCTTGCCAGCCCCTCTCCGTTTCTTCGCCCGCGAAGAACTCCCGGCCGGGATATCAACCACGCCATAAGCACTCTTCCCCCACATGTAGATATCTTCCATCCAGCTCGTCACGGCCCGGAGGCTCCGCCTGGAAAGAGCGCCAACGCCCAAGAATACGACCCCATCCTCCGCCGCAACCTCACCCCCCAGGCCAAGCCACCCTTCCTCCTCATCCCCCTTCCTCGTCAGTGACCCCTTACCCTTTCTCCCAACCTCACCCTGCTGCTTCCGCTCCGCCTTACCCGCGTCTCCAGATCCGAACCTCCCCACCACCAAATCCACCAACCCATCCACCCTTTCCACAAGCCCCTCCAGGACCTCCCGCTCCCCGCTCCCGCGGTCCTCCTCGCCGACCCCGATCCCCAGCTCGCCACACGCCGCGATCTTGATTCCCCCCAAAACGCTGCACGCCGGATTGCCGTGCAACAAGACGTGCCAGGTCGACAAGAACAGGTCCCAGTAGCGGGCCAGCAGCGCGGTGAAGTGCGGGCGCGGGGTGGAAGCAAAAAGAGACGAGAGCGACGGGCCGTGGTGCAGGAGGAAGTGGGCGTGGGCGCGGAGGAGGTCTTGACGGAGGAGGATGGCGGGTTTTACCTCGCGGGAGGAGTACTCGTATTGCTGGGTGAGGGCCGCCTGTTGAGCCTGGTTTGTGTGAGAAGGGGAGATGGTGGTGGTGGTGGTGCCTTTGGCTGATGATGGTGGTGGAGGAATGGGAGGAGATGGTGCAGGGGTTGTTGAGATGGTGGATGCCCCGGCTGCCTTGGTGGGCGGTAGGGGGAGGCGGGTCAGGTCGATGGACTGGGTGTGTATACTCAGTACACTGAGAATATATGACTTCAATAACACGGATGGAAGCTTACCGCGAGAATCCACCAGCCTAGCTCCAGCTCATGCAGCACGACACGGCTGCGCTCTGTGTCGATTGAGTCGACGGGCTTGCCTCCAGAGAAGCTCCTGCCAAACTCGACCATGCCCTGGGCGAGACCTATCTGCCGGAGCCGCTCATTGCGCTCTTCGTTTGAAATGTCATCGGTTGGGCGGCCGTCTTTGGCAGCGCGGTGACGGCGCCGTTTCGAGGTTGACTGGGTGCTGCCTGACGCATAGTAGACAATCTGGTCATCGAGCGTCTCGTCGGTAGTGCCCAGGCCGGGATTGTAGATGGCCAAGAAGCCGAGCTGCGCGGGCACAACGCCGGATGCCAGCGGGTTGGCCATTCTAAGAAAGAGTGATTGCTGCTAATCAAAAGTTGTTATCAGGAGTGTCTTCGTTTTCTTCATTAGAACCCTTTCCGTGGCTTTGTTTGTTCACTTATTGAAATCATGGCGAAGACATCAGTTTTCATTCTAGGCTGAGGAGTGTTTCAGGTGCTGTGGTTGTTTGAATGAAAAGTCCCCGCTTTCATGCCACTGCGGTGGAAATTGGTACAGTAGGGGAAAACTTAACGTCGTCTCCAGAATGAATGAACTGAAGCAAGTGCTGCGAAAGCCAACGCCCGTCTGAGCCCCAATTTCATGTACAAATCCAAGGTGCCATATGCGAGGGTGGGTATCCCCTCAGTCTACATATAGAACTTACAAACATATCGCACATGCTGACAACGCTATGTTGCCCTTCTCCTTCCTCTCCTGGCCCTCTCTAAGCCTATCTAAGCCCGTCCCCATCCCATAAGCAATAAGCAGATCATTGAAACTCGCATTCACCTCCCTTCATGTCCCGTCAGGTACTGCATGCGGCTCCCCTCAAAATCCCGATTCGGACCCAGCAAATAACCCGATGGCATCTCCTCCCTGCCATCGCCACCACCACCCGCGGCGTACCATCCATCCGGCCCAAGAGGTCCCGCCGAAAGAGCAGGATGCTGGACGCCCATCCCCGCGCCTGCCCGCAGCGTCCCTAGGATGCTCGCCTGGGCCAGCGGCTTGGTATCCCCAAATTTCTCGGCTGCGCTCAGTAGATAATGCAACACCATGTGCGCTCTCTCCCTGGCCTCGCGGTCCTCTAGCGATTCGAGTGGTGGCAGCTTGTCCTTTCGTGAAATTCCGTCTGATGGCTGCATGTTGTGCTCCTCGGAGTCCTGCGGCCGAGTGCGGGTACGGGCTGGCGTTCTTCGCGCTGATGCTCCAAGCCGCCATCGACGGCGCTGTGGCGATGGGCCTGCCTTGCTCTGAGGCTCAACCGGCATATCCGTCTGGTGTGAACCTTCAACCCTATCCTTCAGCTTCGATATATTCGCCGGTTCGGACGCCGGATGCCAGCGGGTTGGCCATGTATGATAAAAGTGATTACTGCTGCTTGATGTTGAAGCGTGCGTGTCGACAGCGTGCGGGTCATCCACTGTTTCCGTGCCGGAACCAAGGTTATCCATAACGTCGTTCGCCTTCTCCGTAGTCACCGGCTCAGGCTGAATCTCCCGCGGGAGCCTTTCCACTTCCCCACCAACACCCAAATTGTCAATGGGCTCTTCCTGCTGTAATGGCTCGGCAACCTCCTGGCTTGAACCCTCTTCCAGCGCAGCATCCTTCCTTTCTGAATAAGTCTCGTGCGGTGTTTCCTCGGGTTCCCCATCAACACCAAACTTTTTCGAGCCCTCTCTCTGCCGTTTTAGTTGAGCAGCCTCCAGACTCATCATCTCTGCCATCAGACCCATCTCCCCCTCAGCTTGAACCGTGCGCGAGACCCTCTCAATGTTCGTGACAGCGTCAACAATCTCCATACCTTTTCCCTCAAATATCAGACCCGTTTCCGCAGCAGCCTCCTCTTTTTGACCCATCTTCTTCTGCACAATACCATCCTCTTCGGTCTTCTTCCCCGTCCTTTGAGCAAGCCAGTCAAGTACGGGATTCACGTGGTATCCCCCGGCAGTCCTCTGCCTCACCAGAGGCAACTGGGCAGTGTGCAGGAGCATCTCGTCGGCCACCTTCTCGCCGTTGAGCACCATCTTGCGCAGCTTTCGGTCGTGGTCGAGCGCCGCCTGCAGGAAATCGCCGAGCGGAACCGCGGGCATGTACTGCTGGGCCAGTCTGGACATGGAATTGGCGTAAAGGTAGTAGTTGTGTTCCGGGGAATGTTCTGGCGAGCGTTCTGGGAGAGATTCTGTTAGGCTATCTTGTGCTGAAGGATTGTCCCTGGAAATCTTGTTCTCAGATGGAGAAGACTCGCTTCGCGAGCCCTGCTGCCCAGCCTGGAGCTGCCTAGCCACGTTGAAGCGGCGGGCGTCACACAGCAGCAGCGTCTCAAAAACATCCTTTTTACTGATCTTGCACCCGTCGGGGCCTTCCCACAAGGGACGTATCCAGTAGGTCATGTATTCGGCCTCCCGGCCTCCCTCGGCAAGCAGCTTAATAGCCCGGTCGCGCATGCGGTGCTTCGTCAGGCCCAGTACGTGAGCGTAACGCCACACGGCGCTCTGCAGGTACATCTTCCTCGTCTTCCGGGCCACCTCGAACAGCAAATGGAAGGTGATGTCGTCGGCTACGCGGCAGCGCCGCTGGTCGAACATGCGGACGAAGCACACGGCCAGGTCGACCTTGTTCTGCAGCTTGCAGTGCGTGAGGACCGTGTTGAGCGATATGACGTCCGGCATGCTGTACTCGCTCGCAAACATGTACTCGAGAAGTTTTCTGGATTCCTCGAACTTGCTGTACCGCCCAAAGACGTCCAGATACCTGTTGGCAGCGCGCCGCTGAAGCTGCCACTCCGGGCCGTACAACGCTCGCAGTCCGGCGATGAAAGCGTCGAAGTCCTGGCCCAGCTGTATTGCACGGTGGACATCATGATCAGCCATTTCGACCGACACCGAGGCTACGGTCCTCGCATCTGCAAAGAAGTTCTTGGTGTGCATGGCGTGGAGGATGTATCTCCTAACGTCCTCGGCCTCAACCAGGCGCAGGAAGAGCAGCCATGTTCGTAGATTTGGGGCGTGTCCACAGGCTGTCATGCGACGAATTGTGCCCTCAAAGGCAAGCAGGTTCTTGGACTTGACCGATGTTTCGGCCAGGAGGTTGTACACGTCGGTGTCGAGGCGCAAGCCCAGGGCACCGACGCTGCCAAACAGCGACCGGGCGTCCTTGACGAACGTCTCGCCGGCGCGGACCAGATACTGAAGGGCGAGCTTGAAGGCCGGGCTCGAGACGGCGGCCGACGCGGCCGGATCATTAAAGAGGTCGTGCAACCGCCGCACGACTGTGCCCTGGTGGGTGTCGGCGCCGAGGTACAGCTTTGCGGCAAGACTCTGGGGCACACGGCCCATGGTCAGCGCGGCAACGTAGTGTTGAAACGACTCAATCGTCCATTCGCTGGGCCGCGGGATCTGATCCGCCCTCATGCTGAGCATGTACGGCCGGCATGGTGCGGACATGGGATAGTGAGGAATACGAGTCGGGGCGATCATGGGGGCGGCCGAGTGGGTGGGAGGCGGTTGAGGCGACCGTCCTTCATGTAGCACGGTCGGAGTGCCGCCCTTGAGGCCGATAATGGTGACGCCCTTGGTAACCTTCAGGATGTCATAGACAGCAGCCGATACGGCGGTGGGCTGGCCGACGAGCACGATGTAGGGGTCCTTGCTCGTTCCGGCACTCTGTCTCTCACCGCTGCCCTCAGCCTCGTCCTCGCCTTCCTTCTCAGCGTCCTCGCCATCGAGTGGTCGCCACAGCGTCATGTCACAGCCGGTCCTCGATTTGATGTTCCATACATTGTTCTCGTAGTCGGACCAGAGGAGCTTCGCGGAATGCTCCGGAATGATGACCTTGATGCCATCCTGGACTGGTGCAGAGGTCGGAGTCCACCTTATGAGATGGTGAAGAATGGCGCGCCAGTCGCCCGCTCGGGGCTGTTTGCGGCGACGTTCAACCCGGGCCTGCTGCGTGAGGGCGCGGTGTTTCTTCTGCAGGGCTTCGCGAGTCTCACGCTTGTTGGGATACGCGACGGCGGGTCTGACAACGACCGGTTCCTCGTCGCCGTGGAGCCACAGGGGCGTGCGGTCCAGGCGGTCGAGGAGGGAAAGCCGCGCGTCGGCTACGGCAGCATCATGGGTTCGAGGGCGCTTGTATGATGCGAGACTGCCAGCGTCGGCCGATTGCGCTCGTTCGGTCGATTGGAATCGGACGACGGCGGGACTGCGGACGGCTCGGGAGTCTTTCAGCACCGAGGAGAGCGGCAGCCCCTGGCGTCGTGGGGACTGGATCGTGATGCGACCCAGCGGGGAGCATGCCCTCCAGGGTAGCGCGGAACCTAGGGTCATTGCTATGATTCCGACATATCTGGTCTCGCTTTTTCTTTTTTTTTTCTTTCTTTTCCCCCCGGTGGCCTGGGGCGTCGCAGATTCGCAGCGCTGCGTACCGGACTCGATATTTTGTTGCAAAGCGTCTTCGTCGTCGAATGGGTCGCTTTTGTGGTGTTTTTCCGATGCGAAATCGAGCGGAGACTCGCAGAGCCACACAGCAGCATTCCAGCTGCGGTCGGCCCCACACGCTGCGGCCGGATAGAGCTGCCGAGTGCCGACGCCGCTCTCTCAATTACAGGACCTAATCACCTGGTCTGCATTCTAAGAGCATATGATCAAGCGATCCAAACGGGGAGGTCAACGCAATTTCTCTCGGAAGGCATGGGTTGCCTTGGCGTGAGCAGACCGGATATATTGCTGTTGTTACGTGCGTGCGGGGCCGCGACTCTACTTGCGCAGCTCGATGCTATGGTACCGTACCTAGGTGAACTACTAGTACTGAGTAGGTACCTTGATAGAAGTATTTCGTAGTGATGCTCATGCTCATGCTCATCCTCATGTCGATGCTGATGCCTCGTGCTTAGGAACCGGCGCCGATGGGCCGGACATGTCCACCCCTCGCCATGTTTCGTCCCAACCTTGCCCCTGATCCACCGCCCCCTTCGAGTCTCCCTCGTTAGCTATGCCCTTCACGTCGCTCCAGTATTCGAGCCTCCTCACTTCCTCGTCCGCGTGTTTTACCGCCTCCTCAAGGTTCTTCACCCGCCGGTCCGCCTCTGAGTTTGCCTCATTCTCTTTCTCTTGTTGCACTAATGCATTGTGGTAGACCTCGGTCAATCTGCTCAAGAGGACCCGACGAGATGCCTGGAAGACAAAGAGGGACATGATCTCGTGCATGATCTCTTGCAGACCATGAAAGTCCTCCTTGGCGTTGGCGAGATAGTTCTCAACAGCTTCAATCTTCTCCCTGTCGATGCGGGACACGCGGAGAACGCGTAAGAGCTCGTCGGCATGCTCGATGATTGGCCGCTCCACCTCATCCATGTTGACGGTGCTCATGCTCAGTCTGCTATCCCGGGTGCTGCTGGCCCTGCTAGAGTTGTGATTCCGAGCTATCTCAGCAGACGGTCTGATGGTGAAATACTCGGGATTGAGCATGTGCGGGTCCTGCCCGATGTAGCCCTGGTTCTTCTTGACGCGTTTCCTGATCCACGCCCGGCGTCGGACAAACGAGTTCCACCACCGCGCCTTATGCCATGAGAACCTTTTGGAGAAGGCAAAGGAGTATTCCCAACCGTCTTCGTCCACGCCCTCATCACGGTTGATGCGCCATTCCGACCAGGCCCACTCCCAGCTGGGGTCCGGAACTTGGGCGTTTGAGATGTCGGTCGGGCTGGGCTTGTGCGCATAGTTGGTCCACGCAGGCGGGTCGAGGTTGCCGAGGGCCTTCGAGGAAAAGAGCGCCATGCCGCAGAGGAAGCCGCCTCTTTGGTTCTCGTATAGAATGTCGATGGCCGACGCGGCCGAGTTGGGCCTGCTGCTGGCTTGCATTGTCTGCATCACGGGTTTGGGAGGGCCAGCCTCTACCCGTGGTGTGGGCTCTAATGCACGTCAGCTTCGTTGGCTGTCAATCATTACAGGGATACCCACTCACCCTCAACGACGACAGAGGGCTGCCCGGCTTCCTCCTCCGCCCTGTCTTGTGTGCGAGGCCCTTGCTCTTCATCTGCCGCTTGGGACTCGGTGGCGCTAGGCGACAGAATGTTGGGCTGGGAGCAAGACGGGCCGGTCGACGAGGGTCCGAGGAAAGCCTGGTCCTCATCGCGGTCCACCAGGCTGATCTCGTGGTCGAAGTCGCTGTCCTGGGGAGGGGGCACGCGTCGCGAGGAACGGTGATGTCTGATTTTGGGCATGGCGTCTCATGCCATCATGTATCCTTGTCGCAGCACTCCATGCGGCAAGATACTGATGCAGTGGAGCTGGCCGGCGTGTGCGTATGGCCCAGAGATGGACGCGTTCTGTGCTAGGTGACGGGAGCTGGCCCAACTGGACGGGCAATGGATGCGCTCTCGCAATCGGTTACTTAACGTTGGTACCCCGAAGCTTGTATCTTTGACAGAAGGGAACAGCGACCCACGGTCGACGGCAGCGGTGGGGCGGGTTGGTAACAGCGTCACCGAATGAGGCTGATGAGAAGGATGGAGATGGCCCTGCCTGGTGTTGTTGTGGTAGGCCGTTTCCCCAGCGCCAGGAATGATGTAATTGTGGGCTCTGCAGTGGGCTTCTGAGCTGAGCTGTGGGTGCGAAGCCTCTAATGCCCCAAGCTGGAGGTACGGATCCGTAAAGTGGGGCAAGATGCCGGCTCATACGTCATACATACATTGCCCAAATGGGGGTTCAAGCAGTGCTCACCAGCAAGAGGGGAGGTTGGAGAACAAAAGCTGGTGCCGAAGGGAACGCATCAGGGAAATTTATGGCATTCGCCAGGGACCTCAACAGGAATTAAAATCACGAGTTCCCCTCAGCCTTTGACGACAACCCCTCATCAGCAATCCGACGACCATCTCCAATCAAAACATCAAATATCCAACACCACCACCCGTCAACCGCCAACGAGAACCCCATCTTGCAAAAGGAAGAAACAAGTCCCTTAATACTCACAATGTCTCGCTCAAAAGCACCCATGGCCATCGGCCTCGCCGCTGCCGGCGGCATCGGCTATTATCTCTACTCGACAGGCGGCTCTCCCCGGGCAGCCGAGAAGAAGTTCGAGAGTGAGTATCCTACTCCAACTTCATTGTCCCTAACCTCCCGCTCCCAACTGTTGCTCACTCCAACTAACACCCAACAGGTGACGCGCACCACATGGCGGCCAAGATCAAGGGCGAGGCCCCGCACCGTTCGACAGACGTCGAACACGAAGGCCGCAAGGTGGGACAGGAAGTCGGCGCCAAGGTCGACAATGCTGTACGTGCGCTGATTCTTCCCGCCCTCTCTCCCCTTCCCACCTACTACTGTCTTGCACGCAAACACACTAATACGGACACTCAAAAATAAAACAGGTTGAGACAATCAACAGGGACATGGCCAAGGCCAAGAGCGAGACCGAGTCCTACGCAAAGGCGGCCAAGGCGGACGCGCTGAAGAAGGTTGACGAGTTCGACCGCAAGGTGGAGGAGGGCGCCGCCAAAAGCAAGAGCTATCTGTCGTCGTGGTTTGGCAGTAAGTGATGGACGGATGGGAAGAATGACTGTAACTGTAATGAAAGTCTGGAATCGGTGTTATCGTCTTGATTCGGGTTACTGTTATAGGGTGGGGAGTCTTTGCTCGCTCCGGGTGGAATTTAGCAGACCGGATTTGATATCTCCAAATTGTGATGCATACGACTGCATCCTGTTCGTGCTACAAGAGCTGCCTTCAGTCCCGGATATCAATATTTCACGTAAACAAACCATGACACCTTCATCAATTACACTATACCCTTGACGGCCTGCTGGACCCTGCCAACTAACTCAACGACGCGGCAACCAGCTTCAATATCTCCTCGGTCCCCTTCCCCGCATTCTTGGGACCCTTAGCCACCGCCTGCCAATGCTCGCCATGGCGCGGGTCGTTGAGCACGCATTTGGCCACCAACTCGCGCCTCTTCTCCTCGGTGCCGTGCTGCAAGAGAAATTTAAAGTACCACGCCCACGTGTCGCCCATGTCGCGGTCCAGCAGCAGCGCTCGCTCGAACCAGTTCTGCGCCCGGTCGAGCTTGCGTTCCGCCCACAGGATCCGCGCCGCTGTCACCTGCAGGACCGGGTCGTCCTCGACCTTCTTGATGGCCTCGGTGATGAGCGACTTGCGCTGCGTGCGCGGCTCCAGGTGCAGGATGCGCTCCGCCCAGAGCAGCCCGCTCTTGGGCATCTGCTGCAGCGCCGTCGCCATGAGCGTCTTGGCCTGGTTGACGTTGCCCGCCCGGCGCTCCACCCGGATAAGCTCGGTCCACAGCTCGGGCGACTTGGGAACCGCCTGCCTGGCCCGGTCGAGGACGCTGCGCGCCTTGACGACGTTGCCGGAGCGCTCCTCGAGGCGCGAGTAGAGAAGCCAGAGCGGGACCGACGACGGCACCGCGCGCACGCCCGTGCTGTACGCCTCCCTGGCTTGCGGGAGCTTGCCGAGGTCTTCATAGATCTGGCCCTTCATCATCCACAGCTTTGGCGCCGCGGGGAAGAGCTGCAGGGCATCCTGAACCAGATCCAGCGCCGCTTCGTTGGCGCCCAGCTGCCTCTCAAAGGCGACGCTGCGCATCCACACGCGGTCGGTTGGCGCGTTTTGCCGCGCCGTCTTCAGGAGATCGCGCGCCTGATCGGTGAAGCCGTTGTCGGCCTCCAATTTGACCGCAGCCAACCAGATGTCCTCATTGTCCGGGTTTTGCTTGAATGCCCGGGCCAACACGCGGCGGGCCTCGTTGATCTCGCCGGCCTTCTCTTTGGCAAGCATGAGCCAGAAGGCCTCGACATGGGGACAAGCCTCCACCGCCTTCTCGAGAGCGCGCCACAGGTCATCCTTATTGCCGTGGTTACGCTCGAGGTCTACTGCCGCCAGGTAGAGGCTCCTGCTGTTGGGGAACACGCGCAGCGCATACGCGTAGATGGCGCGAGCGGTCGCAAACTTGTCTCGGCTGATGCTGGCCTTGGCGTCCTCCATCCATATTTCTTTGCGATCGTCGTCCTCGTCCAAGCCCCACCCGAGCGTCTCTTCGATGATGTTGCTGCACGTCACCACGGCACCTTCCTCCTCGCACTTTTCGGCCTCGGCGATCCACTCCTCGCGCTTGGGCATGGCGTTTTGCTTGGCGAGGAACTTGACGGCGTTCTTCATGACCGGCCGCTTGGCGCCCTCTCCGAGCTGCTCCTCCAGGCGGGCGGCCGCAATCCAGAGTTCGTGCGAGTTGGGAAGCTTCTTGACAGCCTTGTTGAGCACCTTGCGAGCATTCTCCGGGGTCTCGAGGCGCGCCAAAGCCAGCCAGAGGTCAAGCGACTCTGGAATGAGCTCGGTTGCCTTGGCCAGTAGCATCCGCGCGTCTGCCGGGTCGTCCTCCAAGTTGACCGCTTCTTTCCACAAAGCTTCAGATTCTGGATTGTGATCCAGGGCCCGCCTAATAACCTTCTTCCGTGACCTTGGGTCATTTTCGAGCTTCATTGCCTCCACCCACAGCTTGACTGAGTGTGGATTGGCTTGAATTGCTTGGGCGGCAATGACCTTGGCATTGCGGTTGTCGTTGAGATGAATATTTTCCAGCCAGATATCCTCACTCTTGGGGCAGTGCTGACAGCCCTTGGCGATCATATTACGAGCCGCGCCGGGCTTTCCTGCAGCAATCTCCAGCCTAGCTGCGGCAATCCAGCTGGCCGCCTGCTTTGGGTTTGAGTCGACAGCAGACTTCAGCATTTTCCGGAACTGCTCGATGTCTCCAATACTCTGCTCGGCTCCCTGCACGTTGGACAAAGAGGTCAGGTAGCCCTTGGGGTCGATGCTCGTCGCGCTTCCCGCCGTGGCAATGCCGCTACTCTGAGACTGCTGCTCCAAGCGGGCCCTGAGCACCTTGTCGCGGGCAGCACCAATCTTTGCAAAATCCGTCACGGTGCCGTCTTTGTTTCCGTCGACCGTTGTTGCCGTGCCGTCGTCGGCGACAGTGGTGCCGAACTGTCCTTGGTCCCTCGCGGCGGCAAGGACGCTATCGGGAACTGCGTAGAAGCGCTGCATGCGGGCTTGCCGGGCCCTCTTAGTCCGGCCGGTAAGGTCTTTGGGATCCGGTAGATTCGCCCACTCCTCGTCCGTCACCGTTTCCAGTGCCCTCTTCAGTCCGGCAAATTGCTGCTGTATCTTGGGGTTCTGGCGCTCGTACTCCTCGCGTTCGGCCGCCTCTCGTGCTTCCCTGTGCGATTATCGGTCGGCACTCTGCTCATCTATGCATGACAACGGATAAACTACATGCTTGACGGAGGTAGAGTGGTTGGGATCGGAAGGTCGGTGGTGATAGGGTAGACAGAACAAAAGGGTTATATCACTAACCTCTGCTTCTGGCGACGCTTAGCCATCTTTTCGTCGACTTCTTTCCATATCCGATCAGCCTCTTCATCGTCCTTCTCATAGATGCCACCTGCGAAAAGCCCAACCTCGTTGTCGGGGTCCTGATAGCGCTCGTCGTCATCCTTGTCGTCGTCTTTCGGCTCGGTCAGACCGAGCTGGGCAGATCGCTTTGCGACGGCTGCCTTGATCTGATCCTCGCTGGGGCCTTCGCGCGCAGGGCCGAGATCTGACCGGGTAGTGAAGCCCGTAGCGCCACGGCCCAGGCCGGCCACGTAATTTTCGGGCGCCGGTTGGCTTAGGAAGTCGCGCCGGCTGGTCATGGTGGATTGTGGCGTGTGTCGAGATGTTAGTGTTGTGGTTGCGCACAGGAAAGACCGCGCCAAAATAAGTGGCCGTGCTGGGCCCACAAAAGATAAGGGTTAGGAATAGCCGTGGCTGCCTTACGCAGTACCTCTGTAGAGTTGTCCGGTACCTAGAGTTGAAAGAGAGGCCTCGTTGTTTGTTTTGCGACTGCACTGGTAAGGTAATCAGACGGCAGAAATGCTAAGCTTAAATGTCCCGTATCAGTTCACAATTGTCTTCGTCTTCTTGTCCTTGGTTTGTTAGTATAACTTTAGCTCCAGTTATGTACAGCATCAGCGAGCCAGCACAGTGCATCTTACATATAACGTGATCCACCATTGACTCGGACACCCCATTGACTCGGACACCCCATTGACTCGGACACCCCATTGACTCGGACACATTTTCCCCCACCATAACCACCCAACGTCAACACGCGTTTTCTCTACCACAACAATGTCCGACAGCTTCCCAGAAAACCGAGTTCTTCTCGCGATCAATGCGATTCGATCAACACCGCGCTTGAGTATCCGACGCGCCGCAGAGATATACAATGTCCCCAAGTCGACAATTGCAGATAGAATGAAGGGAAAGATCGCGAAGTCCGACAGCTATCACGGCCGTTCGAATTTGACAAAGATCGAAGAGGAGGCAATTGTTCAATACATACTCAACCAAGATTCGCGAGGGGTTTCGCCCCGGATTGTCGACGTGGGTGATATCGCCAATCTCCTGCTTCGGAAACGCGGTGTGCGACACGTTGGAAAGAACTGGCCAAACCGCTTCATTGTACGACGTCCAGAGCTAAAGACGCGTTTTAATCGCGTCTATGACTATCAGAGAGGCCTCTGCGAAGACCCTGCAATTATCGAACCATGGTTCCGACTGGTCGCCAATATGCGAGCGAAATATGGTATCCTCGATTGCGACTTCTACAACTTCGACGAGACCGGCTTCATGATGGGCATGATACGGCCTGGGATGGTGGTTACGCGCTCCGATCGAGTCGGCAAACCATAAGCCATTCAGCCGGGCAATCGAGAATGGGCGACAGCGATTTGCAGTATCGCTGGCGACGGCTATATAGTACCGCCTTTCTTGGTGGTGAAGGGCCGTTTTCACCTCGCCAGCTGGTACTCTGAGCACCAGATACCCGACGACTGGGCCGTCGCAACAACAGCCAACGGATGGACAGATAACAAGACTGCTCTGGAATGGCTACAGCATTTTGATGAGCACACGAAACACCGTCGGAAAGGTGCATACCGGATGATAGTACTGGACGCCCACGAGAGCCACATCAGCGCAGAATTTGACGACTATTGCAAGGAGAACAACATCATAACACTCTGTCTTCCTCCCCATTCGTCGCACCTTACTCAGCCTCTCGATGTTGGTTGTTTTAGCGTCTTAAAGAAGATGTACGGTGCTGAAATCGAGCTCTTCATCAAGGCGCGGATTACGCACATCACCAAGCCCGAGTTCTTCCTTGCATTCAAAGCTGCCTTCTACCGGACTTTTACCCAAGAAAACGATCTTGGGGGTTTTCGAGGATCTGGACTTATCCCCTACAACCCGCAGGCCGTGCTTTCGAAGCTGGATGTTAAGTTGCGAACACCAACACCTCCTGGGACCCCTGATGGATCGCGAACACCATGGGTCTCCAAGACGCCCCAAACTACCAACGAAGCCCTTTCGCAGTCTGCCCTTATCAGAGATCAGATTGCGAGACACCAGGGAAGCTCTCTGACTCCGATTTTAGCTGCTGTTGACCAGCTTTCGAAGGGAATGCAAGCAGTTTCCCATCGGGTCACCCTTTTGGAGGCCAAGGTACGGACACTTCAGGAGGCCAACGAAGCACTCTCCAAGCGCCGCAGAGCCAAACGGACGCGTCTCCAAGATGGCGGGGCTATTAATGGAAGCCAAGCTAGGGAAAAAATGGCAGAGAAAGGTATGGTGGACGAGGAAGAGCGCGTTGAGGAGGAAATTGAAGGACCATCAAAGAGGCGTCGGACGGGTTTACGGCTCTGTGGCATCTGCCGCAAGACTGGCCATAATGCAAGGACATGCTCGGAGGCTGGAGAAGTAGATAGCTGAAGCGATTCTGAGTAGTTTCAATTGATTGCATCAGATTCTGGTGGACTTTTGGCAGTTTGTAGTGGCATAGTCCGGAAAATGTGTCCGACTCAATGGGGTGTCCGAGTCAATGGTGAATCACGTTAAGCAAACATTCGACTGCAATAACTAGTCAACTATCCCTCTTTCCATTTTATTTTTCTTGCCCTCACCTACGATTTTTCTAGGGATGCGGAACCGCTGCCTAGTTGGTAACATAACCCACAGTCTGCCTTAACCACTGTAGCCCATATACTGCGCTAAGCCCAGTTCCCAACTAGGAGGATAAATATACGAGAAGGAACCAGAACCAAAACAACCCGCTATTGCAAGAGCAAGGTGTCCTCATCCAACACTCCAAACAAACCCTCAATCTCCATGGCAACCACCTTCAGCTCCTCTGCCACCTGGCCCGTCACCAAGGCATAAGCATACAGCAGCGCGTAATCACGCTCTTCGACATTCACATGGGCCAGCCGCCCAAGGTCGACAGAGCTCGTTCCAGCGGCGGTGTCGGCATTTGCCCCAACCCCATTAGTATCCACATGGTGATGCTGCTGTTTCTGGTGCTCCTTACGGAACTGGAAGATCTTTCCCAGCAGCCGATCCCTCATCCTCGCCACGCTGGGGAGGGCGTCGGTGAGCGGATACTCGAGCATGAGCGACGACGCGAGCACCTGAAAGACGTGGCATATGCGGTCGCACAGCAGCGCCCGCTCGTCGGCCGTGTACAGCAGCAGGGCGCGCTCGCCCTCGGTCAGGCTGCCCTTGCGCTGCGTGACGAGCGACATGGCGTAAAAGGCGTCGAGCAGCCGGTGCGCGCAGCCCATGAGCTGCCCGGTCTGCTCCGAGGGGAACGGGCCCCGGAGCTCGAACTCGCGGGCGGCGCTGACGCGGAGGGCGTCGAGGCGCGCGGCGTACTTCTGGAGCGCCGCCTGCTCGCCGGACCGGAGGTACGAGCGGGTGCAGTCGCTGCGCAGGAGAATGGCGAGCGGCCCGCGCTTCCAGATGAGGCCCATCTGCAGGTACAGCATGCTGAGGCCCTCTTTGAACTTCTTGCGTGCCGAGATGGGCCAGATGAGCCGACAGACGATCAGCCCCCAGACGATGCCGGCCGTCACCGCCGTCAAGCGGTGGAGCAGGATCTCCCTCATAATGGGATGCACGCCGCCCTCGTCATCGTCGTCGTCGTCGACTTTGAGAGAGAGGCTGTATGCGTACAGGGTCGACACGTTGTATGCGAGCAGCGTGATCCTACCCATCGGCGCATTGCCCCGCGCGATGATGACATAGAAGCTCAAGAAAGCAACGAGCGATCCGAGAGGGATGAGGCCGAGGGCGCTCTGCTGTGATACGGTCCAGTTCAAGCCCGCTGCTGCAATGCCTACCAGCGTTCCCATAAACCTGGCCGTACCTGACGTGTTGGCTGCGCCTACCGTCATGTTACAGACGATCATAAACGATAGCAAGCCCCATTCGCCTCTCCAATGACGGTAGGAATCCCTGGTTTGCGGAAGAAAGGAGAGCGAGGCCCAGAGGGCCGCGCCTATGCCGACCTTCAGGCCAAAACGAACTGCTTAGGGTCAGCATTCAAACACCCAAGGAGTACCGCGCCGTGTCTCTTACTGTCATCCCTGGCCAACCTCCTCACCGCTCCGAGAATTCTCTGCGAGATTGTCGCAACGAGCTTGGTTTTCTTGGTTTCCGGTGCGGCTTCCCAGCTGTACGTATCCCTGCGTTTGACCAACGGGTCAGCTATTCCCTTGGGCATGGCGCTCTTTTTGATCGGCTTGATCAGGGGGTCCCGCTCTTGATTGTTGTAAGGCAGGGTCAGAGCCGCCCGGCCATGATGATTTCCTTTGTTCCACCACTTGAGCCAGTGCCAACTACGCCTTCTGTGATCGCTAGCATATTTCAAGTCATCCAACACGTCCAGGTATTTTTGCATCTCCTCCCCAAACGTCTGAAGGCTAAAGCTGAAGTGGCCACAAGCGGCTGCGACCTCCTCAAAGTCAGCTTGGATGCTGTGACACCTTGTGCGGTCGAGTTCAAGCGTCTTGTACAGCTCTTCAAGAGCATGCGCTCTCGCCTCGTTAAACAATGACAAAGCGTCGGCAAGGCTGTGACGGAAGTGCTCGTTGATGGTAATGTCATAGTTGGGGGCTGCTCCGAAGGGCGGTTCCCGGAGCACTTCTGACAGCGTGTAGGCCAGCGACTTCATCGAGGGCCCTAATAGCTCGATGAAAAGTTCAAAAATCTCTGACGCGTGCCTGAAGGGCGGTAGGTTGGCGGTGGCTGCATCTTCAGACCGGCGCCGCTCGTCCTCATGGCTCCCTTCGGACGCCTCATCGATCGCGGACAGCGTGGGAATCCTTTCCTTGGCAGTTCTCATACTGGTCGATATTTCGCGATGGAGGGTTGGTGAGAACACAGGGGACGTAACAGCTTCGGATGAAGACATGACACGGGGCAACGGGCCCATAGGCTCTTTAAGCAGGGCAAATTGTGAATTTGCCGCGCTTCGCAAGCCGCCGATGGACTGAGCCAATGTCTCCATAGATTTTACCACGGCTCTCTCAAGCTGGTAGATCTTCTCGTAGCCGAGAAAGTAGCGCTCAAACTTGGCCTCGCGCAGATTCTTGGTCATCTGAGGATAGATGGATGCGTATGTGGACGAGGCCGCAGCAAACTCGGGCGATCGCACGTCGTCCTCGGATCCGCTGAGAAAGCCCCGGGTGATGAGTGACAGCATGTCACCCAGGGAAACAGATGCCTTGGTCATGGACTCGCGCAATGCGAATACCGCAGACGTTCTCCACACCAAAAGGTTGACGACTGTGGTAATTGTGACGCCCATGAGAAGCATTTTGAGAATCTGTACAATCTTCTGGTTGGAGAAGACACTAGTGAGAACGGCCGTCTCTTTGGTAACAACGCCGATGATGGCAAGGGAAGCCAGGGTGCTGCCGACGTCGACCAGAGGATTACCCATCCTTTGCTTGACCCATCCCATAAAGCCGAAGCCGCCCCCGATGAAGACGACCAACACCAGGGCGTGAGCCAGAACTACCAAGTCCATAACATCTCCAAACAGAACAGACGTGCACATGGACAAGACCGAGATCAACTCGCCGTATGCGACGGCCACGACTGCGATCAGTACGGCTTCGATCATGGACCCGACCGACCTAGCAGGGTGGAAGTAGACCGTCAAGGTGGCCACCACATGCTTGCCGTCCGGCCTGCCCAGGAAGTCGGAGAGCGGTGACCAGAACGTGGCCAAGCTACCCAGGGTGTATGCGAGCGTGCACTTGAGCACTCCATGGCCGACGGGTGAGTCCAGCCAGCGAAGGACCCGGATGGCGGCCTCGTGGACATTGTGCGCTGCGGCGTGCGCCCGGTCCGACATGGATTGGCGCGAGAAGAAAGGCGCCAATGCCGAGTTGGCAAAGGCATCGCTCTGACTCGATGGGAGGAAGCTGGAAGGGCGGAGGGTGAAGGTGCGATGCGAGCGCTCGCCGGTCGAGGGGATGATTACGGAGCCATTGCGCAGTTTCTGGGGGTTATCAGTCAGACGGGAGTCGCGACCATACGGACGCATTCTATGAACACGGCAACGCAAGAGACAATGCGCGTGTGGAGAAGCGAGGTGGGCTAGACGAGCTCAACGTACACTTCTCTTGGATGGCCTTTGCGGGGGCCACGGAGCAGAGGGCGGCCTTGGAGAGGAGCTCATCTCGGTGTGCAGTTCGGTCTCATGTTCCTCGCGCGAGACGGAAGATCGGGGCTTGGGTCTAGTAGTCCGACGTCACGCTGTTAGGTAAGGTATGGAATGTTTGAAAAGCGCAGAGGGGTCGGTGACCCGCATAGGTGCTATGAGATTGTCCTTTGTTGGTCGAGTCTTTTACTCAACTCCGACCTGGAACATCAGCGCAAGGGTCCGGCTTCATTCCAAGCTTCCTCAGAGGACCCACAGTGGCAGCCCTGTGCGGCTGGAATCGGCTTGGCAAGCGTGGTCTCCACCAAGCCAAGAACGTCCGGTGGGGGCTGAAATCGCAGCTCCAGCCCATTAATCAACGCCCACCTTGGACGATTGGAGTCTCTCTCGCGAGTTGAGTAGGGGAGTTTTGAGAAGAAGGTGTCTCTTTAATAGGCTGGAGTTGATCCAGGCTTCATCGTTCTCTCGATTTCTTCTCACTCACGCCCATGCTTCTGAGAGACAGTGACCTCGCATCTCCGAAACCGTGTTCCTTCCCACAGTTGTCTGGGTCGATGCGCATATTCCGGGCCATGATGCAGTCAGTGCCAGCAACATGGAAGTTTGCGCCGTTGAATCGGCCCTACACCCCTAGCCCACAGACGCGGAAGCTGGAGGGGATAGTTTTTGATGTTGACGGTACGCTATGGTAAGTTCATATTTCAAGCGCGGTCGGGGACATCCGATAGCTATATTCTCACTCAGACTCAAGTGAGGCATGGTCTCACCACCAAATCCAGAAAGCCTCTCCGTACGTCTTGTGCCACTGCAGTACACCACGCTGACCAAGCCCAAAAGCGAACCTCAAACATACATGTTCTCGGAAATGCGCTCGGCGCTGGGCATCTCCAAATCAGAGGACATTCTCGAGCACGTTTACGGCCTACCCACTCCGGAGCAGCAGCACCAAGCAATGGAACTCATCCGCGACATTGAGCGGCGCGCCATGCTCAAGCAGGTCGCCCAGCCCGGGCTAGAGAAGCTGATGGCCTACCTGGACGCGCGGGGCATCCGCAAGGGCATCTGCACGCGCAACTTCGAGACGCCCGTCAACAACCTGCTGAGCAAGTTCCTAGCCGGCAGCGTGTTTGCGCCCATCGTGACGCGCGACTTTCGGCCTCCCAAGCCCGACCCGGCGGGCATCTTGCACATCGCCCGGAGCTGGGGCCTGGTGCGCAGGAGTACGGGCGAGGCGGGAGTGCCCGCGGATCCCAGGGAGGAGGAGAAGCGCCGGTCGTCCGAGGGACGTGGCCAGGATGGTGGGGGTTCGGTGGATGGTCCCGACTTGCTGCAGACGGAAACCGGCGAGGTTGTTGCCGACGCAAGCGGTTTGATAATGGTCGGTGATAGCATCGACGATATTACGGCAGGCCGCAGGGCAGGGGCCAGGACTGTTCTTTTGGTGAACGATGTCAACCACCACCTGGCTGATCATGAACACACCGACTTGGTGATATCGCGACTAGACGAGTTGATAGATGTCCTAGAGAACGGCTTGCTTTGAGATCATAGAGTTGTGAGCGGGTACCACACCTACACACCGCGTTTAGATTCCGTGCGTGACTTGAAGCTGAACACTCATATGCCATACCATGACTGAAGGACGCTGCTGGCTTCACTAACTACAGGAACAAATTGACGCATACCTTAGATACTTTAGGCCTGCACAACTCCCGCTGACCGGCAGCCCCTGTGGTCCAAGTGATAACCCAGCAGGACGGGGCTCACAGCTGCTGACGCATACATGACCGCTACCTTTTTTTCTTCACAACAAAATCCCGTGAAAAGAGCAAAGACGTAGATAGGAAACGGATCGACAAAATGACGCCGGTAAATGCTGGGAGTCTAAAGCGAAGTGACCGTTGGCTGACTGGGGAGGCAGGCGCTCAAGGATACCATTCGGAGAGCATCAGAGACACGATCAACACCTCCCGCAGGTCTAGATAGTGGGCGAGGAAAGGGGCCGAGCCGGGCGAAGAGCGGGTGACGCGAAAAGGGCCCTGAAACCTCATGGTAACCCAGCGTTTATTCGTGCTCCCAGTCTCGGATGTACAGGCGATCGACTTGAGCAGCCAAGTTGGCATGATCCGCGGCTTGTCGTGGGTCGATTCGGTACCCTGAAATCATGGTCAGGAATTTGAAACGCTAACCTGGACCAGAAATTCTCACCTGAAGTGGGTGTCTGCTGAGTTCCATATGTTGTTGGGGAGTCACTTGAGCGCAGAAGGTCCTGAGTGGCTGGGGAAAGCTGAGGCGCAAGATGGGATTTGCGGTTGTCCCGATCCATGAGACTGCAAGCCCACTCTCTCAGATCAACGGGGGTTCTTTTGGCAGCTTGCACGAAGAGGTCTCGATCCTGGGATCTTGTCAGCAGCCCCTACATGTCGACGACAGAAAGGAAGAGGTAGAGTGGCGTACGTAGAGCTCTTGGGGTGTTGGCCGTCGCTCAGGCTCCTTGTAGAGACATTTCTGGATCATGTCTTCAAGAATCTGCGGGAAAGCATCACTCTTGGGTAGCTGGGGCGCTGGCTCATGCACAATCTGCTGCAGCAGATCAAGGATACCGGCCGGTGCGCTTTCAGCGTCTGATAGCTGCTCGCTCGCAGCGAAAGGGAATTTGCCGATAGCCAATTCCATGATGGTGAGACCGAAGCTCCACACATCCGACTTGACCGTGTACCTCTCACCCTGAATCCTCTCAGGGGCCATGTATGTGGATGTGCCAACGAAGGTATCGGCAACCGAGTTGATGAGCTCTCCAGACACACCAAAGTCGCAGAGCTTGATGGATCCTCGGGAGTTGACCAGAATATTCGAAGGCTTGATGTCGCGATGCATGATGTGATGCTTCGAGTAGAGATAAGTGAGACCACCCAGGGTCGCCTCAGCGATTTTGCCCAGGACATCGACCCGAACAGGGCCGAACACGCGCGAGATACGGTCGAGTGATCTGTTGTTTCCTGGTCAGCCCATCTATCCAAAACTGCCACTTCGGAGATGCAACGAACCCGACATCCATGTACTCCATGCACATGATCACGTCATTATTCTCGTTCAGGAAGGCGCCGTAGAAGGTGACGATGTAATCCGAATGGCAGCCGTGCATGATCTCCAGTTCGCGGACTATGCGCTTGCGCATCTCCTTCTTCGCTTCGACGTGGATAATCTATACCATCGATTAGATGTTGCCCCACAATCTAGTTACCAGGAGATACGAATCGGACCAACCTTTCGCGCCATCACCGTGTTTGTGGGAATATGCCTGACTTTGCTGACAGTCCCGCCATTACCAGCGCCGAGATCCTTGATAATCTCGAGATCTTCAGGCTTCAGATCCAGGTTGAACTCGATACCAATCTCGAGCTGCGCGGCGTTCTCGTCACTCTTCCCATTCGCACGCCCCAGAGGGGCATTCTCGGCTGTCGGCGGCGGTTTGGGGGCAGGCGCTTTCAGAGCAAGGCCTTTAACGTTCTTGCGCTTCATGGAGCGCGGCGCAAAAGCGTCAGCCATGGTGGGGGGCTCTGTAGAAACAGGTCGCACAGGAGTAGTCAAGGGGCGTCGAATGTATAGGCAAGACCCCTCAGGCCGTTTGTGCCGATGATTGTTGAGCTTGTCAAGTCGCAGTCCTGGGGAGATGCGCCTGTCGGAAAGTGAACGCTTTTCCTCGATGGAGGGGCTTCGGACGGCCGTGCGAGATACTGAAAGGAGGTTTTGTCAGAGGACGAGGGGCTTATAAAGCGACTATGCCAAGCATGCGAGCTCTATTTGCATGTCTAGAGCATAAACCCGCGAGTATGACGCAGGGACGGTAGGGAGTCTTTGCGGTCCTTGGGTCAAGTACTGCCACAAGCGTGGTGTTCCTGGTCCCGTCTCTTTGTCGGCAGAGTGGATGGACAGTGGATCAGGCGTTGCAGGCCGCGGTGATCGACGACGGAACGGGTGACTCGGGTTCCCGTGAACTTGCGATGCCCAACGTTAACCACCAAAATCAACCACAAACTGCAGCAGGAAAAAGCAATAGATACCGGACTAGTATTTAAGAGCAGACGACGACGAGAAGCGTGCAACCTCGAAGTCTCAGGGACCTGAATGGTGCCTGGCCGGGCTGCTGCGATAGCCAGTCAATGTGGGGTCGGTCCTGCATCTTCGCCATTCGCCGTGGATGGTGGCGGCAACTGGATCATGCCCGTTGGTCCATGCTCTCCCAAGCCGGCACCCCTCGCCAAGCAAGACGCGCTTGATGTGAGCTGCCAACATGTCCGAAACCAAAGATACCGACGCCGATTGGCCGTTTGTTCCATCGAATCTCTTTGCAAGAATTACTCTCGCTGAGGCTATCACAGCTAAAGCCTCGTGCGTTCAGAGCACGCCTAACCTACAACTCCTCGTGCCTTTCATCAGTCTTCATTTGCGAGCGACGGCCCTTGACATGGAAGCATGGATCAAACAGGTGAATCGAAATCAGCAAGGGTATGAGCCGACACTATGAGCACAGACCACGGAGTGAACATTGCGCAGGAATGATGGCGAGGCTGAACGCGACCTGTGCCACTCCATCCGCGCCCCCAAAATTTCCAGCCTATGATCTTCAGCCTTCAGTTTCCCGTTTTGTCCTTGAACTCATATCGATTTCTCACGACGACCACTCGGCATCGCGCCTTGCTGCCACTTCGCGCCTCTTTCTTCTCCAGAAGCGCTTGTGCATCTCGGAACCGACAGCTTTTGGCCGCACCACCGTATCCCACCACAAAAGCACTCCTGAGTGCGGCGCAACCCGGCGATCAAGATGAGCACGTCAATGCGCGACCTCATTGATGGGGAGGCCGAGCTCAACGATGAGGAGGATGATGAGTCGTATGACGAGGAGACTGGCGAGACTCGGCCCAGGGAGCGAGAGAATATGCTAGATGACTCAAGCGAGGAAGACGAAGATGATGAGGACGAAGAGGAAGCGAGAAGGGTATGGTTGTTTTCCGTCTGCCTTCTGCTAACCGAGCTGTAATTGATCTCCATCCGCCCACAGATCCGAGAAGGTTTCATCGTCGACGAGGATGAAGAAGAAGAAGCTGAAGACTCCGAAGAGCGCGAGCGCCGTAAGAAGAAGAAGCGTCGCCGCGTCGAGCGCGAGGAAGAAGAGCAGCTTGACGAGGAGGATCTCGACCTCATCGGCGAAGCCATCCCGGAGTGGGAACGGAAGTCCCAAGCTCAGGTATGTTTGCTTGCTGGCACGCACGGTTGGACATTTGGGGCTTACCGTTGGGCATAGACAAAATTCAAGCGTCTCAAACGAGGCCACCGAGATGAGGATCGCGGCAACGAGCGACCCGATCTGGCAGAGATCTTTTCCGACGATGACGAGGAAGTGGCCGACGACCGGGCCTACGGTCGCCCCAGTCACCGCGCGCATGTCGACGAGTTCGACGACTTCATTGAGGACGATTACCCCGAAGACGACGAGGAGCGCATCCAGCGCCAAGAGGACATGGAAGTTGCTCGGCCTAGGGACAAGGGCCTGGCTGTCGATGCGACAGGTCTCGATAAAGATGCCCTTGACGACATGGAAGCAATTTTCGGCACCGGCGAGGACTACGCCTGGGCTCTGGAGATGGAGGAAGACGAGGAACTTCACGAGCATGAGGAACAGACCATTGAGCTGAAGGACGTCTTTGAACCCTCCCAACTGAAGGAAAAGCTTCTCACGGATGAGGACAACCAGATTCGCATCATCGACGAGCCCGAGCGGTTTCAGCTTGACCGCAAGCCCTTCAAAGAGCAACAGACGTCGGCCGAGTACTTCAAAGAAGAGGCACGTTGGATCACCAATCTTATGTGGCCCAAGAAGCAGTTGCCCGCCGACCTTCAGGGGCCGTTCAACAAAGCTATCGGCAAAGTCCTCGAGTTTTTTATCATTGACGGGGTCGAGGTTCCTTATGTCTTCCAACACCGGAGAGATTATCTCATCCACGCCAAGAAGATCCGAAATCAGAGCCACGACCACCCGGATGGGCCCGAGGTCACGGTCGACGCCGAGAAGCTGCTGACCCAAGACGATTTGTGGCGCGTCCTGGAACTGGACATCAAGTTCCGGTCGCTGATTGAGAAGAGGAATGCCCTCGAGAGGTCGTACGACAATCTGAAAGAAGCGGGTGTGCATAGAGACGATGTGCTCGACCAAATGATCCATGAGGCGCAGACGCTGGAGGAGCTTCAAGATTTGCAGGACTACCTGAACTTCCAGTACTCGGCCCAGCTCAAGGACATTGCGGCCATGGGCCACGGTGGCTCGAGGGAGATGAAGCGGCCGGGCGCCAAGACGGCTCTCTTTGAGCGCATCCGAAGGTCTCAAGCTTACAAGTTTGTTCAGGCTTTGGGCATCTCGCCTGACCGCCTAGCACAAAACGCTCTTCGCCAAGGCAAAAAGGTGTCGCCAGATGACGATGCCAGGCTGCCTATCGATCTCGCTGACCAATTGGCCGACGACGACTTTCCAACTGGGGATCAGGTCATCAATGCTGCTCGCCAGATGTATGCCGAGGAGCTCTTCGTCAGCCCGCGTATGCGCAAGCATTTCCGCATCCAGTACTACAACATGGGTTCCGTGAGCTGCCGCCGAACCGAGAAGGGCCTCCGGAAGATTGACGAGTCCCACCCCTATTATGAGATTAAGTACCTCGTCAACCATACCATCAGGGACCTGGCATTGCGGCCTGAAATCTTCCTCAAGATGATGAAGGCCGAAGACGAGGGACTCGTGGAGGTGCAGCTCGGCCTGGAGAACGAACGCGAATTCCGGCGGCAGCTCTACAGCGAATTTGCGTCTGACAACTTCAGCGACCTCGCGGATGCGTGGAACTTGGAGCGTCAAAAGGTGCTGGATATGGCCTTCCCGAAGTTGGAAAAGGTGATCGTAAAGGGTGTGAAGGACTCCCTCCGGACAGCTTGCCAGGAAGAGCTCCTCAAAATTTGCCGGGAGGAGTACTTCAAGCGACTTGACCAGGCACCCCTCAAACCAAAGGGTATGGTTCTGGGAACCACGCCGCGCGTGCTCACCTTGTCCAATGGCATGGGTGATCCGAATCGTGACCCTGTTCACTGGACGTGGGTTGAAGAGGACGGCAGAGTGCTTGAGTACGGCCAGTTTGTTAACCTGGCAAGGGATGAGAGCCAGCGGGACCTCTTTGCTGAGCTCGTGCGGCGCAGAAACCCCGATGTCGTAGGCATATCCGGTTTCTCGGCCGACACTCACCGACTGGTCAAGGACGTCGAGGGCATCATCAGCGAGAAAGGGCTGATGGGGCCCGAGTACGATGACCCGGACACCAACGAGTACCGCAGCGACTTGCTCGAGGTTGTCATTGTCAACGATGAAGTGGCGCGTCTGTACAAAGACAGCCCACGAGCCGTTGCCGAACATCCGACCCTGAATCCTCTCACTCGGTATTGCTTCGCTCTGGCTAGGTACATGCAGAACCCGATGAAGGAATATGCAGCACTGGGCAAGGACGTCACATCTCTGCTGATCCACCCGTATCAGCAGTATCTCCCACAAGACAAGCTGTACAAGCATCTTGAGACGGCGATGGTGGATATTGTCAACTTATGTGGCGTGGATATCAATGAAGCCATGGGAGATCCCTACACGGCCAACCTTCTGCCTTATGTCGCCGGTCTTGGCCCGCGCAAGGCACAGCTTCTCATCAAGGGCGTAAACGCGAATGGAGGCGTTGTCACATCGCGTGATGAGCTGGTAGGAGATCCGGAACGACATAAGATCCCAGTTCTCGGACCTCGAGTGTGGAACAACTGCGCCGGCTTCTTGTACATTGAGCACGACAGCACCAACCCCGACTCGGATCCGCTCGATAACACGCGTATCCATCCCGAGGATTACGATTTGGCCCGCAAAGTCGCAGCGGATGCCTTGGGGCTGGACGAGGAGGACGTCAAGGCCGAGACAGACGAGAACGGGCCGGGTGCGATTGTCCGCAAGCTCTTCAAGGAGGACGAGCAAGAAAAGGTCAACGAGCTTATCCTCGAGGAGTACGCCGAGCAACTGGAGCGCGAATATCAGCAGCGCAAGCGAGCCACGCTGGAGGCGATCCGAGCCGAGCTGATGGGTCCCTTTGAGGAGCTTCGAAAAAATTTTGCCATGCTGAGCTCCGACCAGATCTTCACTATGTTTACGGGCGAAACCAGGGACTCGCTGTGCGAGGGCATGATTGTCCCGGCCAATGTCCGCGTGGTCAAGGATGATTTTGCCATTCTCAAGCTGGACTGCGGGATCGAGGGCAGGGTAGAGTCTCACGAGGTGTCGTACCGCCACTCCATTAAAGACATGCTGCAGGTGGGGCAGACTGTCCAGGCCAAGGTGATCGACATCAACCGGAAAGACTTTGTCTGCAAGCTTTCCATGAGGGAAGAGGAGCTGCGGCGGCCGTATCGCCGGCACTACGACATGGGTCGTGGGCAGTGGGATTACAAGCAGGAGGAGGAAGACCGGGAGGAGCTGCGGGAAAAGGACAAGGTTACAGGCCGCACACAGAGGGTCATTAAACACCCTCTATTCAAACCATTCAACAGCACTCAGGCCGAGGAGTACTTGGGTGGCCTGCCGGCGGGAGAAGTGGTCATCCGGCCGTCCTCAAAGGGTAACGACCACTTGGCCGTTACATGGAAGGTCGCCGACGGCGTGTACCAGCACGTTGACGTGCTGGAGCTGCAGAAGGACAACGAATTCTCGGTTGGCAAGGTCCTGCGGGTGGGCAGCAAGTACACGTACACGGATCTGGACGAATTGATTGTGGAGCACGTCAAGGCGATGGCCAAGAAGGTGGAGGAGCTCATGCAGCATGAGAAATTCCAAAAAGGCTCTCGCGCAGACCTTGGTAAGTCTTACACCGTTTCACCGCCACACATACAGCAAGACTTGATTAGACCGAGATTCTAACTGTCCTTCTGCAGAGAAATGGTTGACCACCTACATCGATGCTAACCCCAACCGGTCTACGTATGCCTTTTGCTTGGACACCAAGCGTCCAGGATATTTTTACCTCTGTTTCAAAGCGTCGCGCAACTCCAAGGTCAACGCGTGGATGGTGCGGGTGGTTCCCCACGGGTACGAGTTGTTGAAGAGCCAGTATCCGGACATGCGGGCGCTGTGCAACGGGTTTAAGCTCCGGTACCAGAGCGAGCTGCTGAAGATGCAGGCGGGCGGCGGCGGCGCGAGGGGTCATTGAGCCTTGAGACGTCAACGGGGCAGTTTCTTTCTTTTTTTTTTTCCCGCCTGCCCATCATAAGTCAAAATCAGCGGTACCTTGATCATTAGGGAGGGCGGGGGATAGTGGCGTTCATCAAATCCATTGGTCCTTTGCACTCTTACAGGATTGGCAGGGCAATTCTTTATCTTTGACAGATGGTGTAGCTGGGTAAGAGGTGGCAAAGGCTATTTATTATGAAACACAAGATAAACAGTGTATTTTCAAGGACAAATGACTGCGCGACAGATTTAGGTCACCAGTTAGCTCGTGTGCCGGCTTGTAGTTCAACAGTGTGTAGAAACAAGTGAAACTTCGTCCCAACGATGTTCATGCTCTTGGTGCCCGACGGTTCTCGGTGGGTTTCAGTCTCTGAGTAATTCTCATCCAAGGGCAGGTGATGGTCTATCTCAGTTGCAAGTTCCACATGATTGCGGCGAGGCCCTCGGGCATGTTGTTGGCCAGCTGCGAGCCGGTGACGTGCTCCTGCGCCGGTTGTCCCATACCTTCTACTTCATATCGGATCGACCGGGAGCATGCTGGCTTTTCGCCATGTTTCTGGAGCCTCAGGGACCGAGTCTGCCGGGCCTAGTTTTGCTGCTCCTATCCGAGGTGTCCATAGGGCTGACCTCGCTGAGGTGCCCCTGCCAGAACAATCGATTGCTTGCGGCGCTTGCCCGAATAGGAATGGTCGGATACGTAACGTTAACAGGTGTCTCCAGAAAAGAACAAGATTGTCGAAGGGGTTGGCAGCCCCACTGCGCGCATACCCGGGCTCGCCGTGTCCGGACAGACACGAGTACTCGGAGCCGACGCTTGGTTTGCAATTCGGAGTCCTACACAATTCCCAGCTTCGATCACATTGCTCTCGGACGCTTCAGCCCAAATCGCGCTTCAATTGTGCGGCAGTGGAGACCCAGTCGCCCCGCCTTCCCTCAGGTACTTACGGAGATCTCAGAGTTGGTGACAGCGAGCAAGCGGTTCTTCGGCGCGCCAGAACCCACGGGTGCAATCGCGCACCATGGCTGGCATCGAGCAGTTGGAAATCCACAGCAAGGTGTGTCCTAACATCGCAACTTGGAACGACTGTCCGGCCTGCCTCGCGCCTCAAGAGCCGGGTCCTGTCCGTCCTCGTTCGCAGTGCGCCCGGGTATACTCTCTTGTCCAAATGCTAACTCGGCGTCGTTTGCCCTTCACCACAGGCCTACATTGTGCGATGGGTCAAGGTCGATTCCGGCCACACCATTTCTTGGAGCGTGCAGCCGCACAAGAAGTCAATGTAACCCGGGCAACTCTCCATGGGAATCTCTTCCTTCGGGCCGCTCTGCTGACCCTGCCTGCGCATACAGAAATTTTGCCATCGTTAAGCATCCAGGAACGGGCGGCACGAACTTTTCCTCACTATCCGACGAAATCAACACTATCGAACAGCACACAGACGGAACTGCCGAGTCCAAGCCCGGGCTCTTCGGCAAGAGGGATGTCAGCACCGCCCAGGACCAGCTTGCGAAGAAGGGATTTATCCCCATAAAATGGCACGGCAAATGCGAGGCAGACAAGGTTTCGGTGGGCACGTACGATGTCACGGATGGTGGCATGTTCGGCCTAGTCTTCGACAACACCTTTTCCAAGCAGACATCCAAGACGGCCACATTCGTGCTGTTGATTTATCCGACGGGCGCCCCGCCGCAGACGGCACGCCATCTACCCAACCTCCAGGCCGGACCAGCGGCTAGCACAAGTCGGTCAAGTCTGGGAAAGCATACCAACAGCCCGCGGTTGGGCGCTGTTACCTCTGAATCTGTCGACAGCCTACACAGCCACAGTGCAAGAGGACGTGCACTGTCGATTGCGGGGAGGAGCGACGGAGGGGCACCGAGTTCCTACCATGTTGGCGTCTTGCTCAAGAGGAGGCGGAAGAAGGGACAGGGTTACGCCAGGCGCTTCTTCTCGCTCGACTATGCCACCTGTACGCTCTCGTACTACCACAACCGCAACTCGTCGGCCCTCAGGGGTGCCATTCCCCTCAGCTTAGCGGCCATTGCCGCCGACGAGAGGCGGCGCGAAATCACCATCGACTCCGGCGCCGAGGTCTGGCACTTGAAGGCGTCCAATCCGAAAGAGTTTGCGGACTGGGCCCGGGCACTGGAACGTGCGAGCAAAATCGCGCGGGGCTTGGAGAGTGCTGTCGACGAGCTGGCCTCGGAATTGCACGGACAAACCCGACAGCCTGCCTTGACCGTTCCCAATACTCAGCAAGAGGAGGATAGGGAATGGCAGCAGGTCGAATCCCTGGTCAGCAGGATAGTTGGCACCAGAGACGCTCTCAGGCGCCTGGTCAAGGACCTGGCAGCTCAAAAGCAGAGCAACCATGGAACCCCACTGTCGCCAAGTACTCCCACGGTGCCCGAGGATTCCGATGGCTACTTATCGCCGCAGCCCGAGAGAAAGTCGTTCTGGAAGCGCAAGGCGGGCGGCTCATCGCCTTCTATGACACCCCAATCTTTCCAGAGTATTGCCGGGGCATCTCTCGCTATCCCAACGCCCGCCACTGCCGCGCTGGTTTCAAACGGCTCAAAATCGCCCAGGGCTTTTCAGGACGAACGAGACACGTATAACAACTGCGCAGCTTTGCTAAAAGACCTGGACTCGGTCGTCGTCGAGTTCTCGGCCCTCCTGAACACCAGCAAGCGGCGGCGCATACCAGCAGTGCAAGCGTCCGCCCCCAGGAAGAGCGTTGAATCCACAGCATCGACTGTTGAAGAGTTCTTTGATGCCGAAGCTGGCGACTCGGACAAGTCGCAAAACCAGCTAGTGCTTATCAACCACCAAAGCGAGGAAGACACGGCCGCCTCGGACGCTGACGAGGTATCCATTCACGAATCCTCGTCCGTCTCCTCCATCGACGACGAGGAGCCTCCGCACACTGAAAATGGCACCAGCAGCTTGTTTCCTGCAAAGCCAAAGTCACTGTCACCGCTCCCCATCACCGAGGTCATCCCCCGACGCAAGACAATCCCCCCGGCAAAGGTGCTGCCACCCAGCTTGATAGCCTTTGTCCGCAAAAACGTGGGAAAGGACCTCAGCACGATATCCATGCCTGTCTCGGCCAACGAACCCATCTCGCTTCTCCAGCGCATGGCCGAACAACTCGAGTACGCCCAGCTCCTCGACGCGGCGGCGCAACAGAGCCAGGCGGCGCAGCGCCTTCTCCGCGTCGCTGCGTTTGCCATCTCCCACTTCAGCAACGGGCGCGCCAAGGAACGCGCCATCCGGAAACCCTTCAACCCCCTGCTCGGCGAGACGTATGAACTGGTCCGCTCCGAGGCCGAGGTACCGGGCGGGTTCCGCCTGCTAGTCGAGAAAGTGACGCACCGGCCCGTCCGGCTGGCGATGCAAGCGGACAGCGCGCACTGGTCCTTTGCGCAGTCGCCGGCGCCGACGCAGAAGTTCTGGGGGAAGAGCGCCGAGCTGACGACGGACGGGCGGGTGAGGGTGACGCTGCGCCTGCCGGACGGCGCTGAGGAACACTACAGCTGGAACACGGCCACGGTGTTTTTGAGGAACGTCGTCATGGGCGAGAAATACGTCGAGCCCGTGGGCTCGATGCACGTGTGCAACGACAGCACGGGTGCCAAGGCGGCGATCGAGTTCCGGTCCAAGGGGGTGTTTGGCGGGCGCGGGGAGGAGGTGGCGGTCGAGGTGTTTGGGCCGGATGGCGCGCCCGCGGGGCTGTCGATGAACGGGACGTGGACCGGCGCGCTCAAGACGATGCCCGGCGGCAAGGAGATTTGGAGGGTCGGCAGCCTGGTGGAGAACGCGGCGAACACGTACGGCCTGACAACTTTTGCGGCGAGCCTCAACGAGATCACGCCGATTGAGATGGGCAAGCTGCCGCCGACGGACAGCAGGCTGCGGCCGGACCAGCGTCTCGCGGAGCAGGGGGAGCTGGATCAGGCCGAGGAGTGGAAGATCAAGCTGGAAGAGGCGCAGCGGCAGAGGAGGCGGGTCATGGAAGAGAAGGGCGAAGAGTATAGGCCCAGGTGGTTTGTGAAAGCGGCAACCGCCCAGGACGGGGAGGAGGTCTGGCGGCTGAAGGGCGGCAAGGATGGATACTGGGAGGAGAGGGCCAGGGGTACTTGGTCAGGGGTGGTGGATCTTTTTGCTGGTTAGGTTTAGCGATCAAAAGCGGGCCCGTTGTGTTTGGCGCAAATAGGGGATGTTGTATCTGCGTCGGTCTAGCGTGTTGTTGTTACAGTACCTGCTACGTGTTTACGTCTGCCCATTTCTGGACATAGTGTTGGGGGCAGAAAAGGGGTTTCTGGGACTTGGACATAGGGAAAACCCTCATGCGGGGGCTTCGATTGGGAATGGATCGGCCGCTGGAAGCCGAGAGAGTGCGGGGCAATCGGCCGCCGTTGCCGGAGGTTGTCTTGATGTGACGAGATACCTATATTCTAACTGGTCCCGTCCCAGCCTTACGGACCCTGTGGGGATCCGCCGTTCTGTTTGATTACCAAACAAACGGAGATATCACGGTTCGCTCAGTATACCATCTCAAAGCCTCATCTTTTCTCACAGCCTCCCTTTTCAGCGTTGTCTCGTTTCCACTCGCATCCTCCATTCGTCATAAAGGAGGTTGCTTCTCAGTCCTCACTTGATTCGAGGTTCCCTTGTTGAGGATCCTCGGACTCTCATTGTTGGAAGAGAACAAGGGCCCATCTCCCATCACATTTCATCCCCTGGCCACAACAACACCCCACCATGGCCGGCCCCTCCGCCTCTTCATCCGACGCCCTCCCCAGACAGCGGGGCATCCGCATCGCCATCGACCGCGGCGGCACCTTCACCGACTGCGTGGGCAACTACGACGGCAAGGACGTTGTCATCAAGTTGCTGTCCGAGGACCCGGCCAACTACAGTGACGCGCCGCTCGAGGGCATTCGCCGCATCATGTCGCACTTTTTGGGCCGCGACATCCCGCGTGGCCAGGCCCTCGACACGAGCTGCATCGACTCGATCCGCATGGGCACCACCGTGGCCACCAACGCGCTGCTCGAGCGCAAGGGCGAGAAGATAGCGCTGGTCGTGACAAAGGGTTTCGGGGATTGTCTGGCCATTGGGAACCAGTCGCGGCCGAGGATCTTTGATCTGGCTATTCGCAAGCCTGAGGTACTGTATTCGAGTGTGGTTGAGGTGGATGAGCGGGTCACGCTGGAGGATTATGCTGAGGACCCGGAGCGGAGGGTGACCAAGGTGGATGTGCGGGTCGGGACGGCCGAGGCGGAGGGGGCGGACTTGGTCATGGGCTTGTCGGGGGAGGCTGTGAGGGTCCTGAGGAGGCCGGACCGGGAGGCGGTAAGGGAACAGCTGCAGCGGGTGTTTGACGGCGGCATTCGGAGCATTGCCGTGTGTCTGATGCACGCCTACACGTTCCCGGACCACGAGGCGCTGGTGGGCGAGGTGGCGAGGGAGATTGGGTTCCGGCATGTCTCGCTCAGCCACGAGCTGATGCCCATGATCAAGCTGGTCCCGAGAGCGACGTCGGTGTGTGCCGATGCGTACCTCACGCCGGCCATCAAGCGGTACATATCGGGGTTTCAGCAGGGGTTCAAGGGCGGGCTGGGCACCAAGAGCGTGAAGCAGGGCGAGGGGAACAAGGGCGCTCGTTGCGAGTTTATGCAGAGTGACGGTGGGCTGGTGGATGTCGACAAGTTTACCGGGCTGAGGGCCATCCTGTCGGGGCCGGCCGGTGGTGTCGTCGGGTATGCCATCACGTCGTATGACGAGAAGACGAAAATCCCCGTCATTGGCTTCGACATGGGCGGCACCAGCACCGACGTCTCGCGGTATGGCGAGGGCCGGTATGACCACACGTTTGAGACGACCACAGCCGGCGTCACCATCCAGTCTCCCCAGCTCGACATCAACACCGTCGCGGCGGGCGGCGGCTCCATGCTCTTCTTCCGGAACGGCCTTTTTGTGGTTGGTCCCGAATCTGCCGGCGCTCACCCCGGCCCGGCGTGTTATCGAAAAGGGGGCCCTGCCACGGTGACCGACGCCAACTTGTTCCTCGGGAGGCTGCTGCCGGAATTCTTTCCCAAGATCTTCGGCAAGAATGAGGACGAGGGGCTGGACCGGGAAGCCAGCAGGAAAGTCCTGCAGGAGTTGGCGGATCAAATCCATAGGGAGACTGGCAAGGCAATGGACATTGACGAGGTTGCCTATGGATTCTTGACCGTCGCCAACGAGACCATGACGCGGCCCATCAGGAGCATCACCGAGGCCAAGGGCCACGACACGTCCAAGCATCGCCTGGCTACTTTTGGCGGGGCAGGTGGCCAGCATGCCGTGGCTATTGCCGAGTCTCTGGGCATCAAGCAGATCTTGATCCACCGATACTCTTCTGTTCTCTCGGCCTACGGCATGGCCCTGGCCGACGTTGTCGACGAGAGGCAGGAACCTGAGTCGGCCGTCTGGAGTGACAAGAGCGACGTGGTGGATCAGCTGAAGAAGAAGGTGGAAGCCCTCAAGGACAAGTCCCGCCAGGCCCTCCGCGATCAAGGTTTCGAGGACAACGAGATTGTCTTTGAGGAGTATCTCAACATGAGGTACCGCGGCACCGAGTCAGCCCTCATGATCATCAAGCCGACCGAGGGCGAGCACGAATGGGATTATGGCGCGGCCTTTGTGAAGCACCATCGCTACGAGTTTGGTTTCACCCTGGACGACCGAGACATCATCGTTGACGATGTTCGGGTCAGGGGCATTGGCAGGAGCTTCCGCTACGAGGAGAAGAGCGCGGACGAGCAGCTGAGAACCGTCACTCGCAAGGACGTGAAGCCTGATAAGAAGCACTCCGTGGCCAAGGTCTACTTTGAGGGCGGACGGGTGGACACGCCCATCTACAAGCTCGAGAGTCTCGCGGTGGGAGAGGCCGTCAAGGGCCCTGCCATGCTGGCAGACGGCACCCAAACCATTGTAGTCACGCCGAATGCTACCGCCCTCGTGCTCGAGACGCACGTCGTCATCGATCTTCCCGAGAGCGAAAAGGACCGCTACTCGAAGGCCTCGGGAGAGCGCGAAGTGGACCCCATCATGCTCAGCATCTTTGGCCACAGGTTCATGGCCATCGCCGAGCAGATGGGACGGGCCCTGCAGAAGACCAGTGTCAGCACCAACGTCAAGGAGCGGCTCGACTTCTCTTGCGCCATATTTGATGCCACAGGCGGCCTGGTAGCCAACGCTCCTCACCTGCCAGTCCACTTGGGCTCCATGTCGACCTGCGTGCGGCGGCAGGCCGAGATATGGAAAGGCAAGCTCAAAAAAGGAGACGTAATTATCTCGAACCATCCATCCTATGGCGGCACGCATCTTCCCGATGTGACGCTCATCATGCCGGCTTTCAACGAAGCAGGGGACAAGATCCTGTTCTACGCCGCCTCGCGCGCACACCATGCAGACATCGGAGGCATCACGGCCGGCAGCATGCCGCCGCATTCGCGAGAACTCCAACAAGAAGGCGCCGCCATCAAGAGCGAGAAGCTCGTCAGCGAGGGCAAGTTCAACGAAGAGCGCGTGATCGAGCTCTTCTACAAGGAGCCGGCCAAATACCCCGGCTGCAGCGGCACCCGCTGCCTCGCCGACAACATCAACGATCTCCGCGCCCAGGTGTCAGCCAACCAGAAGGGCATCTCCCTGATCGAGGGCCTCATCGCCGAGTACGGCGAGGACACAGTCCAGTTCTACATGGTGGCCATCCAGAACAACGCCGAGCTCCAGGTGCGCAACCTCCTCCGGGCCGTCCACGACCGCTTCCAGGGCAAGGACCTGTCGGCCGAGGACTTCATGGACGACGGCAGCCCGATCCGCCTCCAGATTGTCATCGACCGGGACAGGGGCGAGGCCGTCTTTGACTTTGCCGGCACGGGGCCCGAGGTGTACGGCAACATCAACGCGCCCGAGGCCATCTCATACTCGGCCATCATCTACGCGCTGCGCTGCATGATCAGAGAGGACATCCCGCTCAATCAGGGCTGCCTCAAGCCCATTACGGTCAAGATCCCGCCCAAGTCGCTCCTCTCGCCCTCGGACAACGCCGCCGTTGTCGGCGGCAACGTGCTCACCTCGCAGCGTGTGACCGACGTCATCTTTCGCGCCTTCGAGGCCTGCGCCGCCAGCCAGGGCGACTGCAACAACCTTACCTTTGGCTTTGGTGGCAACGTCTCGGGCCAGCAAGAGGTGCGCGGCTTCGGCTACTACGAGACCATCGCCGGCGGCAGCGGCGCGGGCCCGACCTGGGAGGGCACCGACGGCGTGCACGTGCACATGACCAACACGCGCATCACCGATTCGGAGGTGTTTGAGCGCCGGTATCCCGTCCTGCTGCGCGAGTTTTCGATTCGTAAGGGGTCGGGCGGGAGGGGCCAGCATCGTGGCGGGGATGGCGTCGTGCGCGATATCGAGTTCCGCATCCCCGTGCAGGTGTCCATCCTGAGCGAGCGGCGCGTGTTCCGGCCGTATGGCATGGCCGGCGGCGAGGACGGCCAGTGCGGGCTGAACCTGTGGGTGAGGAGGGTGAAGAAGGCCAGCTGGGAGAGCAGTCTTAGGAAGCTGCAGCAGACGGGCGTCGAAGGACAACGGGACAGCAGGGTTGCTGGTGGTGATGGTGTGGAGGAGGACAACAACACGGATGGAAACGGCAACGACGACGCCGAGTACGAGGAGCGCTTCATCAACCTGGGCGCCAAGAATAGCGCGCCCATGAAGGCGGGCGACCGCATCATTGTGTACACGCCGGGCGGCGGAGGCTGGGGCAAGGTTGGCCAGGAGAAGGCGCTAGGGCAGGCGCCGGACCCAATGCAGAGCTGGAAGAAAGGGTCACTCGCGGCGAGGGAGGAGACGGCGTTGCAGGCATAGATTAAGGTTAGTAGTAGCACGGCATAGCGTTGCGTCTAGCTCGCGTGGTACGAAAGCACATTCGGCAAGTGTATCGCGTTGTAGAAAACTACCATCAGTTGACTCATCACAGTCATGAATGAGAGAGAGAAAAGGGAAGGAAAGGGGTATCTTGGTCCCAAGTAGAATACAAAGCGCTATAAGAAACCGATGTTGGTACCTCTTCTATGCTCGAGCTACAGAGTTGAGATTTGCGCTGCTGCCACTCCAATTCCAGTCTCCTCGTGGAATGATGATCGATAAAGAGGAGCCTCAAGCTTGTAGGGCTCGTGAAGGGGACAGACCAAGCTTGTTCGGTGAAAAGCGACCCTCGGAGAACATCACTGCCCCTGCCCTGCCCGAGACACTTGACAACTCAGTCGGAGACAGTATATTTTGTCCGCACTGGGACAATGTGCTGGGCGGTCCCGACTGCCGGTACGGCGAAAGCGACCCCGTTCGGCATGTTATAGTACGGCGCCAACTGGTAGCTAGCCGCGGTTGCCAGCCCCGAGGGCACTCGCCAGTTATGGCCCTGGGTCCAGGTCCATTCCGTCGCAGGCAGCCCTCATTCCATCACCCAAGACAATGGTAACCCCCCAATGCCGCCCACTCCAGTCCACGCGCGGTATCGGCGCGAAGCGGTGCGTGAGGGCATCGATACCCTTCGGTCTTCGCGCCACGAGCAGCCTGTATCTCGAACGCCTCCAGTTCCCCAGTTCCCCGATCCGACGGTGCACGATAATCCAAACATGGGGCAGGATAAGCAGAAACGAGGAGCCCGCTGATAAATGGCACCAAGCAAAAACTAGTCCAAAACGACAGGGCAGTAAGTGGACTAACCGCTCGAGCCATCATGGGCATGACACACGTGGGAGTGAGACGAGGCTGCTAATCCGCATCGGCCAACTGCATGATGAGCCTGGCGGCCATGTCTAGGAACGGGAAAGGGCTCGTGACATCCTTGTCCTCGAGGAGCTTGCCGTCGGGCGTCTCGTATCCGTCGACCTTGAAGTCGACGAGGAAAACTCCAGGCTCCATTTCGTATATCTGTATCTCCATGCGCATAGCGACCACTTGAAAGTCTTGCCCCTCGTGGGTAACTTGAGTATTCGCTCCAGCCTCGCTTAGCATCGAGGCAACCGAGCGCTTTTGGAGTTCTGTGATGATCGAGTCAACTATACTGAGGTGTTATGGACAGAAGAGAAGGGATCAACACACTGTCTGTCGCCCAGCGGATGTTGATATGCCAGGGATCTGCTGGGAGCTTGTACAGTTCCGTGGGGTCTACGCCTGACGATGACTTTCGCGAGTGCCGCCCGCCGTCGTAGTCGCTATGTTCGTCGTCCTGATGGGCTGACTCATAATCCTCGTCCACAATCCAGGCGGCGCCCAGCTTATTAAGCGCCTTGTAGATGCACAACAGCGCTTCCCATGGTGCATTCCGGGAGCGAATCCCAAACTGCCATTTGACCGGTTTGTTCTTTTTTGCTGGCGGGTTCACAGGCGTCAGACTTTGTGGGCGGCTCGCCTCATCCAAGCGAACAAAGCTGCGGGAGTGAGGCTTCAGCCGCCGGAGTGACTCTTCCTGCTCGGCCTGGTTTCGCGGCTGCGTAGCGGGTTCGGGCGCAGTAAGCGGCGCGTCCGGAACCTCAATACCCTCGGCCCTGGCCCTCTCGCGCTCCATGAATGCTTTGTGGTATACCGTCAAACTGCTCGGGAGAATACCGACTTTGCTCACATAGGGCGGCCTGGGCGATGTCCCCGTGCTTGTGGAAGCGACCGACCGAGCTGACGACATGTTCGGATCCAGCAAGGGGCTGGGGGTTGGCTCTTCGGCACCGTGACCGGCCAGTTGCGTACTCTGCATGAGCTTGTTCTCGCGGACAATCATGTAGGCGTCCTTGATGGCAGAAGGCTCGTCGGCCTCGAGGGCTTCCTCGACATCTCGTTTGCCGTACCCCATGGTCTTGCTGATCTTTTCCGTGACTTCGTTGTGAAGCTTCTCCTGCTCTTGTGGCGGTGCATGAGGGGCAATGTCGCTCACCTTGATGGCCTTATTTGGGTCAACGCCGGTGTTGAGGAACTCTTCGACGGGCGGGTGGAGGTAGGCGGGCAAGTCTTTGAGGAACCAGGGGTCTTGGCGGATGTCTTCGATGGTGGCGCGCTGGACAGGGTTCACAACGAGCATCTTCTTGATCAGGTTCGCGGCGCCGGGACTCATCCAGGTTGGCACCATGTAGCTGCCCCGCGCGATCTTGGCAAACAGGGTGGGTATATGCTCGTGGTCGAAGGGTAAACGACCGACGAGCAGGACGTAGAGGATGACGCCGCAGCTCCAGACGTCCACCTCCGGCCCGGCGTATAGCTTGCCGCCAATGACTTCGGGGGCGGCGTAGTTGGGCGAGCCGCAGCTGGTTTTGAGGAAGTTGCCGTCGGTCATGATGTTGCTCAGGCCAAAGTCGGCAATCTTGACGTTGAGGTTATCGTCGAGCAGCAGATTCTCAGGCTTGAGGTCGCGGTGGACAATTTTGTGGCGGTGGCAGTACTCGACGGCGCAGAGCATCTGCTGAAAGAAGCGGCGGGCCTCGTCCTCCTGCATCTTCCCGTGGGCGACAATGTAGTCGAACAGCTCGCCGCCGGCGTACTCGAGCACCATGATGATCTCGGTGGGTGTCTTGATGACAGTGTACCTGGCAAGAAGCGACAGAGACAATAGGTCAGCCGTTGGAACGGCTCGATGGGGACGGTGAAAGAAAGGAAGGAAGCAGTGGCTCACAGCTTAATGATGTGCGGGTGGCGGAGCAGCTGCAGGTATTCGATCTCACGTTCAACGCGACCTTGCATGTCGCGGCTGATAAGGTTCTTGCGCGAGATGATTTTGAGGGCGACCTGCTGGCCGGTACCGCGATGCACGGCCAGCTTGACCTTGCCGAAGCTGCCCTCGCCGAGCGTCTTGACAATGTTGTAAGCGCCGATGCGCTGCTCGGTGCGCGTCTTGTCGCGGAGCGAGGCATTATTTGAATTGTGGGCGGAGCCGGAGGACATGATGGCGGTGTCGATGGAGGCGGAACCCGGGGCCGACTGTTGGTGATGGTCGTGATGATGATGGTGGTGGTGGTGGTGCTGCCCCTCGCCAGGCCACCTGTTGCGCCGGATCTGCGATGGGGACAGGGAGATGGACAGCTCCTCGTCATCGTAGGCCTGAGCCATGGCTGCCGAGACTCGCAGAGCAGAGGCTAGCTCTCCGTCTAAATCCGGTTCCAGATGGAGCCTTCTGGCTGCGCGTGTGGAGTAGATGTCAAAGCAGCGTGTCCACTCTGTCCTGCATCCCGTAACGAGTGGGCTAGGGGAACATTGGAGGGAATGGGGGTGAAAGCCAGCGTGAGCCGTTTCGGCGGGGATTATGTCGGCGTTGGTGCACGTGGAGACTCTGGATTTGTGAGATAGTGGGGCTTGTCACGCCTCAATTAGTCCGTACAGCAGGTGCATGGCAATCTGCGACTTGGCGATATGCTCCTGTGATTCTTGCTGCTTGGTTTACCTGGTTTGCCTCAGTAAGGTATCGCAAATTTAAATGTCCGGTTACGATTACGGGCCCCAACAAGCCAACGCAAGCACTGCGGTAGTCTTCCCAATTTGTTTGACTTTTCGTTCTTTTTCCTCTCGTTCCATTTCCGGTTTTCTTTTACTTTCTGTTGGTGCTTCGGCAGAGTCGTGGAATTGCCTGTCACTACAATTCCAGTCTGAAGACAATTCTGAACCTGTTGTTAGGCAATAATAGTAGTGGAGGGGGATCATTGTTTGCATATGTTTTGGCTGCACTGGCAGATGGTACTTGTACAACATCGTGCCGGAGGGTAACCTAACCGATATCGGCATGCTTTGAATTGGCTTAATTACCTTGCAGCTTCCACGCTGTCAAGGTGGGAAAACCGAAGAGAGTGGGACCTGCCAATACCACGAGGCCACGGCCATGGCGCCGATGCTCATGCCGAATGCCATCAGGAAGTTGACGTCGTTGTTGTCCAACAAGTCCCACCCAGTCTCGACCACTCGCGACGGCTTCTCATCCCCGAAGCTCGCCTTACGATGTTTATTGTGGGCGTCGTACTTGTCTAGCGGGGTGGTGGGGTCCGTCTCCTCGACGGCAAACTCGCCCTCGCCATTCAGCAAGGCAGCCTTGACACCGGCCGCCACGTCCTGCTCCCGCTCAGCGGATACTAGCACGCGCACGCCGCCCTCGCCCTCGACGATCTTGCCGCTGCGCACGTCCTTTACGCTGCGTTGGAACAGCCCGCCGAGGATGCTGTCAACCACGCTGCCCAACAGCCCCCAGAGCGTCAGGCCTAAAATCAGCGTCCGCCGCTGCTCGCTCGACCACGGTGCTCCGCCGCCGAGCTTGCCGGTGGTATTGGCGGTGCAAAACGGCGTCAATAGCATGGCGGACGTGACTATGATGACGCTTCCGAGGAGGCCGGCAGCGAGACCCGTGAGCGTAACGCCGCCGTTGGTGCCCCGTGGCACCTTGCGCAGCGTAAGGCTGGTGATCAGACGCGGTTGGCCCTTGGCGAGAATGCCCAGCTCGGAGCTCAACGTGTCGGCGGCGACACAAGCGTAGTTGGCGATGATGCCGACGACCAGTAGGTCGCCGCCCCATGCAAAACAGAGGCTGCCTGGGTGGTCGGCCGGCGAGCCGAGAAGGGCTGCCTCACGCGACCGGAGCTGGTAAGCATGGAGCAATGATAGGATGGATGCAGTGAGCGAGTTGGCGAGCACTTGTACGTGAGTACGAGGGCCATCGCCGCCAGAGGAGCCGCCCGATTTCAACGTGAGGCTGGCCTTGACGTGCTCCTTGACCTACAAGCTACCATTAGCCACGGAACCGACAGCCTGGGTAACGGGAGCCGGTCTCTTACATGGGTTGCGCGTGTCCCAGCCAGGAAGAAGACGACGAGTAGAGCGAACGGCAGGTTCCACGGATGAATAGCATGTGCGATGGCTGTGAGCGTCGCGGCCAAGATACCGCCAGGCGTCAGTGATTTTTTTGAGTAGGCCCGGTACACGAGCAGCAGCGTCGCGGGCACAGCAATGACGGGTTTCATCTCGTAAGCGGCGGCAGCAGCATAGATGCAGCGATTGAAAGCAAATGAGGTCGACAGACGCTTATCGTCTTTTCAGATGGGTGCGAGCGCAGACAGGCACCGCGGGCGTCGGAGGTAGATAGGAAAGGATGCAAAGTGCGTTTACTGTCGTCAGCAGCCCGTTTCTAGGATTCGCTACATCCGTACCTACCAATCATTCCTGTCAGGACTCCGGTTGCTTTGCAGCACAGGCGAGATGCTGTCGGCGGGGGGACTGGCCCGTGCTGCCGGGTAATCAGCGAGACGGCTTTGTGATGACCCTAACCCTGAAAAAACTCGACCCCTGGCCCCACCCCCTACTCCTGAGGTCAACAAACTGACATGACCCTGCCTTGGCAGAACAGCTAAAATCCATCAAAGGTTGAACTTTGGAATTCAGGACAAATAACTATTGGCAGCCAGTGACAAGGTATCCGGGGTCCATTCTGCTGACAGCTTGCTGCCAGTGCTGGCGGCTTTGGATCTAGACCCACATTTCCCCTTTTGTCACTAGCGGCCGAGACCTGCCACTCCCACTCGAATTCTCCATCACCATCGGATTGCTGCGACCATCCCTTCAATATGCTTTTGAGCCTTGAAGCCTCCAAATGGCACCTGGCTAGATTTTCGCTCTAACTGCTGCCGGGCGAGGACCTCGGATGTTCAAAACATTGATCCTATACTTAGCCTATGTTCTTGGCATATTCGCTCCCATCACCTTCTCTATCGAAGAGCGGAATCCCGCTACTCCGGGTTGAGATTCGAAGTCGAGACGGCAAGAGGGCATCCGATCGATCGACTTAAATGCCACCCGGTGCCTATTTTCAAGGCATTGGAGCCAAGCAACGCGTTCGCATTTCCGGCGTCTATTTGCTCCCCTTGTGTGATTTGCGTTGCTGACCTCTTTTTCCGCTGTAGCTACCCTGCAGTGTGGCCTTGTCATACCTCGGGCTCTCTGGATCGACACCATGGCGCGGCCAGACCTCGGACTTGACCACGCCTACTTTACATTGGGGCTCCGTTGACTATGGCCTATGCCTTGCTGGGGATCCCTCCGGTGTCTCTCGGATACAGACCAGTTCCCCGCGGCTCGTATCAAGATGTTTGATGCGATTGACACGGAGTCTTGCGCCTCTGGCTTGATATCTGGCTTCCATGGGGATCCCATGGTTGCGGCGCATGCGCCGGCTACTTACCTAGTGGTACCGTCGTCTAAGACCCAGGACCCGATCTACTGGACCTCGGCCGTGTGCTGCTGCATGGCGCCAGGACCGCCGGCGTGCAGCGGCTGGACCTAAAGACGGGAAATGATCCCTCAGCACCTGCACAGTACCGAGACGCCAACTGTTGATCCTGACATACTAGGCGGTTGACAAGGGCTCTTGGCGGGTGTTATATGAAACCCTGCTGATTAGCTGCAGTCATTTGCTGCGTGTCGTTCGGAGCTCGATGTGTTGAGAGAGATCAAGGGCTAATAACGGAGTTGATGTCAGTGCATCGCTTGAACCGACTAGTCTTGAGGAGAATCTCAATATTGGTAGCTTTCGTTGCAGTGCACTCTTCGGCCGCTTCTGTCGGGGCAGGAACCCAGGGTACATACAGGCAGGTCATATGTTATCAAATATTTTGTGGTTTTGATATGGGCATTTATGATCCTGGCAACTGGATGACGGACGCTTGGCGTGAGTTGACCAACCAGCTTCCGTGGCAAATGAGGCTCTTTGTTCCCGTCACCTGGCGGCAACTATATTCCATCCCTGACTCGCTCGATGCGCCTGCCGTCCCATGTCCCGTCGACTTCGAAGGTATCGAAGGATTGAGTCGCAGCACTCCGGCGAGGAGCGGTCGGCGAGACTAGAATGGCATCATTCAGAACACTGCCTCCGCGAAACAACGCCCTCTCAGGATTTTTTGGTCTGCAACCCATTGCCTCACTGAGCTGGATTGGGGGAGTCCGGTGGGAGGCGGGGGAGTCCGTCCCGCCTGCCCACGTTCCTGTCAGGAAGTTGCCCACAGGCGATGAGAGCAAGCGGAGTATGGGACCAGGCACTGGACTTTCATCTTATCTTGGGTCGAAGGGCGGCATGTCGAAAACATGGCATGGGCGTGACCGAGCGCGCCGGCAGGCCATGCCTTCAGCTTCCTGCCCTATGGCTGCAACGAACAGGAAACGACATGGAAGTCCGAGTTGAGAACACTTCAGCCGAGGGAGCGTCTTTCTGGAACGCCCGAGCATCGTCCCTGTCGTGACGGAGTCTGACGTCGGAGCAGGCTGGACTCGACGGGAGGGCCAGGCTCGCTTATCACATTGCTCCTGCTGGATTTGACTGTCTAGCTACACGACATGGTGCATTCTCCGGACGCGGCGGAGCTCCTTCCTCGTCCTACCCGCTCTTCCCCCGGCGACTCGGCGCTACCAGCTATTCGTTAGGACCACCACGTCTGGAAGGGGAGGTGCGCATCCATCAATGGTGTATCGGTGGTCCAAGGAAGCCGCAATGAGGAGGGTGTCCGGGCGGATTTCATGACCCCGTGTCGCCATGAAAAGCTTTCCCCCCAACTTCATGTCCGTTTGTTTACATCGTACATAAAACATCAACACATCTGTGATTTGCTCTCAGCCTTCAGGTTATCTTGTGCAGCAATTAGACTTTCTTTTCCCGTTCTCTTTGCCAAACCACTTCTGCAGCCTTCCGCCTCGCACATTACCACCGCGTCGGGGCATCTGATCAGCATCAAGGTTCGCCGGACAACATGGAGGTCAACCATGAGGAGATCCGGGTTGATGAGCCCGTGTTCTTTCTCTTCGGAGACCAGTCTGTCGATTTGTATCCATTCCTGGCCCAGTTCTTCCGCCAGGAAAGGCACGGCGAGTTGGCAAAGGCCTTTTTGCGACAGGCATGCCACGCCCTGCAACGCCAGATTGAGAAGTTGCCCGCCGACGGGCGAAGAAGGCTGCCATCGTTCTTGACGATACAGCAGCTCAACGAGAGATACCACAGCTCAGCCTTCAAACATTCAGCCGTTGACGCGGCTTTGTTGACAATATCCCAGATCGCCCATTATCTCGAGTGAGTGGCATCCTTTTATCACATTTTAGTCTTTTGCTGACCATCGCCCTCCAGCCATGCTGAGAAGAACTGCGACGATATTCCTAAGCCTCACAATGCCCTTCTCGTGGGTCTCTGCACAGGTCTCTGGGCGGCATCGGCCATCTCAATCACACCATCTTTGCCGGACCTCGTACATATCGGTGTCCAGGCGGTGCTCTTGTCGTTCAAAACCGGCGCATACGTTGAGTCGATGGCACAGCGAATGAGCCCAACATCCGACCGGTCAGAAAGCTGGTCTCGCATCGTCCCAGGTTGGAATGTAGAGGAGGCAACTGCCAAGCTGGACGCCTTCCACAATGAAGCCGTGAGTGCCTTGACGACCCCGAGACCTTGTGCTCAACCGAAAGCTGACGCCCGCTAGGCCATACCGCCACACAGTCGCGCATATCTCAGTGCTGTATCCATCAATTCCGTCGCAATATCCGGACCACCAAGGACAATTGAGGCCCTGATCACCAAGGGGGTTCTGCCAACGAAGCTGATCACGATCCCCGTCCATGGCCCTTACCATGCGCCTCATATTCATTCAGGCATCGATCTCAAGGCAATGCTGGGCCTGGACGACCGAGAGGTGGAAGACGCTCTTTACAAGACACGGCCGCGGTCGCCTGTCTTGTCTTGCGGAACTGGCGAGTGGTTCTCAGCCACGGACACGAAATCACTCTTCACATCCGTCGCCTCCGCTCTGTTGAACGAGACATTGATGTTCCACAAGGTGCTTGATGGCTGCCTCGAGCGCAGCCACCAGTTTCCAAGCAAAAAGTGCCTCATTCTCCCACTCGGCCCGACCCAGAATGCGGCCACGCTCCAGAACCTTCTCAAGGCCAAGTCGGAATTGGACCTTGTTCTCCACATGCCGCCTCCGGTCGCACCAGAGAACGCAACACCTCATGTCGGGAACAGCGGTTCAACCGGAAAGCCCAAGCTCGCCATTGTCGGCATGGCCGGGCGGTTTCCAGACGCCGAAAGCCACCAGAAGCTCTGGGAGCTGCTGGAGAAGGGCCTTGACGTCCATCGTCTGGTTCCTGCCGATCGCTTCGACGTCAAGACGCACTATGATCCGACCGGCAAGCGCATCAACACCAGCCACACTCCATACGGTTGTTGGATTAAGAACCCTGGCATGTTCGACCCCCGCTTTTTCAACATGTCGCCACGTGAGGCCTTCCAGACAGATCCCATGCAGCGGATGGCCCTGACCACCGCGTATGAGGCTCTGGAGATGTCCGGCTACGTCCCAAACAGGACGCCGTCCACGAAGCTGGATCGGATCGGTACCTTCTATGGCCAGACCTCGGACGATTGGCGAGAAATCAACGCGGCACAGGAGGTCGACACGTACTTCATCACGGGAGGCGTGCGCGCCTTTGGTCCCGGCCGCATCAACTACCACTTTGGCTTCAGCGGGCCGAGTCTCAACATCGACACCGCTTGCTCCTCGAGCGCTGCAGCCATGCAGGTCGCTTGCACGGCGCTCTGGGCGCGAGACTGCGACACGGCTGTCGTTGGCGGGCTGTCGTGCATGACGAACCCGGACATCTTCTCTGGGCTCAGCAGAGGCCAATTCCTGTCCAAAAGGGGCCCATGCGCCACTTTCGATAACGAGGCCGACGGTTACTGCCGTGGCGACGGCTGTGCGTCGGTCATCGTCAAACGTCTAGATGATGCCTTGGCCGAAAACGACCGGATTCTCGCCGTCATCCTGGGCACTGCGACCAATCACTCGGCTGACGCCATCTCGATCACGCATCCCCACGGCCCGACGCAATCCGCCTTGTCGACGGCCATTCTTGACGAGGCGGGCGTCGACCCCTTGGATGTCGACTATGTTGAGATGCACGGTACAGGTACCCAGGCCGGAGATGGCACAGAGTGAGTAACAACTTCCTTTGTGCATGAACTGTGTATACCCACCCTCCTTTACGGCTGTCTCTGGAGCCATCCTACTTCCGAAACTACACATCTGCTTTCTTGAAACCCTCCAGCCCCATTGGAAGTGGAATCTGACAGCTGACCTCTGTTGGCAGAATGGTGTCGGTGACGAATGTCTTTGCCCCGCGAGAGCGGAAGAGGCCTACTGACAGGCCGCTCTATCTGGGTGCGGTCAAGGCGAACGTCGGACATGGCGAGGCTGCATCCGGAATCACAGCCCTGATCAAGGTGCTGCTGATGCTCGAAAAGAATATAATTCCGCCCCACTGCGGTATCAAGCCAGGGTCCGTCATGAATAAGACCTTTCCCAAGGATCTCTCGGAACGGAACGTCAACATTGCCTTCCACAAGACTCCGTTTACAAGAAAGGATGGCAAGCCGAGACGAGTTTTTATCAACAACTTCAGCGCGGCAGGCGGCAACACCGGCCTCCTGCTTGAGGACGCACCGAAACGCCTCCCTGCAAACGCGGATCCTCGCAGCCACCACATTATCACTGTGACGGCCAAATCCAAGGCGGCCATGATCCGAAATGCCGAGCGCCTTGTCGCTTGGATCGACGAGCATCCCACCGCGGAGCTGTCGCACCTTGCATACAGCACCACGGCAAGAAAGATGCAGCACTACTGGCGGATGAATGCGTGTGGTGCCGATCTCCAAGACGTCAAGACGGCCATCGCAATACGCCTCAAGGAGAACTTTGTCCCCGTCCCGCCTGAGCAGCCCAAGATCGCCTTGATGTTCACGGGTCAAGGTTCGCATTACCCCGGGCTGGGCAAGGAGCTCTACCAGCACTACTCGGTGTTCCGCGAGAGCATCGACAACTTTGACCGCCTGGCTCGCCTGCAGGGCTTCCCGTCGTTCATGCCGCTCATCGATGGCAGCGACGAGAACGTGACCGAAATGTCGCCAACTGTGCTGCAGCTCGGCCTGGCATGTTTCGAGATGGCACTTGCCCGGTTGTGGGCGTCGTGGGGAATCAAACCTGCCGCCGTGGTGGGCCACAGCTTGGGAGAGTATGCGGCTCTCGAGGCTGCCGGTGTGCTCTCGGCCATGGATGTCATCTATCTCGTGGGCTCTCGCGCCCAGATGCTCCTCGAGAGGTGCACACCCGGCAGCCACGCCATGCTCGCCGTCCAGGGCTCAGAGTCCGCAGTGCTTGATGCACTGGGTGACAGGGCTGGGGGCCTTGATGTTGCCTGCATCAATGGGCCTCGCGAAACCGTTCTGAGCGGTGAGACCACACTCGTGGCGGGCGCACGGGACTTCCTCGCCGATGCCGGCTTCAAGTGCACACTCCTGAAGGTGTCCTTTGCTTTCCACTCCCCCCAGGTGGACGCCATTGCGGACGATTTTGAGAACATTGCCCAAGGGGTCCTCTTCAACCGCCCCAGAGTACCCGTCATCTCGCCTGTGCATGGCAGGGTGCTCAAAAGTGACGAGATCAACGCGGCATACCTCCGCAAGCACGCGCGTGAAGCGGTCAACTTCCTTGCGGCGCTCGTTTCGGCCCAGCAGTCGGGCACTATTGATGACAAGACGGTCTGGCTCGAGATTGGTCCCCACCCCGTCTGCGCGAATATGGTCAAGGCTACCTTTGGTGCCGCCACGGTCGCAGTCCCTACCTTGCGCCGCAACGAGCTGTGCTACAAGACACTGTCCAACAGCCTCGGCACCCTGCATTCTGCAGGCCTGAACATCGACTTTAACGAGTACCACCGCGACTTCATTGACTCGGTGCGTCTGCTGGATCTGCCCAGCTACTCTTTCGATGACAAGAATTACTGGCTTCAGTACACGGGCGACTGGTGCCTCACCAAGAACCGAATCGCCGCCGCGGCAGCGGGAACAAAGGCTGATGAACCACCCAAGCTGTCCACGACGACTGTGCAGCGGATCATCCGAGAGGAAGTCAAGGGCGACGTGGCCATCGTTGAGATCGCGTCCGATCTCTGCCAAGATCAGCTCCGAAATGTTGTCTCCGGCCACATGGTCAACGGCGCTCCTCTGTGCCCCTCGTCCCTGTACGGCGACATGGCCATGACGGTATGCGACTATGCCTACAAGCTCCTGCGGCCCGAGGCGCAGAAGATTGGCTGCAACGTCGCTCACATGGAGGTCCCCAAGACGCTCATCTTCGACGATAAGGCCACAAGCCAGATTTTGCGCTTGACAGTAACCGCCAATGCCGAGCTTGGCCAGGCCGACCTTGTGTTCCATACGGGTGAAGGCGACAAGAGGACGGAACACGCCCACTGCAAGGTCATCTACGGCAATGTCAACGACTGGCAGCACGAGTTTGACCGCGTGCAGTATCTGATCAAGTCACGGATCGATGCTCTCATGGAGGGCGAGAAGCGAGGCATCGCGTCCAAGATTGGCCGCGGCCTGGCCTACAAACTCTTCTCTGCCCTGGTCGACTACGCCCCGCGTTATCGGGGCATGGAGGAGGTCATCCTTGACAGCGCCACGTGCGAGGCGACGGCCAAGATTCGTTACCAGACAACGGAACAGGACGGCACTTTCTACTTCAGCCCATACCACATCGACAGTTCCTGCCACATTTCCGGCTTCGTCATCAACGGCACCGATGCCGTGGACTCACGCGAGCACGTCTTCATCTCGCACGGCTGGGGCTCGATGAGGTTCACCGAGATTCCGGATCCCACCAAGGAGTATCGCAGTTACATCCGCATGCAGCCGATTAAGGGAAGCAAGATGATGGCGGGCGACGTCTACGTGTTTGATGGCGACAAGATCATTGGTGTGACGGGCGATCTCAAGTTCCAGTGCATCCCGCGCAAGGTGCTGAACCTTATGCTTCCGCCCCGAGGCGCCTCAGCGCCGGCCAGCACCCCCCGGCTGGCGCCTGCCTCCTCGACCACGGCCACGGCGGCAACGAAGACGTCGGCGCCCAAGAAGAAGAAGGAGACTGTGACCCCGTCCAACATTTCCAAGGTGAACCAGAGGCTGCAGACGGTCATCGCTGCGGTCATGGACATCCTTGCCAAGGAGATCGGCTGCGGGCAAGACGAGCTCGCAGACAACATCGCCTTCACGGATCTCGGTGTCGATTCACTGATGTCGTTGACTGTCAGTGGCAAGATTCGCGAGGAGTTGGAACTGAACATCCACTCCAGCGCCTTTGTCGACCATCCTACCATCGGGAGCTTCAAGGCGTATCTGGCTCAATATGAAAAGCCGGATCGCCTCGGCAGTGAGCCGTCGCAGGAGTCGGACCCATCTTCGTCCGATGATGAGTCTCCCGAGATGGGGTCCGACTCGATCGTGACGACGCCGCCTGATGATAGCGACACCCAGTCGGCCAAGGATGGCGGGTCCGACGACGCCAGCCAGGAGCTCCGCGAGGCCATCCGGAGTACCATCGCCAGTGAGATGGGTGTCGACGTGGACGAGGTTCTTGCGGCGCCCGACCTTGCGAATCTCGGCATGGACTCCCTCATGAGTCTGTCCATCCTCGGCCTGCTCCGGGAGAAGACGGGTCTGACGATTCCCGCGGACCTCTTTGTCGCCAACCCATCTCTCAGGGATGTGGAGCGGGCCCTGGGTATTAACCCCGCTCCCAAGAAGGAGAGCAACCAGAAGCCACAGCCCAAAGAGGAGCAACCCACAGCACCGCCCAAAAAGCAGCATCCTCGGATCGGCCCAGACGTCCCGTGCCCTCCCAAGCCGCCGAGGCCGACCCACATTGTTGACGACTATCCCGACCGCAAGGCCAGTTCGGTTCTCATGTTTGGCAATCAGAAAACCGCAACCAAACAGCTGTTCATGATACCGGACGGAAGCGGCTCTGCCACGTCGTATCAGGAGATTGCCAGTGTGGGCGGCAACTGGGCTGTCTATGGCCTCTTTTCTCCCTTTCTGAGGACGCCCCACGAATACAATTGCGGCGTGTACGGAATGGCGACCAAGTTCATCGAAGAGATCAAGCGCCGTCAGCCCCATGGTCCGTACTCGCTTGCCGGGTGGAGCGCCGGAGGCATCATTGCGTACGAGATTGCCAACCAGCTCATTAAGGCCGGCGAAGAGGTGGAGAACCTCATCCTCATTGACGCGCCATCACCCATCACCATCGAGCCGCTCCCCGAGGGCCTGCATGCGTGGTTCGCGTCGATCGGCCTGCTCGGCGAGGGGGATGATAGGAAGATCCCGGAGTGGTTACTCCCGCACTTTTCGGCATCCATCACGGCGCTCAGCAACTACGATGCCGAGCGGCTGCCCAAAGACAAGTGCCCCAAGGTGCTGGTCATCTGGTGCGAGGACGGCGTGTGCAAGCTTCCCACGGACCCGAAGCCGGAGCCGTATCCCAAGGGCCATGCGCTCTTCCTCCTCGACAATCGATCCGACTTTGGTCCCAACAGGTGGGATGAGTATCTAGACATTGAGAAGATGGAGTTTAGGCACATGCCTGGCAATCATTTCACCATGATGCATGGCAAGTTGGTGAGTTGAACACTTCCTTCTCACCACTTTTTGTCACGGCTGATCGCTAACTCTGCTCTTCTCCAGGCCGAGATACTGGGTGGTTTTATCAGGGAGGCTCTTACGAAACAGGGGTGAAGGCGGCAGTTTCAAGTCGGTTGTTCGCCACCCCCTTCAGCGGACACGGCAGCAGTTTGGGAAAGGAACTGGCGTTTTTGACTAATATGTTAGTGTTTCTGCATTTACATCTCGGAATACTAGCTATCTCACAGCGCTCACACCGGCATCGTTAGAGGCTGGTTGGTGCTGGCTTTGGCCCACTGCTGGGCCTTGGGGGTTTGTCTGGTTTGAAGGATGGCACGGTTTTCTGTCAGCGTTGGTAGGAAGTGTAGTCTTTTGAAATTGAACTAGTTCCAGCGAGTATCTTTTGCGCTTGGTCTTGCTTGTTATCTGTACCGTTGTTTCTGCCGACGCATGTCTCTGTCTCGTCCTGTTGGATGGAACTTGTGATATTCCGAACAAGCACTCTGGGGTATCTTGTTCGCTCTTCAGATGCCACTCACTTCATCATAGAAGAGAAAGAGGCTCGTGAGTAACTCCAGAAAAGTTGTGACGTGCAAGATTGGAGATGAAGGGCGGTCTGGCAGTGCTGATCTCAAGGCATTTCACTAGCTCGTCGGCACCAGAAACAACACCGACTTCCCTACCACCATTCCTGCTAACCACACATCGCCATCCAAGGTATGCTTGTCATTACGAAACGATGAAAAAAGTCGAAAGTGCGAAATCTACCATCCGAGAATCTACCATCCGAGAATCTACCATCCGAGAATCTACCATCCGAGACTCATGGCCTCGTCTTGCCTCGATGCAGCGGAGGACATTGTACTTCTGGACTCCTTTCTTCCTCCTCAATACACAAATCTCGCAATTTGATGGGCCGATTTCCGGAGTATAAATCCCTCTCCATCTCTCTTCCTTCCAGTCTCCCACCCTCGCACCTTTTCTCTCTTAACCAAGCATCTGGCTTCGGAGGACGAGACTCGATTCATTTAGACACTACTTACAACTGACCTCACACGCGGACAGTCGAAGGGGAAAAGTCCGCGGACTTTCAAGGCTGGGGCTGGGGAAGCAGGTCCTTCTCAACCTCGAGTGCATCTTACCGTTCCCCCCATCAAGGAAATTGTTCCCAAAGTTCCAGCGGATCCTTCTATCTGCGCAGCAGCTGCACTGCACGGCACGGCGAAGATATGACGCTTCACTTTGAAGTTAGTGAGGGGTCCGTCTCGGCGAATTCCGTCATTGTTTCTGTGTCGTTCCCTCGTATCTATAGCAGGATTGACTGACATCCTTTCAGCGCGGTAATGAGGCCAATGGGCGCCAGGTGACGACTGCGTGCAGACGCGCGATAAGCATGCCAATGGGACAGGCGGCCCCCAGGAACACAAAGGCAGCCCTGAACACCCGAATCCCTTACAAAGACTTCAGGTTTGCAGCTGTACGAACCCGAGGTTCTTACGGTACAGTACCTGAGGTACACCTCTGGGGACGATGGACCTTGCTTAGCCACTTACATCTGATGGACACATGGACGATACGAGGCACTGAAGATAAGTACAACTACTGCATCCCTCCAGTTGTCTTTGCGCATCAACCCAAGGCAGCCTGACGAGGGCCTTTTGATTGCATCTACTCCAGTTGTCCTGCCAGATGGACTACTTCCCTCTTGACCTTGCATACCGAGTCTGCGATTCTGAGTTGCAGATACATGCTGTCAGATAAGGTACTCAGTCTTCCCGCCGACGTGACACTTGTCTGCCTGAATACCTAAGATTAAAGCCTCCTAGCATTTGATTCTCGCCAGAACCCCTAATCGGTAAAGTTGGCAGCTTCGTCACCAGGACACGACGCGTCTTGACAACGAACTTAGAGGGCAAACCATCCCTCTGCTGCTCAATTTCAAATCTTTCTTTTCTAGCATCTCTTTGCATAGCTGCCCGCCAACCTCCTCGTAATGGTTTTTTTTTTATAATGTCCAATATTACCACACCTCGAGCACGGCCAGGCCATCGTCAATGCCTCTGGTCTACGGGGGCCCCATTATCGAGCTTGGGGTTCAGCTGTCGCAGCTGCGCCGGACTTGTGATGAAATGCCACAAGTCCAAGGTAAAGTGCCTCGGCACTTTGGATCAGGCGTGCCCGCGATGTTTCAAGAGGGGCACTGATATTCCATGTCGGGTAGGGCCAAACGAAGGCGACGAACTGGCCAACGCTCGCCGGCGCACCTTCAAGTCCAAAGTCTTCGGTTCTATCATCACCAACCGACTATGCGACGGTCGGCTTCGGCCAGCCTGTCTTCTCTGCCCCCGGACACCTCACAGGGAACTTTCTCCTGTCTTTCCAACCAGGAATACTCACTGTCAACCCCGGTACTGCCTACCCAAAAACCACCGTCACCAAACTGGCCGCCAGCGCCCCCAACATTGTTTTGCCCTCCCACCGGCCGCCGCCCAGACGATCGATTTCTCGCTTCTATCTCCTGGCTTGGTTTCGCCCAGCGTGCCGGTGTTTGCCCCGGTGCTTGGAGGCTCTCGGAAGCCTCAACCTCGCGTCAGCGACCTCCCCGCTAGCATTCGAGGCTATAATGGGCAATGAACAGGCCGGCGCGCAGAGCGAGCGCCGATCTGCTCAGCTGCCACCGATGCACGCAGTTTTTCTGGAGTCCAAGCCGCAGCCGCGGTTCTCGACTCGTTTACTTAGCAAGATCGGGTTGCTATACATTGGCGCGGGCATCGAGTAAGTCGCGGTTGCCATGGCCGCCGCCGACCCAGCGCTGACGACCGAAACATTCCCCGCCCCCAATCGTGCGCGGCCAGCGCTCTATGCCCGCCTGTCCCAGTGAGACTCGGACCAAGGCCCTGTCGCTGCACTTGGTGTGGTTTTCTAAGCATGTGCAGCGGTTCGCAACCAGGTTCGGTCGCGTCACTGTGGAGGAAGGCGGAATTGCCCAGGTCTCGGTTCCCAGGTTACGGAAGCAGATTTGACGAGATTTGTAATCTGTGTGACTAGGGCATGCTGGATACTTCCTCCCTGCTTGGTATCAAAAGATACCTGAGTTTTACCTGCCCTTGAACCTGTGAAGACTTCCCATTTGTTACTATTATATACAGTCACTGCGTGCCAGAGGAATGGGGGCTTATCGGGAGCATCTCTGCTGTTTTTTTTATTTCAGGAGCATGAAATATCCTGGACATGAGTTTCCACGTTATACTTTTACGGTTTTGCAATGTCACGGACTTTGTGGACTTCAAACAAGGTATTCGTATATGAGCACCCTGATCTTGACTGCAGAGCTTCAATTTAACGGACTCGGAGGCTGAAGAACTTACAAGGTCAACAAATAACATGCCGTTAGCCAACGTTGCCAGGACTCCTTCGCCATGACTCTTATGTCTCGGTTCTTCTCGGCACCATGAACTGCTCAACTCTTGTGTGACTGCTTTTCTCATCAAAATCCAGCACCCGACATGGGAATCAAGATGTCGCTCTGTCTGACCTGCAGTTGCCTGTTCTGGCTGACGGTGTCTCGGGTGCGGGATGAGACCTACCAGGTGAGACCGGACAGCAGGGTTTTGGGTTGAGAAAAGCCAAGTAGAAAAGAAGCCACAGTTGTTGAGAATCCATCCATGAGCCTTGGACATGTGCCAGCCCTATGGGCCAAGGGGTGTGTGTGAACCCAGAGAGTTGAGAGGTCATCCTTGGATGCCCCATCAACCGCCAACGCCTAACTTCGGCTTGAGTCGGAATCATGGAGCACCTCACTGTCTCAGTTCATGGCGAACCTGGACGCAAAACTGCAAAAGCACAGAGATTCTGCGCAACTAAATCACGGGCCCATGATGCCAGTGGTCTCTCCAAATTTTCCGATTATCCACTAGTCGCTGAGGTCCTGGGCACCGAGACATACCGTTCCGTCGAGAAGATGAGACCCGGGCAACGCCAATACCTTTCCAGGTACTCAGAAGAATGACAACATCGAGAACTTGCGGTAGCTCCTTTTCCATGCACAGCACTGTCTGTTTCTTCGAGCTGGCAAATAAGAAAAAAAAGAAGAAAGGGGGAAAAAAGACAATGACCCGCAAACTAGGTGAGGAAGAAGAAGAAGACAAAAAGAATATAACCAGCAAGAGCTCACCGGGTAGCCCCCTATCCCGGTGGTAGGGAGGTACTGACGTATGCCGGCTACGGAAATCCCCTGATGTGGTGAGGATTTTATTTCGGGGCCAGGCGAAGAGAGACCCCCTTTCACATCCAATGTGAAGAAATGGAAGTAGATGGGAAACGAACTGAGAACGTGCAGACCCTGGAACTAATGATTAACCACCATGTTACCAACATGCCTGTCTCTCCTCTCCTGGTCGAAAGCTAGTAGCAGGCTTGGCCATTATATGCTTGTACGCACCAAGGTACTGACAGGAGTGTCCTTGCAGGGACTCCTTCCTCATTTGGAACCAGGGCATGGGTTCTGGCCAATGATCGTGCCAGGATCTGCAGCAGGGCTTGTCCCCGAGAACCCCACTACGGGTTGGGCGATGTCGGCACATTCTAGAGCTCCAGCGTCCTCAGAGCTTCCCGTTCAAGTTGTCAATTCTCGTTGTTTTCTTTCCGACGCCCAAACCGTTCTTTCCATTCCTTCTTCATCCTCATTTATCTTGGTATTGCATCCGGGAGCCTACCTCATGGCTCTTGCACTTGCAATCGGAGGCGGCAATCTGGCTGGAGTCACTCGGCCCCCACCCCATATCATTACATTGCCTCGTCGGTTTAGGTGATTGGCTGTGGCCCGCATCGACCAACTCAAAACGAGACAATGAACCATGGACACTCTGAAGTAGAGTTAGGTACACGGGCATACGCCGGCTGGCGGGTGATGCAGAGTGCTATTCTGGGAAGGGGTGTTTCGGTTTCGGATTCTCTCCGACGTTGACAGCGACAAGAAGAACCACCTGGAACGCATACTCTCAATAGCTTACCTTACTTGTGTGTGAAGCTGGGCAGCTGCATTGAGGTACCTTAACAAGGTACGTGTGCAACCCTTCCGCTTCCGGAACCTGAAGTATCATACTGGACGAGCTTGCGCGTGCGATTCGGGCATGTGCCTAAGGTACAGGCTATTTCGTCGCTCGGCAGTCCTTGGGACCCAACGAAATTGTCACGACGAGGCGCATCCCCAAGTTAATTCGACTCCAACTTTGCTCCCTGTATCGCTCGAAACGCTCGTGTCGGAACGCCCCAGCCCCACGGTCTCAGTGGACGTCCGTGCAGATTCATTGGCACAGAACACGCCGCATGCTCAGCTCAGCGACCAAACATGATGCAGCGTACAAACCCTTATTGGCCGGATTACCTGGTGCAGGAACCATTTGGCTTCAGCCTTGGGCAAGCTTGCCGATACTAAGGAGCGTTAATGTGCGGTTCGATCCAATATTCCTAACGGTGATGCTTGATTGTTTGTGGTGGTATAAATGCAGTATGGAACTAACAACTTAACTTTGCTAGATCATCCGAGTCTATGAATACAAGTTTGGTTTTTATAGGCCAACGGTACTCGTGTACTGCGTCCAACTCTAGGTACGGGTATGGGAAAATCATGGTTACAGACTACAATATGCCTTTCGAATTCGCGGTTCCAGACAAGTCGTTCAAGGGCTCGACGCATTGGGGATGAGGCGACGGATCGTGTATATACAGTGCAATGTGGCTATTAAAGCCTTACCAGGCCGGTGAGCCCCGATGAAGCTAGCCGCATCCGATGGTTCTGATCAGCCTCATCCCACGTCAGTCTTTACCAGTGCACTTTCTCCCGGTCTTATCGCTGGTGGTGGCGACCCTGCCATTCGGCATCTGCCGAGACTAGGCGAAGCCAGTATCACTATCGCGTTCAGGTGAGCTGCTGGCATTGGGCCTGCGCCGAGTCTTTGGAGGTTTGCTGACCGGCCCTGCGGCTCACGAGGCTGGACACGGGCCGACGCGGGCACCTGGCGTGACGGACGCCGAACCGAGTCATGCAAAATAAGCCCCGTGAGGCGACCGCTCGGCCACTTACAACGTTGTGGCTCTGGGCTGAGATTCTGCGTACCTTTGTTGCATTGTCCATCCCAGCTTTTAGTACTCCGCAATCTTGCGTCTTTCGATTCGCAAGCCAAGCAGTGTGGAGCCACAAATTACATCCATGTTCAATGTAGCAGTTGAAGATCTTTTGGCAGGAGTTGGTCACCGGCGGTAAGGCGTTCCGACGCTCACGTAGTCGCCTGGTGTTATTGGCGGATGAATTAATGGGGCGGTACCGCGGTGTCCCCTGAGAGATGCTGAAGTCGGAGATAACTCTACCGATACAAGCGAACGGTCTTGTCGGACATCCCGGTAGCTGTTCGGCTCTGGTACCCCGGCTCCGTCTCCGATCAACGTCGGACCGGCCCGGATAATGTGGGGCCGTACCTTCCGGAGACGGATTGGCCATTCTCCGGGGTCAGGGACGCAGCTTATTCACAGCCGCATGGATCGGAGAAATTCATCATACTTGATAGCAGCCTAGCGTTTCACAAGGGATAATTTTAGGGCAGGCCCGGGGGCTAAAACCTGTCCCTCCAAGGCCGTGTTACTGGTTACCTGCTAAGCTGTATGACAATGAGGTCCACTTGCAACTGCGGTCTTCTGCATACGCAGTACAGGTGCCTCACAATATTCGTAGTGGTATTCTCAGCGTTGGCGGATTCGGCAATGAGGACAGCGATGGCTAGGTTCTCACCTTCAGGAAGTTCCAGGAGTTGTATTGAATACGCAACTGCGTCTGTGAATTTTGACCGCATGCTGTCACGAACTTTCTGGCCATCGTGAACTGCTTGGAAATGGGTCAGTACCACTCAACAACATGGTCTCACAAACTGCCACGAGGAGCTACTTTCCCACTTGTCTCACAGGGCTCGTAACTCGGGGTCCGCAGCTGAAGCGACATTGTTTCTAAATTCATGCTGTGCACATGACGTCCTCGTGTGTTTCCAATGAAGCTGTATGTCACATCATGCGATTTCCCTCTTGAACAGGGGACATCCTTGCGTTTCAGGCTGCTTCTCGAGGGTATTTCAGGATAGTCCCGAATCTCTTCGGGGCAGACGAGTACAGCTCACCAGGATTGAGCTCGTGGACAGTACAATCGTTCCAGTTGCAACGCTGACTGTGACGGCTTCCATTCGTGTTCTCGCGGTGTGCTGCTGCCCCAGCAGCCACAACAGCCAAGATATGCAGCTACCCCGTCTTACGGTAGCCTATCACGTGCATTGGCGGATGGTTGCTTCTAGAATGCTGTTATAGGAAACTCGACTCGACGTGAGTACCGACGGAAGACAACGTGATCTGAAGCGTCATGGCATGTTTCACGATTTTGCATGTCTACTTTGGTTCTTTAGAGCCGTATCTTATTAGCCCGGAGGCATCTGGGGAGAGGTGGCATGACTGTGGAAACGAACGACCGGGGCCACCCATTGGAAATTACTATCATAATGTCCGGAATGATGACCTCATATCAGAAGGACTTCACCCACCACGGTCGGCAACTGCCAATTGCTCTCATTGTCCGACAGCTCTTGTCATGGTTGTTTCCCACACTGCTAAGCAGCCCGCAGGGCAGCTGGGGAAGCTTCCCGAGTCACATTGCCATATCTGTGCGACAAGTTCCATTCCGGTACAGGTACGGGCACAAGAGTGTGGTGAAACAGTGGCTTGTCAAATAGCTGCACGTCAGATGTTACTCCCCCAAATCCCATTCGCCTCCAGGTCAGATGGCAGAGGACAAGGCGCCTCCCTGGTCCCCTGGAATCCAGGCGTGCTGCTGCTGCGAAGAGAAACCTGGCTGATATGTCGTGCCGACCAGCAGCTGCTCGGTCGTTCTGAACACGGAAACACGGATGCTTGAAGCTCCCCAGTTGGTGGAGTGGTACGAAGGATCAAAGTGTATTCCTCGTTTCTCTCTATTTGCCGCACCCGTTGCGCCAACGCTTTCACCATTTTACTCAGTGGAAGTACTACTAAATAGCAGGAGCTAAATAAGTATCTGGTAAGCATGACAAATCTACCACCACAGTTCATCAGACAAGGCCGGGTAAACTCGTATCGCCCGCTGGCTCATTTTCATGCACGCAACTTTAATATAGAGGGAGTAGTTCGGACTGTAGAAGATCACAGCAGTGATTCGACCATGAGTGCCATATCTTAGTCTCAACTTATAAACGTACAGGTAGCCAAAGCTCAAGCGCTGGGACGCTGCTGGCCAGGCTAAAGACGGTGTGCGATGTGGGACTAGGAAGCCATAGAACCTGGTGGCATAGCTTCGTGTCATACTTGAGCTTTGATCGAGCTAGAATATCATGTCGCTGAAATAGTTGTCTAATTTGCAGGCTTTAGAGCGAATCATCAATTGCGATTCCTTGAGAAGCTGGAGATCCGGTCAAACCATGGGGAGTGGCAAATCCATGGAAACTGAGTGTGGTTGTGTAACAGTTTGTAATCCCAAACCGTTATCCTGTAAGCAAACTGTACGACAGCACCTTGCTACTGTACCCGAGCGTATAGCACTTGTATATAGGTTAAGAGTACTCCAAAGCCAACTTATTGACTCGGCCGGCGACCGTGGAAGCGGCATAGCAAAAAGCGGCCCCTTGAACCCAGTCTCCGCCACGTGCGGTTGGACGAGCAAAGCAAATTATCGTCAAATGTGATTTTATATAGCCGTAGCTGTCCGTGCCTTGACCGTTCGAAGTCATGTTACCTAAAAAGTGTAGACTTCTTTCTCCAGCCTCTTATGGCCACTGCAACAGGGCCATCAGACTTTTACAACGAGGATAATAGCGAGTAACTCGGCGAAATGTCACCATATCCCCACGGATGTCCGACAATCGCTCGTACCGGGCCACATTTCCGTGCCGTGCCCATCGAATACAGTAAAGATTATGCAGGGGCCGTTATCTTGGTCCAGCAAACCGCGATAGCATCAAACGGCGGAAAGATGTATGAGTTGGAATGAAACAGGTTTCATGGTACGAGACGTTCACAACAGCAGTACCTTTCTTTAGAGATTGGAGACTTCGTCACCGCGCTGCCGTTTCTGCAGAAATGAGGCATTGGAACCTGGCTGTACTCTATGGTTCTTGACCCACCCCGGGCTTCAGGTTGATTTCCCAACTAGGATGCCTAGGGCACCGAGAACTTTAGAATATTCGGCAGAGACACAGAATATTCCACCGCACATACAGGGGATGTAGCGCAGCAGGATATTGCACGAACATACGTTACTGAAGACGAGTGTCGCCGACTTAAGAGTTTTCGACTTCCTGTCCTCAACAAATATCCCAACTTGCAAAACACTTTGACCTTCTCGAACCCGATCGTTTGTGTTGTACGAAACGCTTCTACGCTACAAGAACTTGGAGAAATTCTCGTCATCTCATCTATATCGCATGATGAATTGCCCACACATCGTTTTGCATTCACCCTCGTCCAATCGTCTAAGCGAAAACTTGCAGAGTTCGCAGGTCCAGGGTCGCCCATGGTCTGGCATGGCACGCCCTTCGCGGCACCGAAACTGAGGCACGGCTGCTGCCTTCTCTCGCATCCCGCTGCTATCCGTGTTGCATTCGCAACAATGGGCCAGCCGGGCACCATGTCTGATGCAAGCCGGGGAACAGCCTGGTCGGCGGTGTCGCGAATCTCGCCTCGGCCTTTCAAGTCGGCTTCGTTCAAAGTCTCAAGGTTTCGTGCGACAGTTTCGTGTCATGGTCTGGATCGGCTCGCACCAGCCACTTGTTCCGCATCAAAACGCGACAACGGCAACTTTAATGCTCCCGCCGATATTGGCCTGCCACCAACACCAGCCTCCCCGCGGCTCGGTCCCGGGCACGAGGGCTGACTTTAGCCTGCTGGGCACTTGCAACATAATCACGTCGTGGCACGCATCGCAGCATCCAGTTCCCGGGCTGTCGGTCGACCGGTCTCTGTCGTGCCCTGGTCTGCTCGCCTGCCTACGGTCGCGCCAGATTGTCCCGCGTTCCGTCATGTACGCTCTGTTCTCGACGTTCCGGTCTGAACGCGGGTGTGAACGACTCCAGTTGCGGTGAGACCGTGTCTTCCCGCCTGCATGCTGGGTGACGCGAGCGCCGATAGTCGCCGTCCATGATACTCCCCGTTGCGCTGCTATACGAGCAGCCAAGGAGCTAATGCTGCTTCACCGTGGCCGGACAAGCGCATCTCCCGCTCATCCAACCTTTTCTCTCCAACCCTTTTCTCTCCAGCCCTTTTCTCTCCAGCCGTCTGGGATGACCTCGGGCTGCGATCGCCTTCTGTCGGCATGCAGACCGCGTTCATTCTCGCAGTCATCCTGCTCCTGATCGCCGAACCCCGCTGATGCTGGTCGTGGTATCATAACGTCGCGTATCTCGTCCGCTGTGAATCATCACTCAAGCTCTTGTACACTCTTGTCCATTTCAATTCGCCAGCGAGCGGAAACGCAGAGGGTTGCACAGATGCTACCCGACATAGAATGCCCGCGACTGACACTTTGGAAGAGTTGCTCAGGGACAGGGTCCAATGCCGCACAGTAAACGAGCAGTTGCACCACATCTTTCAAACGAGTTCCACCCTACAGACTGGACGCACAACCAATGCCGTGGAATGCTGACTCCATCAGACATTCCCCGCACACTAAGTCGCCGAAAGTTCCGGAGACAGGATCATGAGGTCAACTCTGGCTTATCACGCGCTTCTTCCGGTTGTCCAAGACTCGACCAATGGGGTTAACAATCAGAACGAAACTGTTAAGATGCAGACCAGTCTTTCTCCCTCCTTATTCGATCCCTCGCCTTCCCGGCTCCTCTACGGGATCAGTTCGCCAAGATCGCCATGCTTGGTATCTCGGAAGCACAAATCTCGAACTCGTGGTTGCTCATCAATAAGCTGGCAGGATATCATCGCCCCTTCGCCTGCCATGCGAGCTGGAAAGGGCTGTTGCCTGTAACGGAGGACAAGGCTGCTGAGGTGATACTCGCCCAGCAGGCCTACCCCCCTTTTCAACCAACATGTCTGGCTAATACCTATGTAACGGGCCTGAGATTGACCACTTCCCATTGGATACCTACCTGCACAAGGAGCGGTCCGACCTGGTTCTGGGGGCTGAACTAGCTCGCGAAGCGTCTCATCCCGCTCCCTCCGCTCCACACCCCAGGACGGAGCCACGAAAGCGGCATCCAACGTAGCATTGAGAACCGTCTGATCGCAAGCTGCCCCCTCGCTTCTAGCCCCCCGATGAGGCCGTTTTCCTGGGACATTGCTCCTCGTCTCCTATTGGCGTGCCCTCGATCTTCCACATGAAGAGGCTTGGCGCTGCGGGTCGGCACGCGACCCACTTCCCTAGCCCCGGATGTGGGCCAAGGCAACGCTGTGGGTGCCAAGACGGCGACGATGGAGCCTTGTCCTGAGCTTATTCCAAGTACCCTCATGGTATCAGCAGTCTCGTCCACCTCTCGAAAGTTCCCGGGTCGACGGCACACGCCTCCAGCCTCTTCGGCCCGGGTAAACAAACAAAACTTCCCTTTAATTTGGACCCGTGTTGGGATCCCACGGTTTACACTCATGTTCTCACAGATGCGAGACATGATTGATATTGCTGTGCTTAGTAAGGTATGTATGCCGAAGGGGAAGAACCAAGACCAATGGTGCCACCACACAGGGGTCCTCGATGTGGGCTTTTCAAGACCGTTTCAACTGGCTCAGCAGACAGAGCTTGGTGCAGTGTTGTTTCTGAGCCATGTGAACCAGAGAGAGGCGGATGGGGAATCCGCTGAAACCGCATGCACTGCTGACTCTGCTTCAGCACGTCTTAAAGCACGTAGATAAGGTCAATAAAGGCTAAAATAGAAAAAAATCGGAGTCATTTCCAACTCCTTCCCTCAGCGTCGTGTCATGAAGATACTCAAAGAGTTTGAGCTGGCCTTCCCAGTTCGAGATTACCGTCCTACACTTGAGGAACTCCCGTCATAAGTAAGTAGCAAACAATTGTTGCAAAATGAACAATGCGATTGCGAGCCATCTGAATGTTCGCCGTACTTTCGACCGAACCCAGAACCAATCATCCCCAAAGCGCCAATCCCAGTCCGCAGACACTGAACCTGGTTTCCCTCCAGACCCAGAGACTCTTTACCAATTGGAACCGAACAATGAGAAAGATGACAAAAGAACTCACTGACCCCATTTTCATTATCCCCTCGTAACCAACATATTAACATCCGCCGCTGCTTGAGGGTAAAACACCCATGATATCCACGTTCCAGTTATTTCCCAAGGCGATGAGCTTCCGCTTAATACCATCCCCAACCCGTAAGCTGAAACACGTCTCAATGTTCTTAATGGCATAAGCGAGTATGTCTCCAGGCTTGTCCAGCGTAATCGTAGTGCCGTCCGGGCCCGTCAGCATGGGCACTCCGCCGCCGCCCCACAGATAGGCAATAAGGGCCGAATCCTCAGGCATCAGCTGATCGATCATTACCGGCACAGGCTTCGGCGCCCCCACAATACTCTCGTGTTTGTCGATCTGCGAGTTGGGATCCATCCTGGTGATGCTGTCCATCCAGACGACCATCGTGGCTCGGTACATGGCCGCAGACCACCAGGCTGGTCGGCGATCGGTGGGCATGAGGCGCAGGAGCCGAAAGACCTGGCCACAGTGAAAGATGGCCTTTTGACGCTGGAAGATGCACTTCCCGTGGCGCAGCGGCAGCTCCCAGCTCGACCCGCCGAAGCCTTCGCGGCGGGCGAAGCGTTCAATCTCGGGGAGGTCGGTTACGGCGTTGAGCGAAACGAGATGGTAGAGCACCAGGTTGCATCGAGTGACCGGGCAGTCCGAGTTTGCCTTGCTGTAGTTCATGGTCACGTCGTACCACTTCTGAAGCAGCGCCTGTACCTCCTCCAGCCGGTGGAGGATCGACGCTCTGGTCACGGAGCAGCCGCTTGCGCGAGGTGTGCTGAACACGTCCGAAAAGCACGAAAGCATCTGACGCAAGTGGCAGATTAGCGCCTGCAGCGGGTGTAAAATCAGCCGCAGCTGCTGTGGGGACAGAGTAAGCTGCCGTTGGACGGGGTTGTCCTGAAGGAAGTCCTGGAAGAGTTCGTGGAGCGACGGGCTAGTCGATGGAGCGCTGAGAAGCTGCGGATTGACATTGGCCGCACAGTTGTGTAATGATTGCATTGCCGACAGCCACTGCTCCGAGTTGGGCGACATCCAGAGCACCTCGGGAGCCGGCAGGGGACACTGCAGCTCTGTGATAGCAAATAGGGGTGCCGTGTCGTAGAACAGACTGAGTTCCTGATCCAGCATGACGTAATTGTAGACCAGCCTTTACCGTAGGTAAGCTTGCAAGTCGGTACTGGGAGCTGGCTTGGGTAGTGGTCTCCAGCTTACCTATTCCGCGTCTCTCGCTGGACCCAGGCGCGCCACTGAAGCTCTGTGGTGGTCGAGTCGTTGAAGCTTGATATTATCGAAGGCTGCGGCTCCAACATGCCAGCATGTTTGAGCATCTGTCGAGTGATGATTAGTCTGATTCCGCAGGCTATTTGACAGGAGTGTTATCCGTCACTCACCGACATGTACATGCCGCGCTGACCCATAGCAATGTCCATCAGCCACTTATCGCCGCTCCATGCACCCAGAACGAGGAATAACAAGGCGCACCGAAGTGCGGTAGGATCTGCAGAAAGTTCAACATCCTTTTCCACAATGTCGAATAAGGAAATGCGGCACGTCTCAGTCAAACCGGCCGAGAGATAGCGTGCCTCAGCCAAAGGCATAGTCGCCGCGCCCTGGGCGATCATAAGTAGTACGAGAAGTGTCGATGCCTGGTTGTTCTGCAACATTTCGTTCGGATCAACACAGCCGGCATTCACCAGCGGGTAGTAAACCGACAAGCTGCGGACGTAGCTGCGCAGGAAGTGCTCGAGGATCTTGGATGGCGGCAGGACGATGAAATTGAAATCCCCCGGAGTGGCATATCCACTCTTTGGATAGCCGGTGACACCTCCGCGATGGATCTCGAGCGCTTTATGAAGGAAGCTCTGCGTGATGGCGAGCATCTTGTCTCGTGTGCGAGAGCTCAGGGGCACAACCGACGCCAAGTCGGATGCTTCCCGATCAATTTGTTCGAGGAACTTCTCGAGCGAGCTCCAAGTGCCCTCCTGCTTACACTTCTGCTCCAAGCACTCGAGATGCACAATGGCTGTTCGCGGGCAATTGCCCGTAAAGTTGGGCGGGTTGCATCGCGCAAAGTTCCACGACCCCTCGGCCACAATGACGACCTCAAACTCGGGGATCGAGTTGTCAGTCGGAGAAGCCATGGCGAATCCCAAGGGTTTCAGGGCGTTGTCAAAGTCATTTGACACTATGCTGGTCCCCGGAGTGTGGATCGAACCCCTTGAGGATGAAGATGATGTCGTCACAAGCTCCGACGGGGGCGAGGCGTTGCTGAGGTCTGTGAAAACGGGCATGGACATGTCCGGCCTCGCAAGCGAGCTGGGGTTTGGGTAGGCGTCAAGGTCCATCTGAAACTCGGGCCAGACAAGAAGGTCCTGATATGTTGCATCCTGAACAGTGAAGTCGTCTCCGATATGCATGAAGTCGTCCATGCCACCCTTCAGCCGCGTGTGAGGTGACGGGAAATCCCCTAGATGTACCTGAGAGCTGTGAGGCGAGGTTCGCTTTGGAGACTCCAGTTCATTGTGATCAACTGGGATGACGACCTCGATAGAGGTAGGGGACTCGTTGCCCTCCGACTTGACTCCGGCCTGGCTCATATCTATGAAAGCAAGGCCCGGACTCCCGCTTAGTTGTCCTTGCTGTGGCGACTGGGAGAGTGCGCTCTGGAATGCAGCGCCAGCCTGAGCCGCGCGGATGACCGCCTTGGAGGATCGTCTGGCAAATCGGGCCTCGCACGGCAGGCTCTTCTCGGCGCATCTTGTGCAAGGAACCTTCTTGTCACAGCCTGTCTTTGCGTTGGCGCAGTTTTGGCACGCAATAGGTGTTCGTCCAGCAACGGTCGGTATTCCTCCTGGGAGCGGCTCCATCGGATCCCTCGCTTCGTGGTATGTCGTGAAGTGTCTCTGCAAGAGATCCCTGCTTTCGAACATACATGGTCAGCTCAGCTCACTCTCATTCTCTGCCACACGTCTCGAAAGGGACGGTGTTTACTTGCCGCCGAGCAAAGGACAGTTGGCAAGCGCCACAGCGATGGGGTTTGACGTTCGTATCTAACCAACCGAAAGGGTCAGCAGAAGTTGTCAAGCGGTATGTATGTGCGTACTTGGGAGCGCTCACGCTGGGGTATGTGTCTCTCCAAGTGCTCCTTGCGGGTGAAGCTCTTCCCACAGTAAGCACAGTAGACCGTCATTTCCACGTATGTTCTCGCGCCCTAGTTGGAGTCTGTTTACGTGCTGTGAGACGTGAACACGGCCAGAGCCGTGATGTTGTAGGCTAAAGTCCCACAGAACCAGCAGAGATTAGGATGCTGCTGACAAGACCGTGTAAGCAGCTGGCAGCCCAGACGAGAACGTGGTAAGCAGAAGGTTGCAGTCGGATTGGTGAGGTTTCGGTTTGATGTGGTCTAGAAGGTGGTGAGCCGAGCGAAGAAGACTTAGGCAGGATGTTGGGTGGGAAAGAGGCAAGCTGTAAGAGAAAAGCCAAGACAGGTCGGGGAAGTCGAGCCGGTTAGCAGGGCCGATGACTGCAGCGATGGTGAACTTGTAGATCACACGGGAGTTCGGGGTAGATCAAGATGCTCCCGAGACAGTTGGGCTTTTTCAATATCGGGAATGTGTACAAGACATCGCCCAAGGGCGAGTAGTCTCCCAGCCTTAGACCGAGGAGGCGGTGCGGCAGGCTGAACTCCTCAGATACGATCCAATCGACGGAGAGACGGCATGGCAGTCTTGACCAGAACAGGGGGCCATGGTCTGGTGTGTGTGTAAGACAAGGAGGCGCTCTATCTTTGGGTGGTGGCTCATCCAGTACGGACGCCCCTGCCCTGGGTCATGGCATGTATCTTCAGGTATGCTGGGAAGGAAAGGTACGTACCTTGAGTGTAAGACACACCGGAGGAAAGCAAGGGTTGCGCAATTGGTCATCAGCCAAGTGTTCAGCCGCCATCTACAATGGCCGGCATGGATGATAGTTCGAGGTACGTTGGTAAGGTACCTTGGCTCTGACGACCCGTGTTAGTGATGCTGCAGTGTGTGCGGAATACATTGGCTTTCGGAGGATTCAGAATGCCGCAAATGGACGGTAGAGAATCCATCAGGAAGGAAATCCAAGGATCGGACGCCATGACGAGGATGAACCTTGATGTCGATGATATTTAAATCTTGCGTGGGGCCCAGGCAATGAGGGATCGAGGCCCTGGAGCATTCGAGACCCTCTTGACTCTCATCTACCGTACCTTAGTGGAAAGGATACGGATTTCAGAATTTGAGCCTCCTTGGGTAGCCACCTTCGCTGGAGTCTCCTGTTCGAGTGTGGGCTGTGCTGGAGTGAACTTGCCTGTCCTCGCCCGACAGCTCCCTGATAAAGACAGGTGAGCTGTTTACCGGCTTCTTCCAAGCGCTCAAACTGAAGGCGTCAGGATTCTGCCCAGGAATCGTAACGATACCGAACTGCGTGATGAGATCGTGGGTGGAAAGCGCCGAACAAACGAGGCATGTGCAACAAAGAAAGCAGCGAATTCATCAAGTACGCCGAGGTTTGCCAGGATGCCATCACGGCACACGTTGGCGATCTCATCTGCCTATATGCAGAGAGAACGCCTCTTATAATCCCGGAGGTCCTAGCTTGAGCAGGTGCAGCGGGGCTGCAAAAGCATGCCAGGCCTGTCTAATGGTTGAAAATGAGTCTTCGTAAGAGCCTTGTAAGAATGTTGTAAGAATGAGCGTCTTGGACCTGAAAGAAGGAGACGAAGGCTGAGACATGAGAGCTCTTTCCAACGAGAGTCTATGGTTGAGAAACATCGATGCAGCCGCCGGCACAGAGGAAACCGCGTCCAGCCAACCTCCTCACAGAATTTGCAATGATGGAAGTATGAATCACGGGATGGAAAAGCGAGGGGAGCTAATGAGGCGCCGACCCAGCAGATCCAAATCGCGTATTGCGAAACCGGGAACGTCTTCCATTCCGGCCTTGATGTCACCTGTGCGACAGCAGAGGTTCCACAGGCAGGGCCGAGAACTCGCCGTAGTTGGGACGAGACGATAATATCGCGATCCCGAATAATGCCCCAACCAAACTGTCGTCGCTCGGCCCTCAATTTCTTCCGTCTGAAATGGCAGGGCGCAGGCTAATTCGCCTCACGATCGTTCGGGACCGGTACGAAGCCGGCGATCCAGCCACAGCAGGCCAAGGGAGAACAACAATCAGGAACCTCAATGAACTTCCCTAGTCTAAAGGTATGCCGTCGCGAATCGAGTCCTCGATGAAATCGGCAGTTAATCGCGGCTGGCTGGCTAAGCGGTCGTGTTCTTGGCCAACGGAACTCAGCGCATGCACGGTTCGGTGTTGTATCAGAAGGAAAGGTCGAAACAGATTAGAGAGATTGGCGATCAACGCAGATAGATGATCGCTCTGATACGGGCACGCCCTCTCCTGCCCTTCACTGTGCTTGCCTGGGCTGCAACCCAATCCCTGCCCTGTGCCTGCAGCAGCCCATCCACCACAGAAGGCAGGCGCGGGCGGGCCAACCGGCAAGCGCCGCCACCCCCTTCCCCCCGCCACATGGGGCCGCTCTCCCGTCCCGGACGCCCGTTCCATAACGCTCTGCATCTGCTGAACGGCTGACTGGTAGGAGTCCAGAGCGACCCAACCAGAACGGGTCGCTATTACGCTGAGCTCCCACAGCTCGCCTTTTCTCTGGTTGCTGCGCACATCCGCTTCAATTGACGTTCTTCAAGGTTGTTCCCACCAGCTGCTGTGAGTATAACTAGAGGCTCCGCCTCATGACGTACAATTTCACCTCATTGAAGGAAAGCGGAAAATACCGAGAAAATAGTGAAGGGCAAGGCCAGAAAGAATGTGCTCATCTTGGATTGAACCCTTATTAATGTCCAAGTTCCTCGCCCGGGGCCTTGTAGCCGAGGAGGATGTATTCTGTTGGCCAGAATCTCAACTTCCCCGAACTGCTGCAGAAGTTAGGAACTTTTGGACAGTCTATCTTAGTCATGTCAAAGTATGCGCTTAATCTTAGTGCTCCCGTTCTCCCGGTTACTCAAACAAATTGTATAGGGGTTCAATCTGGGGCTATAAAGCTGATAGGACCTTGTGAAAGTTGGGGTGGGGAAAGTGGCATGATGTTCAACTCCCCGACGTCACTTGCGGGAGCCTATTGCGATCTAACTCAATCCGTGATGCTGGGAATTAAAATGTCACCTTGTTTTCCCTGCTCCCATGCGCTTCACCGATACAATGCTGCTGCTAGCGGTCGCCTTGCATCCTTCCACAGAGTACGGAACAGCCAGAGTTCGAGAAATCATAGTGGACGCCCGATAAGCTACTTCTCGGACTTCATGATGCAGTCCAACATAGCACACCATGCACAAAACGCCGAGAAGTCCAGCATTCATGGTCCACGTCCAGCAACTGAGGGTTCGGGGGTGTGCTCAACCCGTGTAAACAACGGGACGCAGGGCATCACAGACAAGATTACTTAGACGAGATATCTTGGCATCTGTACTGTCGTCTTGGAGACACGGGATTACTGTCACCGCTCGTTGGAGGATCCGTTTACTCCGGCTACATTGTGCAGTGCCGCTTCCGAGTTTCGCCTCCGCATATACGGGAGGATCCAAACCCATAGCTGCAGGGCCGACAATAACTGGTATATTGCACGTCAGCTAGATAAGGCCACCAGCTTGCTTCCTCAGTGCCGAGTAATGCTGTGTATCTGAGCCGGCACGGCTGGCTCTCGGACGCATCATTGATAGGCTGAAATGGCACGATATGAGATATGCTGGGAACTTTGGTTCTCGTCCGCGGCGATGTTGCAAGTCATCGATGGTTCGAGGAGTGCCTTGGGTTGTATCAGTCCAACCCGCACTGTCACGGACTGGCCAGTGTTGACATTCGGCGATGTCAACAGACTACACAGGTTGGGTTCGCCCCTAAATATCGGCATCCTGCTACGTAGGACTGGTAGTGGTGGGTGGAGCATTAAGTGGCAGGCCAATTGGCGTGCGAGATGAGCACCCTGGATTTCCGGATACGGATACCAAGGTCCCGGTCCCGGTCCCGGGACTCCACCACCTTCGCCAAACCATGCTAGGTGTAGGTCGCCAGGCTGTAAATCAGGTCCAGCGTAGTCAGGGTCGCTGTGTGCAGTGACTAGCTCACCGTATACGATGAATGCGATCCGGAGAATGGCACTGCCTTGTCAGCGGCAGATGTCTGGCGTTCGAGAAAACAATAAGGCTGGGAGGTTTGGGGAACTGAGTATGCATCCGTCTGGTGACATGTTCAAGGATTCAACCGTTCCCTGCCCAGAAGTGCAAGGCAATAACTCAACTGAGAATGGTAAAAGATGTCGTCCAGGCCTGCGCGCCAAGATTCAGGTAAGCATGTATGAGTTGAAACGCAAATCGGGACCGTATGCAGAGTGGTGCGATCCGTGTCTGGACTCGTAGAATTGCCGATGATCTGATCGTTGCTTGTCTCAAAAATTTCCCGAGAAGAACTGAAAAGCGGGTGGTTGAGGCTTTTCATGCTGTGAGCTGATTCATTTTAGTTTATATGGCGATTCTTCAAGGTCACCCTCAATCAAGTTCATATCATTGAGTAGAAGGTCTCTGGTGCTTTACTGGCAACAGCGTTTGAGAGCGATCACCGCAAAAGTTGCTTTCTTGTACTTTTAGTTGCACAACCTCGATTTGAATTCGGGATTACAAAATCAACAATGGCCAGTTGGGGTTCACTGTCCAATCCGCAAAACCACCGACTGAAACCCATGTGTCTTCTTGCTCGGTTTATAGTTAAGCTTTCTGCCACATGCTGATCTTTGTCGACTTTTCTTTCGGACCAGATATCAATGCCG